TAAAGATATGGGTCCATACCCAACTAAGGATTTCAACGGAACACCATGGAAACATTGGCCTTTCTTCTTGCACAACCCTGAATTCGACGAAAAAAGAGAACGTCTTAAATGTAATCCAGCTTTCTACGATTGGTTCCTGCCAAACGCAAGTTATTCAGAATGTATCAAATTGTCTGAAAAATACGGTTGGATAAGTACAGATTGTAGTACAGCCGATTGCTGCAGATCAGCCATATTTGATTTATATCTGCGAAAACTCAATAGATATTGCTTGAAATATTCAACAAATCTGATCGAATCAACTATCACCCAAGCTTGTCCAGCAAATGTCACACGAGTGAAAAGGGTAGAACCATTCACAATGTTTCTCTTGGGGGTAGTAGTAGTTGGAGCAACCACCTTCGTGGTCAACACGGCAAATGCTCCAGTAATCCCAAGTTATGACTATCGGCGAATCGATGCAGAATTTAAAACCGAATTGACACGCATTATTCAGTCTATGGATGAAAACATTGCTAAACTAACCGATGAATTAATAGATGCGAAATTGGATATTAACATTTTAGAAGAAATGTTACCAACCACAAGCTGGAAAAATAGCGAAATCACGCACAATCTTATGAAGATTAAATCAGTCTTCGAAGCAATCGCTGAAAAACCTGGATTTTTACCTCCTAATTTCTTTGACATATTGAAAATCAAACTTCCTTGTGGAAAAGCATGCGACATTAAGACAATTGAGAAAGTTCAATGCTCTTCGACAAAATTAAATAATTCTGATTACAACATCAGGTTTAAATTCACCATAGAAGTAATTGACCCGAAAATGCGAATAGTTAAAGCAGATCCTTTTACTCTTCTAACAAAAAATAATTCGGAAATGTGCATCAAAACTTATCGAGGTCCAAAATACTTCATGATTAACGAAACAGATTTTGCCACCTGTGAATTATCAGAAAGTGAAATGGAAAATTCAAAACTTCACTTCATTATTCCTGGATTATGTACAACACCTAAAATTCATCTTTGGGAGGTTCATAGTTGTGTCCAAGCCAGCAATGCAGTTGTAAAACAACCACAAGTCAAAATAGTTGATGATAACTTCTACATCTATTGCAGAGGTCATAATATCACTCTGTTTAAAATCACTAATACATGTCCTGATCAAATTCTAAAGATTTCCAGATCCATCAATTTTACCTTAGCGAATCAACCTTATACGGTATCCGCTGTTTCTACTTATCATACTGAACCAATATCGCCTTGGACAAATTTGATAAACCTGCAAATTATGCCTTACGAACCGTATCAGCTAGATTTGACTCCAATAAACGTAAAATATCTAGAAAGCCTAATTAAACAACAACAAAATCTTCCAAATCAATCAAAAAGTTATCTTGACATTCTAAAAGAATATGCAATTTCACTAACTTTCGGATTCTTGGTCTTTCTAATAATCATCTTTATAATTCAACAAGTCATCACAGTTGTCCTGACCAGGAAAAGACCTGTTATTGTATCAGTTATTGATCAGACACCACAACTTTATCGAAGGAAGTCAACAAAAGAAAAACCGAAGATCAGAACAAAGAAGATCAAAACACGGCGACAACCATTAGAAGAAATTCCTCTTAGTTCTTTATATTAATTCATATTTTTTTTTACTTATATTTTCTTTTTAGTTTCCATCTTCTAGAAAGCTGTTAGACCAGCCTACAAAATATCATAGACCGGCCCAACCTCTACAATGTTTAACATTTTCCGTTTGTTCATATTTCTTATTCCTGTCAAATGAAATTTGGACGTTCTTTAAGCCTGATGGTACACCCAGGGACAACCGTTTAACCTGGACCACCTTCAATATCACTTGTACCCAACTCAAAGAGCGAAGATTTGCCAAAGTAACTGTTTCAGCAACAAACCAAGAACAGCTAGAAAAGGGTGAAAAGCGCTTGAGAGAAGTTTTGGAAAAGGCTACCACTGGTGTTAAGAGATTACCGTCCAGTCATTGTACCATCTGTTTCAGTACCGACCATCTCAAGCTCGACTGTCATCATTGTGCCGCGTGTGGTAAACCTGATCATAGGGTCAAAAATTGTAAATTTATTCAAAAAACCCTAGTTAAACCAAATCAAGTTCAAACACCTAAACCAAAACCTACTGGCATCCACCTCTCGAGAAAAGCCAGGATTCAATTGATGAAAAGAAAAACAATTAATTTAAACAAAGTTTGGTGGACAATGTTAGGCACATTTGATAAGTCATTACTTGATCACCTTAAACCAGTCGGTCCAGAAGATGATTTAAAAGAAACCATCGCTATTAACTTCATTGGTGAAACACACAATGGTAAACCGATCCTGACGATAATCACAGGATATTTTGGAGGTTCACATGGTGTTTGTACTCTTTATTGCGCTGCCACTAAATTAAATGACTTGCGAGACTTTAAAACTCCAATTACTGGTATCCAAGGTAATACTGAAACAACAGAATTCAGTGAAATTCAAGACAACATCCTTACTTGTTGCACTAATCGAAGAGTTATTTTCTTTGGAGATATCGCCGAGTCACTCAATAAACTTTGGCTAGATTATGGTACCTTTCTCAATGCTAACACTGACTTCATCAGCCTTCAAGAATTGTACGGCCCTGAGAGAGTTCCACTGACGCCTCTAATCAAATTCCACTTTCCCAACTCCGAAACCTACAAAGTCAATCTAGGACCAATGGATGGAGCTAATCATGAAAAGGAGACAAGATTCATCCTGCGCTTGTATGTGAATTATTACAACCTAATTAAAACGTATGGACAAGTTCCAACAGGATTAGAAGCCAGGAATTGGTTGGTGGATGGGAAATATATCAACTGGTGGAAACAAAACAGGGACTGTTCCGAAAAGCGACCGGCAGATGTAAAACAATAAATCGTCTATTGACGTAAATGCAATAATATAATTATACTAATTTGCGTCAATAAGACGTTGGTAGATTTTAGATTAGATTTTCGAAATACCAATTTGATAAATTCTAAGTATTTAAACCTAGGTAAATCATGTATTTAACTCACTCTCTAAGTCAACTGTAACCTGTTCAGAACTCATTGTCTGAGTTCTGACAAAGCAACAAACCATCTTTAAACACAAATCATCTTATGTATTGAATAACCCCGTCGTCATTTCTCTTCAATAATAATGATGATGATGGTTGTAGTGATGATGTGTACAGATAAATAATGATTTTACAATGAATAGATAACGAGATTGTTTTATAAATGATCAAATCGATTAGTGAAATAAAAATGAAGGGATCAGGATGAATAGTGTTCAATTGAAGATGAGAAAACATTATTTCTTTGTTGAGCTTCAGGATGAGAGGATGAAGATAAATGAAGATGCACTTTCTATCATTAACTAATAAGAATGGATTCAAAGTGGTTGACACTTTTAATTGATGATGAAAACAAAAAGTCAATTGATTCAATGAAAAGAAAGAAACTTGAGAGTTGAATGCGATTTTTGCTCTTTCCAAGTCAATTGTGCTGAGATTAGTTGTTTTTAAACTTGCTAATGATTCGCAAGATAGGGTCAACTGTAAAGTGTTTATAATCAATTTAGCCTTCATCTGTGGGTTGAACAATGTTAAAAATGAAAAACAAGTCAATCTGTATGAAATCTTGAGGAAACATAATATTTCAAAAAGACTGTTAACATTGTGTGATTAGCTCGATTGCTGGTCATTAATAATGGAAAGAGTCATTTGGCCATTTCGAAATAGTTTGTTCGTTTGAAATGGAAAGATCAGAAGCAATCTTTGAAGTTTTGGTGAAAGTAATAGTTTGATATTAATTTTACTATGTTTTGGGTTTACTTTAGGTATCAGAATGGCATTTTGGAAAGAATCAAATCAAAAGTAAACTCGAGATTGATCCTGCTCGACAAATGGACTCTGGAACGTACATGTGCCAAGCAAATAACAAATATGCAATTGATACGAGACATTTCAAGGCAGATTTTTAAAACTCTTCAGGATTGAGCATTGAAATCTGGTTTAGAGGATATCACTTCAATTTTCAATGTCTAACTATAACTAACTGATTTGATCATATTAAATTTACCATTCAATGTGCCATTTGTTTTCTACATAAATTGTATCATTTTATACTTGCATGTAGATTTGATTGCAGAACTTTTAAGCTCAATATGTTTAATCTGAGAGATTAATTAAAAATGATTTTTATGTGACTTTCGAAAATCAAGAGTTGAAAATGAGGAGAAAATTATTCGCTCTTTTTTCACACTTCTGAGGCTACATAGTATGAAATATTCAAAATACTTCATGGATAGACATCAGTAGCATGTGAAAAACAATGGAATCTAGATTGCTGATTGATCACCTTATTATCTCGATGAGGATAAATTCATATTGAGATTGCACTAGGTGAGCCTAGAAAGGTAGGTTAAACTACTTAAGTAGCAAGGGACAGACGGCGACTGTAAAGTCATAGGCTGGTAGACAGCCAGTCCAATAATAAGAATGACATTTTGATGAAGTCTACTGTAGTAAGAATAAAATTAAAGTAAAATTTGATTGAATTGTTGATCTATCAAAATCAAATAAAAAATTCCTCATAAAATAATGAAAAACAAAATATTGATACACTAGTAGTCAGGGTTAAGTTAAGAAAAGTGGAGATTTTTTTCATAGTCGCCATCTAACAAGAAATAAAAGTACCTTTAAGATCGAACTTAATTTTTTATAGATTTCATTTTTTAGTGTCTCTTAAAACTGTAAATGCTCGAGATGGTGACACCTAAAAATTAACTTAACGCTGACCCTTTTTTGTTAACTTAACCCTGACTACTAGTGTATTCATAAGCATTTCTGGTTAATTTTGTCCCTTTTTGAATTGAAGACTTGAATAAGCAAAATGCAAACGATTTTTTTAAATTTGATTTGCAATCCTTTGATCTTTTTTGTCTGTTAGATAAGGTGAGTTTAATTGTTTGACCAAAGATGGTGTTTATTTCAACCATTTTTTTCTCGTCTAATTTTCATTTTTAACCATTAATGCTTATTCAACATTTTGCTTTGTAAAAAGTCACTTTTTTTAATTTTCCATATCCATTTTTTTTAATTAAAATCAGAAATGATTAAATCATTAGTTTCATTATTTTTAATTTTCAACCTATTAGCAACAATTGAATGTGACCCTGAAGTTTATAAAGCGTGTAACGCAAAAGAGTTACACGATATTTTAACAATGGTTTGTTCAATCCATCCACGTCGGAAAAGTGAGCTCAGTGATTATGAGATTAAAAAATTGAGGAAAAACCGCCTTCACTCAGTAAGAGGTAAGTAATTTTGATAAGCAATCTGTTCTATTTTTGGATTAAAATTACTAATTAAATTGTGTTTCCTTTAAATCTACAGGATTAGCCGAGCAATGTTGCTCTCATGGTTGCGATGTTTCAATCTGGACTCTTCATTGTTAACCTGACCATCAATAACTTCAACCATTCATTTGTCTAAAAATTTCTAGTCAATAGCCATTGGAAATGTTTGTGTAAATGTTTTCTTACCTTTTCTCATTCTTGATAATTTCAATATAATCATGTGATCGTGAATAGAAACCATCAGAGGACAATGCTCCCCAAAAATTGGACCAAAGTTTACCAGGACGGACGAGCAGTGGTGCAATAATGCGCCTAAATGATAATCAAAGTTGGAGGGTAATCAAAACCCAAATTAGTACCCAAAACAAGAAGATATGTTAACAAAAGGTGGTGTAAACACAATTTGGTTGGATGAGCAACGATGGACAAATAAATTTCCAGTTATCAAAAGATACAAACATGCATCATAAATATCATCAAATCAAAAAGATTATTATAATTTGTTGTTTTTACTAACCTGTTTTGCTCAATTAAAGATATCAGAGTCTTGGTATTATTGAGACGTGCATCTGAGTCGATTGAGAAATAATAATCACAGTTAATTTTGACACATTCTTCCCTGAGAAGGTGAAAAAAAGATGAACGATAAAAAAACAGGAATTAAAATACAATGAAATTTCAATAAAGATGTTGAAGTAAATCGGGTTGAAATCCTTACAATGCTAAGTTTCTAGCTTGCCAATCCTTGTCAACGCTTTCTGGTAATACATAGACATTTCGATAGACGCTTGTATTGTGCTTGACAAAATCAGCAACATGTTTATCATGGTAAGCAGATTTATTATAAATTATCAAACTAATCTTTTCTTTAGGATAGCTTAATTGAACAATCCTGGCAAAGAAACTCTCGATGAATGGGGTTGGATGAATAATAAAGATGCCGATTAATACGGATGGAAGGTCATCAGGCTGTGAAAGGGTAGAGAAAAAAGAAATGGATTAGCATTTAATTATTGTCACATCATCATAAACAAAAGTATCTTTTCATTTTTTAGCATGAAAATTCTGCATTTTCTCAACTTTGACTTGTTTAGAATCTGAAATAACACGTATTTAGATTCATTGACATTCACTGACAAACAAGTTGACTTTTATGCGACTTTTGAAATTTTAATATAAAGATAATGACTATCATCATCAATAACCCTTCTTGATTTCATTACCTTTAAGCCGTCCAAACTTATACGATTATCTTGACAAGAGGCGCAACCATGCTTAGTAGACCATGCTTTGGCAATATAATTTCCTAATGAATTAAGCACAACCTGTTGACAACACAGTTGAGAGGAGAAAAGATAAAAAAAGTTCATCAGTAATATTCAAAAAATAAATTGAAGAGAAATAATTTAACAACAGAAAATCTGTCGAGTGAAAAATATTTAAACTCTAACAGTTTATCAAGTTTATAAGATGAGCTTACTTTGCTTAACCCGTTACCATGAATTACAACAGGCTCAGTTTGAAATGCTGCATTATGCACGGAAGCCCAGCCATCTTCATTGAACCGTAACTGAACATCACCTACAGCGCCTTGAAGATTTTGGAATATCACGGCCTTATGATCCAACTTGATGGACCATTTAGTCTATCAGAAATGAACGGTAAGGATGAGAAAAAAATGATCATCTGTGTTAAGCATAATTAACTTCAAGAGGTTAACCCTCTTCCATCAATTAAGATAGTTATTTTACCCTAAGCTCATTATTCAGGTAAATTTTTGTGTAAAATAGTTGATCATCGTCAGTATCTTTTATTGCGGAACTGGAGACAATCTCGTAAACTTGAGGAGCCCATCCAATGAAGCCTGAAAAAGAGTTAGAATTAGAAATGGGTAATTATTTTTGAACGGTGATGTTTTCACATTTGAAATGTCTAAAGAGTAAATATGACAATTATAAAGGTAATTTACCCCCAGAGTTCAAATAACGATGCCCAACATTGTCTCTATCTTTGTCTGGGTAATCTTTCTGTTGAGAGATTCAGAGAAATTGAATTAGAGAAAAAGTGTTGATGAGTTAGGTTTAGAACCAGATAGGAAGACGGTCAATGTGCTGTTTACGTACGGCAAGTGAAGGATCGGGCCAACAGAAATCTTCGGCTGAGAAAACAACTTTAGCTCCTAGTGTATTGAATCGATCCAATATTTCTTCTCGTTTAGCATTAATGATAACATCATAGCTGAAAAATTAAATCATAATATTAGAATTTTTGAACATTTCTGAAAGATATTGAAGTTCCTACCTATCTACAAATAAGATTATCAAATTTTGTTCCTTTGAATATTTTTCTAAAGCTTTTTTGAGCAAGTTAACTTTTTGTCCACCACCGGTTGTGCTGGCAACATCTCCTCCAACCCAAGGTTCATTTAAGCCAAGAACCTAAAAAAATGACGGAAATTGAAATAAATTAACACATGTTAAATCAATTAGAGCTAGAATGCAGACTTACTTCAAACCGATGATCGAAAAGATTTAAAGATCGATTGAGACGAAGGAATCCATCGGTTGGTTTTGTGGCAACGGTAAAGACTAAAAGATCTTGTGGAAAAATTGAACCTAAAAAGAGCCATAGAAAAAGAGAATAAGTTACCAATTAAGAAAATGTTAAGTTATTAATAGACAAGGAGGAGCAGCTCAATGAGCTTTACGTCTTATTCTGTGGTTGCTGAGGATGGCGTATATTTACTTACCAGTAGACTGATCTCCATTTGCAATGAGAAATAGGCTAAAAAAACATATCACCAATGGACAATAATCATTTAATTTCATTGTAATTCGCTATGATTTCCTGTACATTTAAATAAAGAATGATAAAACAAAAGTTACAAAAATTCATTGTACATTGTAAATTCATTGTAGTTGACAGAGTTACTGAAAGGTTCAGAGTTAGAGCAAATCAAGCAATTTAGACAACTAGTTGAGCTTGATGAGAAAATTCTTAAGAAAAATAATAAGGTACAGTCTAAGAACCTCGGGATTTCAAACCTATTCAGTAAAATCGATGGATAGACATGTGAGGAGACAATTTCGAGTTTTTAAAGGGAAAATAAGCAAAAGATAAAACTTACCTGATGAGAAGCAAATATGATTAAACAGCTTATTCCTTGAATCAGATCGATAATAGACCAAAATGCAGGTTAATAAGTTAGTAAATTGTTGAGAAAATCAATGACAATTAAGAGATGAAGCACTATTCGATTGTCACAAACCAAAAAAAAACAAACTAAAATACCAGAAATCTTATCTTATAAGATAGATTGGACCAGTGTCAACCTTAGAGTCAGTTGTATCCATGAAACATAATAGTAAATCTACTTAAATTAATAATACTTTACCGAAAATCACTTAAATTAATATTAATTGAACGGTGATAACAAAAATCTCAATCACTAGGAGTGATTGTAAAGTGAAGTGAATAAAAAAATATTCAGCAAAACAACAAACTCCAGAACAGATTCTTATGCTGTTTATGCCTTTTAGTCTTTTATGCTTTTCCCTTCAATACTGGTTAAGCCTACAGAACATAAAGAGTCTGGCATAAATGGAATAAACAGCAGCACAAAAGGGGATATGTTGAGGGAAGCAGGTTGGACCAGTTTTCTCTCTTTCCATAATGTAAACATTGTGTTAATTATAATGTTTTATGTTTAATTATTAAAGTCAATTAATTGTGAAAATGTTATAAAAATTATCAGTGAACCATGTTTTTCCAGCCACCAACATTATCCTCCATATCATCTTTATTTTCTTTGTTACCATCTTTTGTATCATGCTTGCAGCTAGACCAGGTTGTACATTTTTTTCATCTCATTGGTTTGTGACAGCTTTAATTGTGATTATTAGTTTCTTTGCTTACATTTCAATCAACTATCATGGGGAACAAGAGTTCATAAATCAGAATAAGACTGACTTGGTTGGGCTTGTGCTTTCAGCGAGAAGCAATTTTGACAAGCGAAATGTATTGAGAGAAACTTGGTTCAATGGCAAGTCAACATATGATACCGGTAATGTGAACATCAAGCTTCACTTCATTGTTGGTAAAAATGATTGTCGTATTCCAATCGATTATCGTGAAGACGAATATAGCTGTATGGAATGGGTCTACAATGAAACGGAAGATTGTAAAACAAACGTGCTCAGTCATGACACTGAATCAATTTCTTATGGCAATACTTTCAGCTCTCATATTTTCAGAGGCTTCTCATTCAAAGTAAAGTCTGGTATTCCCAACTAATTTTCAATGTTTAACCAATTTTTATTTCTTTCTATTTTTAGGTCCACCAAGATATTTTATTGAAACTGGTAGGATGTCTTTTCCCCTGTCGCTGTGATACTATTATATTGAAAAATGTTCTGACCCAGGTAAAGTCGAGAAAATTTTATATGTTGATCGATTTCTAAGCACCAATTTTGTTTTTTTTTCAATAGGAAATATTATTGAACCAGAGTTTTGTTGGCGAGCAAAAACAAAATGACTACGGATTCAACTATCAAGCTGTTGCCCCCATATTATTCCTCCCTAAAGGATTCACAGGATTGTTGTTTGTGCTCAATACAGATAATTTGAATTGCCAACCTGAACGTGTTCATAGATGGAATCGCTTTGCCAAACTTACTCAAATACTCAGGGTTAGTTGAGTTACACTAACCAATGAAATAGATTCGTCTGATCAGTGAAGAGATTTTGAAAATGGCTTCTTAATTTAGGTTTATAAAGATTTGAATGACTATGAATCGCTAGTTTTTCACGGAGAGGAAATAATTATGGCATCTTTTGTGATTGAGTTGGCAGGTAATAAGCAATTTGCCGATAGTTATAAAGTCTATGTACTTTTCACGTTAAAAAAATATTTTTATTTCCAGATCAGTCGGCTTATTTGAAAATGATTAAAGATAAAGAGAAAAACTATCATGAATTTGACAAGGAGCTGAGTGAGATCAAGGTGAAGCTTGAAAATGAATTACTGGAACACGAGGATATCATTTTGGTTGATGTTATCGATGTTTATCGTAATCTACCCGAGAAATTAGTCCATGCTATTGCTTGGTTGGTTCTAGAAATTATTGATTATGCCATATTATTCGCCATCCTCCGACTAATACCCAGTCTCTTTAATCAACAGGACCATGACTACAGAGAATGCTGATCTAATATTGAAAACAGACGATGATTGTTTTATTGATCTGGCTAATATATCACATAAAATCAACCTACTCACTGAGCGCAAATCAATCTGGTGGGGAAAGTAAGATGAGAATTTAAATGCATTCATCTTAAATTGATTTTCAATTGATTTTTTTCTTGTCAAAGTTTCAGACATAACATGTTGGTCAATGTCTATGGTAAATGGGCTGAAAATTTTTTTCCTGGTTCAGTTTATCCGTCCTTTGCCTGTGGTTCGGGTTACATAATTTCGTCTGACATTGCCAATTGGATTACTATGAATAAAAAATTTCTCCATTATTTTCAAGTAACTCATCAACAAGATTGAACGTTTGTTTGCTCCTTAAATAAATCTAATCATATTCATTTTCATTGTGAAATAGGGTGAAGATGTTTCAATGGGAATCTGGTTGTCCTCTATTATTCCAATTTATCTAATGGTAAGTGATTTTCATAACAATAAACTGGATCGAAGCTTATCTCAATGATTTTCCCTCTCCAGGACCGTGATTGGGCATGTGCTGAGGATGCTCCTCGAGATGAGCTGCTTGCTTATTGTCAACTTAATCCGTCACAGTTGAGACAATTTCATGCGATGAAATCCAAAAATATCAAGAATAACTAATCAATTTATTCACAATCGTGCTTGAATCTTTATGTATCATAATTTATAAGCATCCAAGTGATTCCAAGTTTAATCTTCAAATATCATTTTGTTCAGCTATCGATTGTCTTTCAGATTTACAGTTTTATTTTGAGCTTGAAATGATTCTTCATGATTAAATAACTGACTTTCAAAAGCACGAATATGCAAGGTGAAATCCTATCACAGATCTTAATTGTGATTGTATTTTCTGTATTTTAAATTCAGTTGTAATTCTTATTCAATGAAACACGGATAATCAAGAAAACAAGCCTTAGTTTCACTCAAGAAATGATGGAAATATTTTACATTCAGTGACATTTCTATTCAACTATTTACTAATGGTGAACTTTTAACTACACAAAATTACACTAATCAATTCAAATTCATGTAAAGACTAACTTGTAATTTATTATCTTCTCGCACAGTTGATGCATTATCTAAAGTGTGCAATCAATTATGAAAACTGATCTTTTGTAAACTTAATTTGTAAACACTATTTTGTCATTGTCAATTAGTTTCCTGTTTAGTCCAATTAACGAAATTTTGAGGGTTAAAACAATCATGTGTTGTCCATATGGCTAATACTGACCCAAATGGTAAAGTCATCAGAGTATAGTAATCAAAGAGTTTGAAAATTAATAACAAAAAATTGAGGATAACTTTTGTTGTGCCATGAATCAACTATTGAGAATGTCTGAGTTTATTATTGGGAAAATTGGTCTCAATTAGATAACTGTATTAGTCGGTCGAAAATCAAGGAAAACTTGACCAATTGATGGTTAAGTTAATCTTACCTTTTATTGTCAGAAGCAGACATTTCACGTTTAATTATCGGAGCCTCAAACGTGATCAATAAGACGATTAAGACGAATCAACAAAGTCAACCTAAAAATCCTATCAATTACAATTACCTTTGTTTTTGATTTCAATTGAAGCAAATGACTAGGAGACTGCACAAATAGATTAGCTACTTTCAACCTTTTCATCTTGTTAATCCACTATTTTGCATGAATCGTATCATGAAGGAAGTACTTGGTCAATTGTTTATGCTCAATGACGTAATTTGATTGATTATACAATTTAGTTGTCATTAACATTCTTACTTACAGCTCTAGAATTAAAAACAAGTATTGAATTGAAACCAAGAAATCCCAGCCTTTCCAACATGTTTATACATTTTCAAATGGGTAATGATTAGGAACTCATCTGGAATTGTTCATTGTTTTAAGGTTGGCTTCTTTAACTGTCAAATAGGAAAGATGATTAACCCCATTAATATTCATTGGTCAATAAAGAAAGGTTATTAAACATATTCAATTTGTTCAATGAGATGAGGTTTAGTACACAACGAAAAAGAGACTCTTTAACATCTATAAATGAATAATGGGAATAATAATCAGCAAAATCATAATCACAATAATGGTAATAATAATAATAACGATAAGATTAATTGAAGCAATTTCTTTTCGCCATATAACCGTTGATCAAATTGAAATGTGCAGTTGTAAAGACAAAAATAAATGAGACGTATGATGATGTGAAAGTCCCATTGAGTATGAATAAGATGTTGAAGAGACTGAAGGATAACATTAAAGCTTTTTGGTAAGAGCAAAGAAGGATGAGAGAAGATGATGAAGAAGACGAGAAGACAGGCCAATCATCATTATCATCAACAAGGAGAATAATAAAGTCCATTGTATAATGGTTCCAATGTATATAACGGAAGCTTTTTCGTCTTCATCTTCAAGCCATTCACTTAATGTTCCCTCATCCTTAATTGAAATGTTGTAAAAAAGAGAGCGATAGAAAAGTCCTTTTCCTTGGAAGATGATCATGACGATGATGATTACAGTTATGATGATCAAGGGGTGGCTGAGGGTGGGTTAAACAAGCTAAAAATGATAAAGAAAGGGAGAAATGTTAGATTCTTTTTAAAAGACTTTATTCAAGTGGACAATAAAAATGTCAACGCTTACATTGAAAATAAAAGATGGTGATCTTGAAAGCAGGGCCAAGTAAGATGGTGATTCACCATAACTATGTTGGTGTTAAATAATAACATCCACAGAACGAGCTAAACAGAAACAAGAACGTATAATACTTTAAAAATATTATAATAATAACCAAATCAAACACGGTTTTATTGTAAGCGTAGACGCTGATAAATCGGCTCTCATCGCCCCATTTGCATTTACGGTTCTCGTATTCATCCATTTTGTTACATGTTTGTCAGTGTTTCAATGGAATCCTTGACTCGATCACTTTATTGAGTAAATTTTGCATCCCATTGGCCATCCATTATTTATAAGGCACAGTCTCTCCATAACTAAAGTTTGATAAATATTTGCAGGAAAGAGGTTAATTGATTCAACTTTACTCTAGGAATGTCCATCCAAACAAGGTTGGCTGAACAAGTCCATCCAAAAGAAATTATGGAACCGTATTAAGGCACAGTGATTCTAACAGTGAAATGAACCCATTTATAAGCACATAACAATCCACAAGCAGTCACATGAGCTACTAATTGAGATACCAAATTCAGCAATTATTAACCGATTTACCTGAAACAATTTTCAATTTTTGAGCTTCCTCAGCTTATATCTATAAATCAGAACTGTTGAGTGACTGCTGTCTGAAAAAAGCCAGAATTTCATCGAAAGGCTTTCTTTCTACCAAGTTAGAATCTATTGTCCTAATCCAAACAGATTTTTATCACACATGGACAATGCTTTTGAATGTGCTTATAAATCTACTCATTTGAAAGCACTGAGGCTTAATGCTTGTTGATACGGTACTTACCTTATGATAGTTTTAGACACAAGAATCGCCAAAATTCAATCAAGTAATATAACCATTAGATGTTAGGAGTGTTTAAATGTTGGTAGATAACACATAATAAATTAAATATAGTTAAACAAATTATAAAATACGTCTCAATTATGTTGATAATACTTGAGCAAAAATGCTGAATCAATCCTTTTAATGCTTATAAACGTCACGTGATTTATCCAAAAGAGCGGCTACTTTTGCTTTTAGTTTTGTTATTCTTATTTTTGCTTTTTTTAAATAAATGATATAGTCTTTATCATTTGCTGTTATATTTTAAATTACTTAACAAGGTGTTTAGTTTACAACAATTTATATTAATAAACATCATCATCCCATCATGATCATTATTATTTTTGCATTGTCAACATTTTGAAAGTTGCCTTAATGCAAATTTTTCCCTCTCGTCTTTTTGCTTCCTCAGTTGCTCTTCACTTTATTTGCTGTTAAATGAAAATCCCTTAAACCAAATGTGATACCATTTATCAAATAAAATTAAATTATTTTCCAATTCGTTGTTCAATCATCGCCATCATCATCATCATCATCAGCAACATCAACAACTACAGTAGAGCAAGTAAGAGGATAATGGCGATAAGCTTTCTATTGTTGACAAAGGTCATCGCCAAATTTCATCTTATAAATGGATTGTGAGACATTTTTCTGTTGCCTGTTCATTCAACTTTACCCGTAATAACCAAGCTTTAATTCAAAATAATCAAGGAAAATTTAATATTGAATAATAAATTATGTGATTGTCTTACAAGAAATGGTATAAAAGCTGGAGAAGCTGAACATTTTAAAAAAATGTAATCATGTTGGCCATATTTTTACAGCCTGTTATCCAAAGATGGGAATAAGATAGAGGATAAAATTGAAGACAAGTTGGAGGCCCAAATAAAGTCCTATAAAGTTTACTTCGTCATCAACAGGATCAGTAGCATCTTTAAGATGCTTTGCCGAGTTGAACCATCGTTTGAGCTCATGCTCTCTATCATTAGCTTGACGTCTTCATCATTTCCATGATAATTTTGTATTATTCATTAAGATTGGAACTTATATTTATATCAAAAGATGTACAATGTTGGAGCCAACCGATGAAACGATTAATCAAGCTGAACAATTATTGTTGAATTATCAAGTCCACTAATGAATTGCTGATTGAAATGAGACGAGAAGACGTTGCATTGATCATCCATTGGACTGGATTGTATAACCATTGATTGATTGGCCAATTTTACATTTTCAATTCCTTGACGCATAAACTTGACCACAATATCATTTGAATGGATTAGGTGGACACTTACGTAATGGCGATCCTGGCAAAAGAAAAGTAAATTGCCAACATTTGGCTGGTCATTTGTAAATGGAGTATAAAGTTTTATATATCAACTGGACAGCCTTAAAGATGCATATAGTTGATTAGATTGAACTATTAACAAACCAGGCATTGGAAGCTAAATTATAAAAGGTAAAAATAATGATGATAAATAGATATTTATATAACTTGGAGTGAAATAATAAAACCTGATAGACTTTGTAATTATTGTATTTGGCCAGTTTTTATGGATTGTTTATGTAAAAGATAAAAACTGAATAAAGTAAGTTGAGTAATTTTCTGATAAGTAGTAAACATGGCGAAAAAAAAAATAAATGGTCATTTCTTAGCATTTTTGTGACCAATCTATCTGTATAAAATGTAAACAGAGGGAATGGTTGCAAGATGAAGATGATGCAGATGAAAAATAGCGATTTAGGAAATTTTGATAACAAGATTTCAACTCACCAGAGTACAATTAACTTATGAATGTGTGAGAGTAAAATGTGCATAACAAAAATGGTTTGACGTTATCTTAATCAATCTAAATCAAATTAAGATGGACCTTTACCGAGTTAGGAAAACCTTTTCACTTGAATATAATAATAAAAATGACAAATAAAACATTTATCTTACCTTTTTGATTGGCGTTTGTTGGTATCGACAGTCAAAGATGGCCAACATAGCTGACAACCAGTAGCGTAAAAATGTAAACAAGATAAAGTCAAGAGCGCCATTTCCAATTGTAAACCTTTTTTTTCAAGGCATTGAATGATTTTTCAAGTAATTAGGCTATCATCTCATCTCTTATCATCCTAATCTCACTGAATCCCCTCTCTTTTGTCCAAAAGTCACTCTCTTCTTAAACCAAAGTGTCAATCCCATTGATCTTGTCCTAACTCTTAACCCTCATTCACTCCCAATACATTCACAAATACATGTTTTGTCCCCATTGATTCAGGCCTGTTTGGTTATCCATTTTGTTTAATGTTCAACAATCAATATCAACTTCATCTTCATCTTTTTCCCTTTTTCATAAAACCATCTCATCAGAATGATTATCCTTATTCACCGATAAGGCTTAATAAACATTAATCTTTAATTTACAGTAAATTTGTTTTTCAAAACGCGCGGGTTTAGCACATAAACAAAAAATGAACAAAAAATGTAAACAAAAAGGCAAATGAACAGAAATAAAATCAAGTTGATTTTAGACAGTTAAACAGTTAATTTAAATGATACAATTATTTCAATAGCCATTATTGATGATTAATTTAATCTTGTGAATGGTTTAAATCTTTGTCTTTAGCCAGAATCTTTTAAATTGTGAATAAACGGTAAAAGTATCGAGTAAAGATCAACATTGATCAATTCAATATACTTAATTGTGTTAACTTTTCTTCTCCCTTTTATCCTTCTCATCGACATACCCATCATCATAGTCATCATTGTAGTCATCAACATAATCACCATCATAATCATCTTCATCTTTAACATTTTTGATTTGTTCCTCTTCAATAGGAAAAAGATCTCCTTTTTTACTCCAGTCAAAATGGTTAATATTGATTGAATTGATGTTAAAACCACATTGACATTTTGCACTTTGTTTATACTAAACCCTGTTTAAGGTTACAGTTTTTTGCATCATCTTTCCTCTCATCATCCTCATCTTTTAACTGTATTAATGTAAACAGAGTAACCACTTTATTTAACACTAAACATGGATTAACTTGGTCCTGAGAAGTCGTCATCTTGTTGGTTACTTAACCTATTAGTAAATTTAATGCATTAACATTCATCTATGTTAACATTAATTTAATATATCAACCAATTTGATTTTGCATTAACTAATTCAAATGCGTCTTCATTTCATATCATTTGAACCTTGGTTCGGTTCAAGCTGAATCTATCGTATGAATCAAATAACTTCATTGGCTATTGAAATTGACCATTTTTTAGTGTAAAAATTTTGTCAAGTTAACAGCAATCAGTAAATGTTTTATTTATTAAAAGCATTTATCTGTAAATTATTTAAATTATGCTAATAGTACAGGTTAAATACGCAATCTCATAGTTATTATAATAATCACAGAATCCTGTGTTTACACACTCTGTTTCATCTGCTCCTGTATTTTCATTGTTCAACTGCTTCTTCTTGGCCAATGACATGCCACTGAACAAGATGAAATTGAAACTTCTCTGATTTTCAGGGAAAAAGCTTTCATGATTCTCAAGATATTTTCAAAATGGCGACGAACTCAGGGATTGTTCAATCTGACAAGACAAGAAGCTCAAAATGGCGTCTCAGCCTTTTCACACAATCAACTTACTTGAACAGTTCTTACAATTACAATTTGGATGTTATTTCTGTATAAATTGGCTTCTTAAATGGTTTCTTAAAAGATTGATAAACTCAAATCAGGTTCAAGCTTGTTTCAACTTTTGATGTTAATTTTTTCTCATATTGAATGCAATGATTTTGAAGATTTTGAAAGGTTGTAACAAGTTAATTATTAGTTTTATCAATTGATCAGTTGTGATGAGGTCATTGATGAGCAATATCAATTTTTAGTGAGTGTTATGATATTTTAATGAATGCTGTTTATTTTCAGGTTATTCAAATTATTACGTTTGGAAGAAGAAATCTTATAAGATGAATATTGAATTGTCCCTTGCAATTGATCAAACCACTTGACTTTCATGCAAATCATAGTTAAATCATTTAATTTTTTCACTTAATCAAGGTCAATAACTAGCAATTCAAATCTTGTTTACCCTCTTCAAGGTTAATCAATCTCACAGTCAGCTTTGTTAACAACTTGTTTTGATGTAACTAAAATAACGACAATTGTTAACTACACAAGGTAGTCAAGTTGTAAGTAAAAGATAGTCTTAATTCAAGTGAACTAAATTAAACATTGTTATCAAATAGTGTTTACAATTCGGTAACAATGACATGAATTGATTGTTTATCTGATTGTTTCACTTTCTGACAAATCCTTTGATTTACTTAATGTTTTAACAAGCATTTTACTTGAATTTAATGAGATTTTTCATTGAACAAGGTCAATGAAATTGTGAAAAGATCTTGTGTCTTCTTTGATTTAATTATCTGCATCAGTCGGATGACGAATTCTGATTTTTAAATTGTTCATTTCCCATGAAGAATTTAATTTTGTTTAAAAATTGTAAGATGGGAATGGAATCAACCAGCAAATCACATCGAACCAATGCTTTAAACAATTTTCTGTAAATTGATCAACTTTATGTCCCTTGACGAGAATCGGCAATTTATTAAATAACTGGTAACAATTTGTTGATAACCCATTTAAATGAAAATTGACGAGTTAACTGTTCAACATTGCTCTACATTTGATTGTGTTTTCTCAATCATTACAAAAACCAATTGATTAAATGATAATCATCCCACGAGAGCAAGGATAAAATGACTTTATGTAATTGATGTTTTCTGTGGTTCCTCTTTTCAATGATATTATAATAGTCGAGAAAAAACACATCCAGTTAACAAGTTGACCTATTCAAAAAAAGAGTAAAAAAGACGAAGAAAAGGCAAGATTAATAAGGTTAGATTGAGCATTACGCTGTTGAGTATTTGGAGGTTGCACTGGGAGTGTTGTTGTCGTCCTTTTTGTTTTGTACTCAAGATTCAAAATAATAGTAAAGTAAGTTGAAAAAGATGATGCACATGCAAAGAGATTTACATTTGGAAATAAAAATATTGGGATTTACCAAAGCTCCTGGAATAATCCATTGGATATCAACAGAGCGACTACTTTAAGTAATCATTTTCATCCTCAACAAAAGTGGCCATAGTTGCAGTTTTTTTTGTTGCTGTTTGGGCCTTTCTATCACATCATTTAATAGATGCTGCAGTTGCTCATTTTTTGTATCAATCACTTGTATTGTTGTTTCCTTTGTCCCGATACTCTTCTTTTGCTTTGCCTTTCATCATCATACTCATCATTATAAACATTATCATTATTATGATGCAAGTGTATTCCTTTTCATTTCCTTCCTTAAGATGATTCCCAGTATCCCGGGACATGAACTGTCGATCAGTATATTATCATATTGAATTTCTCCATTTTTTTGGCAATTTTTTTCCTTCTCCTTTATGTTTTCTTGTTTTCTTTTTGTTTCGTTCCACAAGATTGTTGTTGTTATTCTTGTTGTACTTTTTACTCATCGATTTATCTTTCATTTTTCTTTACTCATTCCATGGTTCATCCGCATCCTTCATTGCTTGTCATTCCATTGATTGAAATATCGGGCCTTTATGATGGTAAAAGAAAGAGAGTTCAACTTGGTCTTTTCAATGCTCTATGCTTCTCTGATTTATGAACCTAAATAAGGCCAAAAAGTCCCAGAAAGAGAATAAAAATGGGACAAAGAAGATGCAAGTGAATGAAAGATGTTTGCTAAGGAACCATTCCTCTCTAGAAGTTGAGGGAAAAGATGAACACAAAAATGGATTCATTTACTCTTCCATGCTATCATCTATTCTTCTCTTGATTTAATGTTGTTTTTTACTTTGGTCTTGTGTTTCTTCATCTCCTATTTAACTTCTTGTTTGATCAACTGGATTAGCACAGGAATGATGAACTGTACTTTGGCATGAAGTGAAACTGGAAATGCGTATTCATTACTTGCTCGGCCAGTAAAAGTTTCAATTCAGAATATATGATATTGATGAAAGGTTGTATCAAGAATGTTAGATTACTCTTTTTTTCAAATCATAATTACATGTACTTTCAGGAATCTTCATTTCCTATTCCTATCTTCAGGTTGAAGTTATAATAATGGAGGAAATCGAAAAGATAAATCTGTAAAGAATAAGATGATACATTAGATTTGATATAAGTTGAAATATAAAGAAAAATATAATGATAAATTTTCATTCCCAGTGTGATAATGTTAATATATTTAAGGGGTTCAGAAGAGAAAGAGCGAAAGCATTTCTTTCATCAGAACTGAAAGATAACCTTTCAAATTGTAAAGTCCAATGGGAAGAAATGAAACCACTGAGATTGCTCATGGAAGGAGTGGAAAAGGTGTGTCTTCCCTGTGATAGGTTCTTATAAAGTTCTTATAAAAGTGAAGCAAAAAAAGGTTCATGACAAGAATGGTTACTTCTATGTATAATGCTTATCTGTGCAAAAGGGAATGATACTTTTGATCAATTTTCTTGAAATTACTATCAGTATTCAGAGCATTATTCTGGCTGCCTCCCTTCACTCCACCTTCTTTTTCTTGAAGGGAGTTGAAGAAATTTATAAGTGAACATCGAGAAAATAAGAGAAAGATAAGAGTTCGTATGCTGGATGGTTCTGTATTTACTGCATTCACGAATACTCGTCTTTTTTCCTTTACATTAAGTTAGCTAGTTTTTTGTGTTAATGTCAGTTGTTGACTTTACTTTGTGTTTTAACATGTTCAACTCTTCTCAAATTTCGCTGTCCTTCACTACTTTTCACTCCTTTTTAAGGAAAATCAAGAAAACAAGAGAAAGATAAGAGTTCGTATGCTGGATGGATCCGTGAAGACAGTATTGGTTGATGATAGTCAAAATGTTGCCAACTTAATGGTCGTCATTTGTACCAAAATCGGTAAGTTATGCTCATTTTTACTTCTCTTTGCCTTTTCCTTTTTCCCTCTCTCTCTCTCTCTCTCTCTCTTTCCCTCTCTCTTTAAAGCACAATTCAAATGTTCATTGAGTCCCATTGAACCGGATAAGAAGTTATAATTCAAATTTCCTTGACTCTTTCGCTCTTCACACATAGAATTATAAGAAAAAGTAAAAAAGACTAGACAAACATACAGTTTATGTTAACATGCAGACAGTTCCGTGAAAGCAAAGGAAGCTATGAAAAGAGTCAATATAAACATACAAAGTACAGTCAAATACAGTCAAAGGGAACAAGGAGAAACGAACGGAATGATGAAACAAGATGTTGTGAGAGGCAAGGAAGAGAGAGAGAATGATTGAGAGATGAATATGATGAAAAATAATAAGAAAGATATTCTGTATATTGCTATAAAAGGAAAATCTGAATCTTGGAAAGGTCGGTTTAAGGCTCCTACGCAATGATTTAAAAACACTCCTAAGATTGAATCAGCTTAAAAAGTTGTGTCTTGTCTTGTTGCTGGTTCTTGTTTACTTACTTTTGGCTATATTTTTCTATGAGTTAAACTTGTATACTGAAAATTTTTTACTGCCATTTAACACACTCACACACAAATACACCAAATTTCCAGCCACGCATTCATTCATGAAAGTTTTTCATTCATCAGTTTGGGATTTTATCTTTTCGATTTGTGTGTGAGTGTTGCTGTAATTTGCGAAAAGGTTAATCAATTGAAATGTTTGAACATATTTGACTTTTTAATTCAATCTGATTAAGACGTGAGGGTCAAAATTAAGTACTGATAGTAGTAATGGTTTGAGTATATTGAAAATGAGTTGTAAATTTTTATTCTATTTTCGACATTTACTCAAATCTGTTTCAAAGTGATAGCCATCAAGCTGATTAGATAAAATTACCTGTTGATTGAGTTGAACCAACTCTTATATTTACTTGAAATAATCATGAATTTCACAGATGTCAGATTGTTTCCCCTTTAATCTAGTTTACCTGTGAAATAAAAAACAAATAAAGGCTATAATTTACATGGTTAACCTTGTTGAAAGGAAGCATTGATAAACGGAACTCAGATCGGAAGCTTAGCCTGATTCACTTGAAATTTGTTTTCATCATATTTTGCTTCTTGCTGGTGACTTCCGTCAAACCTTATATGAGCAAAAATGGATTACATGTAACAGTCGGAGTAAAAAAGTAGATGATTGAGGATGAAAGATGGGTGGTTTTATGGTGAAAAAAAACTTTCACATTGATTAGTTAAATTGAATGAAATAGGAATTTGAAAACTTTATTGGACGATGACCTAAAAAACATTATAAGTAGCTAGATCAGGTCAGTAGCTGTTTCTTTCTGATCAGTTTCTTAAAGAACAAGATTGATTGAAGTTGCATTTTTTCATGTCCATCATTTTCAATTAACATGTAATTAAGAAATTGGTTTGAAATGAAATGAAGAAAATTGAAACTTCTTTATTGAGCCAAAATTTTCATCTTGACGATTTCATGGTAATTTGTTTCCTTTCATGAGCTCAATATCATCTGACTGATGCATTGAATTGTCCTTTCAAAGTTGATTGAAAAATTAGTTGGTGACAATAAACTTGTCATCACTAGATGGCGCCTACCTTTTCAACTTATTTTTGATAAAAAGGGAAAAAAACTTTTTCTTATTTTGATAATTTTTTCTGAATCAACTTTTATTAATTTTATGAATTTTTATCTTCTTCAGGAATCACAAATCATGACGAATATTCTCTGGTCAGGGAACCTCCAGAGGATAAAAAGAATGCCAATTATTCAACTGGTACGTTAACTCTTCGACGAGACAAAAAAGATCGAGATAAAACTATTGATGCAAAAATGGAACAGTTGAAGAAAAAATTGAAAACTGATGATGATCTTAACTGGGTTGATCACTCGTTAACTCTTAGTGAACAGGGTATTGGTGAAGATGAAACTTTACTCCTTCGACGAAAATTTTTCTTCTCCGATCAAAATATTGACCAAAGAGATCCGGTTGAGCTTAATTTACTTTATGTTCAAACCCGTGATGCTATAATTGCTGGAACTCATCCAGTAGCTGTTGAAGAAGCTTGTAAATTTGCTGGTATTCAGTGTCAAATACAATTCGGTGACCATGTTGAAGGTAAACATCGACCTGGATTTTTAGATTTAAAAGAATTCGTGCCCAAAGATTATGTTAAGATAAAAGGAATTGAGAAGAAAATATTTCAACAGCACATGAAACACGCTGGACTTACTGAATTAGAATCAAAAGGAAAATATGTTCAATTAGCTCGATCACTTAAAACTTATGGGGTAACGTTTTTCTTGGTTAAAGAAAAGATGAATAGAAAAAATAAACTTGTTCCTCGATTGCTTGGTGTTACTAAAGATTCTGTATTACGGTTAGATGAAAAGACGAAAGAAATTTTAAAATCATGGCCTTTAACTACTGTTAAACGATGGGCAGCATCACCTAATTCATTTACACTCGACTTTGGTGATTATGCTGACTCTTATTATTCAGTTCAAACATCAGAAGGGGAACAAATTTCTCAATTGATTGCTGGTTACATCGATATTATTTTGAAGCGAAAAAAAGCTAAAGATCATTTTGGTATCGAAGGTGATGAAGGGTCAACCATGGTTGAAGACTCGGTGTCTCCTTATAAAGCTACTGTCCTTCAATATTCAACACTTTCAAAAGGAGCACAGCCTGAGATGAGTAACATTGCTTTACCTGCTATCCTTCGAGCTGGAACCAATGGATCTCAAGCAATCGTCACCAAAGAGATTCCACCTGCTTCTTTAACGTCAGTCAAAGGAACTGCTCATGTTGGCCATTCTGCGCCATCCGACACAGGGCCAAAAGTACCTCACATTTATACAAATGGAACCCCAAGTCCTCAAAGAGCTCTCATTACAACTACCGAAACATGCCGAATTACCATTGCTCGAGTTGAAAAAGACTTAGACGAGCCTACCGATGCTCCTTACTTCCAAACCTCGGATTCAATATCACTTCAATCGAAACGTGATCAATTGGATGTTAAACGATCTGCCGTTTCATCACAATTATCTGCTATGAATGCAGCCACAGCAAAGATTGTTTCCCTCACATCAGTTCCTGAAGATGAGATTGATGCATCAGCTTTAGATGCAGCGCTTTCTACCATAGCAACCAGTTTGCCTGAAATGTCAAAAGATGTTAAATTAATTGCTTCCCTTATGGATGATGATACAAAAGGTGATGGCCTCATTGAGGCTGCTAAGAATTTGTGTAATGCTTTCTCTGATCTTCTAAAAGCAGCCGAACCTGGTACTAAAGTGTCTAGACAAACTCTTATCACAGCTGCCAATCGAGTTGAAACTGCTTCTTATTCTGTTTTATCAACTATCAACGAAGAATATGAAGGTTATGACAAGGAAACTTCAGAGATTTTACTTAGCGTTGCTGGTCGCTGTTCTGAAGCTCAAGGATCTGTTGATACAATTCTTGATGCAACTGAACGACTTTTCACTTCTTCTAGCGATCCGCCCGAGATTATCCGTCAAGCTAAAGTTTTAGCTCATGCTACAATCCAATTGATAGTGGACATTAAAAGTAATGCAAAAAACCAAGAAGGAGATATTCAAAGAAGACTATTAGCTGCAGCTAAAGCTCTTGCTGAAGCATCAACTCGTCTCATGAAGGCTGCCAAAGGTTGTGCCACCAATCCTGAAGATTCTGTATCCCAATCTGCTTTGAGAAAAGCGGCTGAAGACTTGAGAATTGCTGCAACCAGTAGTGTACTCAGTGAAAAGGTTATCAATCGATGTGAAATTTCACCTTCTCGTTATCCTAATCAAGCCTGGAACAACGCAGTGTCCACTGTTAGCGGTATAATAGGTGACTTGGATACAACAATTATGTTTGCAACCGCAGGAACCTTGAATCCCGAAAGTGAATCAGACAATTTTGCCACCCACAAGCAAACCATTTTAACATCGGCAAAGGCTCTTGTTGAAGATACAAAATCACTAGTTTTGGGAGCTGTTTCCGATCAAGAACAATTAGTAAATGCAGCCCAAAATGCGGTTACCACGATTGTTCACCTTTCAGAAACAATTAAATTAGATGCTGCCTCTCTTGGATCAAGTAATTCAGAGGCTCAAGTTTTACTTCTTAATGCAATCAAAGATGTGACTGCCGCTTTAGGTGATCTTATCCATGCAACCAAGGCAGCATCCGGCAAAGATAATGAAGATCCGGCTATGGTCCAACTGAAAGAATCCGCAAAGGTTAGTCACTTATAATAACATTATTAGATTTAATTAACAGCCTGTGGTATTTAAATTAATTTAACAAACAATTGTTGCTGACTGTTTTCGCTTAACATACACTTACTTTGCATTTACTCATTTCAAACTTTGGATACATTTTATTTGCTTGAAACGCTCATGGAAATTAATCTAAATCTCAACTCATTAATCGTATCATTATTAATTATATGAGAGTCCTGATTTTTCACGTTTTTTTAAACTTTGTTTCATTTTTTGCATTTGATTCCATTGCACGTTTTAGTGGTTCCTTATTATTAGTCGGTTTTATAAATGATTTCATTAACACACTCATCAAAGTCTTGTTGGTAGACTTTTTGCAGTAGTGATTTTTAATTGTCTCAGACCATCAAAGCTTGATTTTGTTATTTCTTTTGTTTTATTAATTGAGACAATGTTACTAATTTTCAGGGCAAATTTTCCTTTATTGTCAACTTGATTTTATATTTTATTACATACAATTCATTTCAAGGTTCTATTATTATTTCTTCTTTTTACACCTTTCCATCCAAAACTTATTCAAATGACTAAAACAAAACAAAAAGGTTGACGGTGAAAAGGAAACCAAAGAAATGGTCTGAAAATCAGCAAAAATCTCACAAAGACCATTCTGTCATCCGTGCTTCGTTCATCTTTTCTGTGGTGATTCTCCGATCCTCTATCTTTTTTCTCTTCTTTTTTGACATTTTACTCCATCTCATTATCACCTCTTCATGACATTTTTTTCTATCTCTCCCTCTATTCAGTCTTTAAATAATTATCTTACGGTAAGAATCTTGCAAAGTTTTCCTTGAAAGGGTTGTATCAATTACTGCATTTGTCTCTTATAAATTTATTTATCAGACGAATCATCACATCAAAACCAACTCAGTCAACAATAATCTTCAATTTATATCCACAATTATCCTCGTTCTTATTAATGATATTATTTATTTCGAGAATTTTTTCATTACATTTTCTGTTTATGTTTACAATTATGTTTAAACAATTTATGTCTAACATTTTTTTTCTCGTTCTATCTTTTAGGTTATGATTAACAATGTGACATCCTTATTAAAAACGGTCAAAATAGTTGAAGATGAACATCAACGAGGTACTCGAGCCTTGGAGTCCACCATAGAGGCCATTGATCAAGAGATTAAAGTTCTTGATTCAGGTGATCCACCAAGTAAAAAAGGGTCTCCAGATGATTTACTTAGAGTTCACAAACCCGTTACTCTTGCCACAGCAAAAGCTGTTGCTGCAGGTAATAGTGGTAAACAAGATGATGTTATTGTTGCTGCTAATATGGGACGAAAAGCTATCTTTGATCTTCTTGTTACCACAAAACAATGTGCATATTCAGCCGATTCACCTGAAATGACAAGACGTGTTCTTGACACTGGTAGAAGTTGCGCTCTTAAATACCAATCTCTTCTCGAGTTAGTTCATCAGTGCATTCAACGTCCTAGTGGAGCTTCAAGCGAAGAGAAACAACTATTAATCGAGAAATCACGCAATATTGCCTCTTCAGTTACCGAAATTGTATCTTGTGTTGAAACACTCAAAGGCGATTGGGTCGATCCAAATGATCCTACTGTTATTGCTGAAACTGAACTTCTTGGTGCTGCATCATCCATCGATGCAGCTGCCAAAAAATTAGCATCCCTTCAACCAAGACGAACAAGTATCAAGGTGATTTAAGATTCCTTGTTTATTAATTATATCGCTATTGTCGCCTTTATCTTCTTTGCTATTCTTTATTGTTAAAGCTGTATAGTTTGTCTCATCTCATAAATGTACCGCTTTTGAGATATGTTTGATATTCTTGGTTGTCAATTTTTGCAAAATCAACCAAGAATCAGACATATGCTCAGGATCGCTACCAAAAAATCATCAATTCTGCTTTAATCAATTCCGCATAAGCAAGATTTCACGCTTACAAAAATTAAAATGCCAAATAAAATAACAATTCATAATCATCTATATCTGTGATCTTATCCAATATTTGGATGAAAGTCAACCTTTATCAAAATCAAACCTTTTCTATTTGTAAGCGTAAAGTCTTGTTTGATTATTGTTGCTCATCTTCAAGCTTCCAGCGAATTCGCATTTTTTCAATTTTCAAAAGCAACTAATTTATTTCATTTGATAACTTTAATATCTCTACAGCTCCCCGATGAGGATCTTAATTTTGATGAAATGATCTTAGAAGCTGCCAAATCAATTACAACTGCGACCTCAGCCTTAGTCCGTGCTGCTTCAGCGGCCCAGCGAGAACTTGTTACCACTGGCAAAGTTGCTCGTAGACCCATATCAACTTCCGTCGATGGTCAATGGTCAGAAGGTCTTATCTCAGCAGCTCGTCATGTTGCTGCAGCAACACATTCCCTTGTTGAAGCTGCCAATGCTTTGGTTCAAGGTCACGCTTCTGAGGAAAGATTGATTTCATCAGCTAAACAAGTCGCATCATCTACAGCTCAACTTTTAGTTGCCTGTAAAGTGAAAGCAGATCCTTACTCCAAAACAATGGTACGATTACAAGGAGCCGGTAATGCGGTTATAAAGGCAACTGATAATCTGGTCAAGTCTGCTCAACAAGCGATACAACATGATGAGGAGCAAAGTATTGTCATAAGCCAGAGAAGAGTTCCCGTTATTGCACAAGAAATATTAGCTCGAGAAGAAATTTTAAGGAAAGAAAAGGAATTAAAAGATGCACAAGAAAAATTAACGGCAATTCGCAAAGCAAAATACACATTAAAAAAATCACACGAGGAGTATCACGAATACCATAGTGAAACATCGTATAACAGCTCACCATCACCAATAAATTGATAATTGATTCCATTTTTATGCATTATCATAATTATCTCTATCATCGTCATCATCATCTTTATCATCATATGATCATATTTTTCAAATTTACATAATGGAAACGAAAGTAAAAATCAAATCAAGTTACTCTGCCAGAGAAGTCTTTGCCCTAAAGTTATAGATGAAAATAACAATATAATTATGCCTTATCAACAAAAAACGCAAGGAGATAAATTAATTTTTGCTATACGATTGAAGAAGAGATGGTGATGGGTTGGATGAAGAGGATAACAACTGAGAGAAACAAGAAAGACAACGAAATTGCATTTTATCTCGATTTGCATTAACAATTGATTCTTCGACCTTGTCTGATCTCCTTTTCTTGTCGTTAATCCGTATGTTTATGATCATAAACATTATGGTCAATCTATTCAAGCATATGGCTTCACCAGAGTGATTGAAATGAACAAAAGTATCGGCAACAATTGATGTTTGATTCCATGTTGAAGTTAAGCTAATTTATGTCAGTTGATTTACAGTTAGACTTGAAGCTTTAACTTAACTTGATCATGAATTTTGGGTTAAATACTTTTGTTTATTTTCATCCAGCTGACTGGAGCTTCAAATATAGATATTATATTGTTCAATAAGTTGTCTTGTCATTTACTGTTGCAAAAAAACCTCCACTCCCACCCTTTATTTACCTGATTATTATCTCTATTGTCTTGCAATCTACAAATCATATTTGATTGTTCGTTGAAAACAAAATGCATGTATCCTTTTCAGACTGAAAACTGAAAAATATCCAATTATTTTTGACGAAATATTTCCCTTGTTCAACAAATCGACATTTGTAATTGTAATCAAATTATAAAATTTTTTACCCAAAATCAATTTCATTTCAAGACCCATTTAGATTGAAGGATCCAAATCTGATCTAATTCAAACATCGCAACAAGACAAACACTAAATTTAACACGCATTTATCAGCAATCAATAGCTTAAAGAGATTAATGTAAAGCATATATTTATACGAATTAATTTAATTACATTTATTTCAATCAGTTATTCATTTTATTTTATCATTGATATTCCAATTTTAATTTTATGGGACAAGTAAATGAGCAAATCAAGTTGAAATTGTTACAATATAAGGTTAAATATTGAAAAATCAAAAACAATTGTTTAAAGCCTTGTTAATTAAAAATTCCGCTGTAAAATCATTATCAAAATGAAGCGTCTACGTTGCTAGGCAAAAGGCGCCTTTATATCAAACTTATAATTCCAGCATTTCAACCCTTTATTAACTTATTATTGTGATTGATTTGTTACTTTTTCTCATTACCTAAACAATTGTTAATCCCTAATCCTTAAACTCTTAATTCTAACCACTAATCAACTCCTTTTTTAATCTAAACATACTAATAATACACTTTTGTACAACCAAAGCCTGCAGGAGACAGCAAAATAACATATTGGAGATCATTTTCTCACTTCCAACTCTAAACCATTACACCTTTGAAATTTGATTAACAAGTCAAATTAATCATTTCATCTTCCAAATCTCTTCTTCACTACCTGCTATCATCATTGGCATTCCATTGCCTAAATACAAATCAATAATAGCTGTTGTCTTCACCCTTCTCCTTCACCTGAACATCATCATTAACCATTTTTGGTAACAGTCTAGTTTATACGCCAAAGTCAACCTTCATTAATTTCCCAAAATTGTTTCCATTTTTCAATTTTGTTAACATTTCATCCTTCAGCTGATCATTCACATGTTTTAATCATCATCATCGTATCTTTCATTGCCCAGTTTAACACAAAGATACGAAAAAAGTCTACATATTGTATAATGGATTGATCAAGTGTACAAAGCAAAAGTAACCAACAACAGCAAATAACTAACATATGATTTACAAGGTTTACAACAATTATAACCATAAATCCCCTATGAATATACATTCACAATTAATCCAATAATTTTACATTGATTATATTAATTATCTTGTTTTTTTGCTATAAGCTTAAAAACATAAAAAAATCTTATATCAAAATAAGCAGAAATTGCAATCAATGTTCGTAACATACAATAACTAAAATGTCATGTTAAGAAAAAAGAAACATGATGTCAATCATTGACTAATCATGTTAATCTTTCCTTTAACTGAATGCCCTGTGCTTCCGGCCAAACAACCAAAAAACTAAATTATAATAATCTAATTGTAATAAACATTTCTTCCTATGTTTGTCTAGTTTAACCCTCACAATTAACCATCTGCTATTGCAATCAGAATTGTGCTATTTTGTCAATTTAAACATAATCAACAATATCAGAATGTTAAATGAATAAATTATCAAATCTAAAACAAAACATTCAATTTATCCACAAAAATTACATTTCATTTCATCTTTCAAACCCATTCCTTGCTATTGAATCATGATGATGATCATGGTTATTGAAATTATCCTTTTCGATGGTAAAAAGCGATTGTCTAATAAACACATTCATTGTTACCAATTAGAGTTGCTTATTAACACATCAAAATTAATTGGAATAATACTAATTGGAAAGTAAATTGGCTAAATGTTTAATTATGTATTCAAAATGGTTATCAATTTGATTAAGTTAATAGTGAATGTAAAAACAATAAGAAGCTTAAATGTTGAATAAGATGCTTGTTAATCTGATTATGAACAAAAGTTGAACTATAAATGCAATTGAATAGGAAATTTGTCTTATTTTCATCTCAATGGTGCTTAAGTCAAGAAGATGAGGAAAAAAGATGAACATGATTAAGATGAGATGTACAATGTAAATTGTAAACGAGAAATGCATTATTATCTAATGATGCATCCAAAATACAACAATAACTGATGATGTTACAGTATTTTAATGTTGAACAGTTGATATATTGAATTGAAATCAGTGTTGAAGATAATACGAAAAAAAATATGATGAGAATCAAGATGAAAATAGAGGATGAATATGATGTTATTAGTCTTTTCAAGTCTTTTACCATTTTATTGACCATTATTTTGATCATCATTTTAGTCTTTTGTAGGAAAATCTTTGTGTTAATCATTTTACTGACAGCTTCAACCCTTATTTATAACGTGATTTATCACCAATTAATCAACAATTGAACAAAAATTGAACAACCATTTAGCAGCAATTTACTGTCAATTATCAAGAGACATTTTCAACTAAAATGTATTGTACTAATGCTTGGCTTTTGTCAGCTGTAATCTGATAATTAACAACTTCTGTCAATATGAATCTTCCATTTTTCAATCAAAAATCAATTTGTGCCTCTGAATTGACCTCAAATGGCTGTGATTAATTTATCAATCAATAAGCTGTTCAGTTTTATAAATAAAAAAATTAAATGAAAAATTGAGATGATTAATAAATTCAAATTGACCGCTTGAAAGGCATAATCGCGGTTTCTTTTTTAATATCTTATGACAATGTGAAATAAATGGCTCAACAAGTTGATCATCTTTTTTTGTAATTGTATTTAATATTTAATTGTGGATAAAAATGGCTATTAATTTGAAATTTAATACATTATTAGTACAAGTTTGATTTTGTGTTATCCATCAGCAAAGGATTCATCAAACCTATCAATAAATGGATTGAAATTGGCCATTTTTAAAGCTAATGTAACCATAATTTTTTACAAGTGTTGATTTTTTTTGCAGCCCATCTTTGGTTTGTAATTGTTGTATTAGTTAGTTTGATTATCTATTTACCTTGTTTGAATTGTTTTTTTAATTTACAGTTAACTGGGACTGTGACACTCCATCCGTGATAGGGATCTGGATTGATATGTACCAAGTGTTTCTAGGGTTCATTGTTTTCCAACAGCTACTAATGAGGTGAGCCTTTAGATGCTGTCAATGTTTGCTGGCTATTATTGGTGTTATTATTAGTGTTTCCTTTTTTCATCATCTTTTTATGTTTCATCCTGGTTAATGAACAAGGAAGAGAAAGAAAAAGAAATTCTCAATCTTATTAATAATAATAATTGTGATAATCTTAATCCACGATGCATCAGTAATAATAATTGATTCAGTAACATGACAAGCAATGTTAGTTTTTTCTCACTGTAAGTCATACAATTTCATCCCTTCTGTGGCGCACTATGATACATTCTTGAAACAATAATGACGTTAACAGTTTGGCTATCATAGTTTTCATCAATTCAATTGATAATAGTTTTGTTATAATAGTTAGTTAACATTCCTATTGAAGTATCTTGGTTATTCAGTTCACTAAATGGTTCAATTGCTCAAATATCAAGGGTTTTTCCAATCAACCATATTTTTAGCTCTAAAAATGCTTTTTTTATAACAGATTAAAGTCTGTAATCAAAAAATAAATGGGTCTAAAAATATATCAAAATACTAATAATAGAAACGCATTTACATCCAATAATATCTTCTCAGTCCCAGTCTTACAAGCCTTGTCAGTATCAAAAGTTTACAAAATATTTTGTTTTCCATTGAATCAAAATTGCTCCTTTTCTCATTAATATTATCTTCTAGCAATTAAAGTTAGATAATTTGTGCAATTATTTGCCATTTATGGTGAGAAAAGGTCAATTTTATCATTCTGGATCATATAACAATACGGAAAGAATAGCAAAACACAATTAACTTTAACTATTCCCTGTTACATCAATTGTATCTCTAATCTTGTATTTACTTTTACAGGTTTTCATATCCATCGGTTTCTCATTGAATATTCTTGGATGTATTTTGGATTGAGCCATAACAATTGGATTGTCAACCTCAATGAGCATTTCAAATGATAAGCTCAACTAAATGGTTATCAATTTTGATCAATTGGTAAAAAGCAGTCGGATAAAAAACGATTATGAACAGTTAAGGTTAGCCGAAAAAAAGAAAGAGTTAATCTGATATTAATAGTTACCAATTTATCCTCTTTGGATCTATTTTTTATATCAACTAGTCTTTCTCTGGAGGATAAAAAGGCAAAAGTTAAGCTTAACTTAAGGCAAACTGGAGAGATATTAAACTATCTGGAAACCATTTTCAGGTAATATCAACATTATCTTTTCATGAAGGATTTGTAAGTTTCAGTGATGATGATGATTATCATGTTCATACAATACAAAGTATCATGTCTCGACAAAAATCTTGTACAAATCGGTTGATAATGAGGCTTTTTAGCATTAAATGTATTTTTAATACTCTCTGAAATTATAATTACTTCAACTAATAATATAATACTAATAATAATGTCTAGTTATCCCAAAAGTATAGTTGATAAAGGTTTATAATCTTACCTTCTGTTTTGAAACCATGTTTTCACTTGTGTTTCACTAAGATTCAAACTTGTTGCCAAATCTAATCGTTCAGGTGTTGAAAGATACCTCTGAGTTTCAAATCTTGATCAAATATTTAAAAAGTACATTAGTTAATTGTCTTTCTTTGTTTCATTTTCAGAAACAAACCTTTTCTCAAGACCGTGCAGCTGATGATCTGAAAACACCGTTCTGGCTTTCCTCCGCCGATGAGAGGCAACATGAGTTGCTGCTTCCGAGGCAGCTCTCTGCATATGATGCAGTATTAAATCATGATGGTGACTTTATGATAAACAATTTTAGATCAAGATTCAGGATTTTAGGATCATTAATGGATAAAAGATTAAAAGATTGACAAAAATTTGGATCGAGACTTACCTTGCTGAATAGGCTGCAAAAGAGGGATGAAGTAAAGCAGCAGCGGCAGCGGCAGCAGCTAAACTTGATGGATCATTTGAATTGTTTGATAAAATTGTTTGATTGTTACCATTGATTGGATGGAATGAGCAATGATAACCATTGGATGAATAAGAATTCAATGGATTTCCAGTTGAAGGAGAATGATGGTGATGATAATATGAATCCCTGATTTCTTTGATATCCTGACTTGTTTCCAATGTTTTCCTTTGATCAAACACAAATCACGAAAACAAAAGAAGAAAGAAACATTTAAATTAATTCATTTCTGCAAATCAAACTGGAATTGTTGGACAAAAAGCAAAGATTGGAAAAATTATTTAAAGAAAAATCTAATTACTCAGAAAGAATATCCTTAATGAAGAAAGACGAGTTTGGAGCCACAATCAAAGAGTTTGAACAATTATCACCTAATTTAGACATAATTGGATCCATGATGCACATCAATTGAACTTTATTTTTGTCAATCATATGTTGGTTAACAAAGCATAAAAAACTTGAAGACGTAACGAGTCAATCAAGTGCAAACTATTAGTTCAACCTGAATCGCAATCAATAATGCAAGTTGGATATGAGAAACATTTTTATCAACATTAACATCACCTCCCAGTTATCATCATCATCATTTCATTTTTTTCACTCCCTGAATCCAATTTCCACTCTCTTGTTTACCTGTTATTTAAACTCATGGTCTTTGTCCAAAAGAAGAAGAAGGAAGAAGATAGAGAAAGAAAGAGAAGCCAAAAGAGCAAATACTTTTACTATTGCGATTATTATTATCATCTTTCAGCATCCATGTTACCTTAGTAACCTTTAGCATCTTTAGCATCTTCACGCCCATAGCCTTGTATTTGATATTTTTACTGGTTTATCATTTATCAAGCTCCACCTTGGCTCTTTCTTGTTCCTCTTTCTTTCTCCTTTTCTCCTCATCTTCACCTCATCATTTTCATCATCCAACATCTCACTCTCTATACAATAACATGCTGATTAAAATAACATCAGCTTTGTTTTGTTTTTTTCCTATTATTAACTCACTTCTTTTTGTAAAGTTTGTCTCTTTTTTTACTTTAATTCACTTAAGACTTTTGGATGATGATGAAAACGATGAGAATGATGATGATAATGTTACACGTTAATGAGCTGAATGTATAGTGTTAACAAGTATTAGTAATGAAATTGAATGTAAAAGTGTAACAATTGTCATTCAATTTGATTCACTTTTCTTACAACCTTTACCTTTCATTTTACAAGTTTGATTGTTTGCTTGTTAACTATTGATTGTTGTGTTTTGATCGATCATCAATGTAATTGAGTGAACCAAATGAATTGCGTCTTCTAATCAACCTGATACTTGCCATTTCCACGAGTCAATTTGAAGTTTCACCTCGTCAGCTTGAAGTATTCATGTTGATTCAATTGATGATTAACATTTAATTATTGGTCCTCTAATTGATTTTATCAATGATAATGCAAACCAATTAAATGCTGAACCATTTTTAGTCTACTTTTTACTATAATAATTGTATTTGGCTATTGTATTATGCAATTGCCTTGAGCAATGTTCATTTCAGTTGAATCCCTGTCTTCATTATGATTATTATTATGACAAAAAGAGGATGAAATATAATTTGACATGAAATGAAAAAAAGAGGATTAATCAGTAAAGGTAGGACATTTTTCATTGGTAATGAGGTTGCTTTAAAGTTGCAATTAAAATTAATGAAACATTTGACTGTCAATTAAATTGTTAAATGATCATTTGACTGTTAATCAAATTAACATTTGCAGAAAACGGGATTTAAATGGGAAATCAAATTAACACTAATTTACTTGATTTTGGTGTCAATTTGTAATAAGACTTTTCTAGTGTCTCATTGAAAGGTGTTGATGATGGTAATGATGATCTGTGATGATTGTAATGAATGTTGATCTTGAATGGGTAACAAATGTTCAACAATTGTGGATGTTATTACTGTCTATGATTATAATGATGATTATAATGAAGATGGCAAAAATAGGAGTGAGAAGCTAATAACAGATAAATCCCAGTAAGAAGATGAAGAGTAAATAAGTGAATGGTTCAAGGTGTAGTTGTCAAATGATGAAGCTTGTGTGTTTCCTCTGTTTTTTTTTTGTCAAATTAAGATGAAAAAGTGAGTTGAAGATGATGATAGAGATGAGGATGATGATGAAAAAATTGGGATGTAAAAAAAGGATAAGAAGCATATAATGAACAATCTTTGAGCGTAAAGAAGATTACATGAAAAAGATGAAGCAGAAAAAAAGTTGAAAGTGAAATGATCAACTGTTAACTGTGATCAAATAACAAGGAGTAAAGTGGTCATAATGTTGATGATGATGAGTATAAATTGAAATTTGAAGCCAACTGACATGATGATATAATAATCGTAACAACGTGCGAGAAGATTAGGAATAAGTACAACAACAGCGCCAACAAAAAAGTGAAAGGAAAAAGATGAAAAAGATGATGTTTAATACAAATTGACATTGATGCTTACATCTTAACAACATTACTTGAGGCCTTAAAGGATCATCATTATCAACTGCCAACTAAATGTTTCAATCAATTGATTATCAGTATATTATTAATTTCTTATTGTTCATTAAGATTGTCAATTTGATTGTTAGTCTAATTGCTTTGATTCCCTATGTTTTTTATTTCAAGTGTTGTTTTTGCTTAGGCCTAGGCCTATGTTTCTGGAGAGACCTAGAAGCAGGTTAGTAAAGGTGCGTTTTATATCCTTTTTTCATTGTTATTTATGTTTTTTGTTTGATAAATTGTTCGCAATTAAATTGTTGTTCATCTATTATTAGGTTTATTAATTTGTTTAAATGTTATAATATTAATAAGAGATGATTAAGCCAATTAGAAGTGCAACTTGTGATAATCTTCTTTCCATTTTAATGAGATCTTGTGTGTGTTTCCATAATTTCTTGCAGGCAAACGCTTCTTATTCATACTTTATATGCTTGTTATTATAATAATATAAATAAAAATGATTATAATAATAAGAGTGGTTAAACCAGTGATTATATGATATTAAATTTGAATGATTAAAACACTATTAAATTGGGTTCATTAGGTAAATGAGATTAACCTTTGTCTTTCAATGCTTTGTGAGTCTGTTTACAAATTTTCTGGTTCATCATTCATACGTGCTTTTTATGTGATTTTATGCGCTTTTTCATGTCATTACATGTCAATTTTTACGCCTTTCATGTGCTTATGAGTACTTTATGTACATTCAATCATGCTTCATGATCAGAGTTAATCAGTGTTTGATGGTTTGAACGTCTTGTCCTTTTTTTGTGCCTTTGTTTGAAACTGTTTTTGGGTTAACATTTGGTCAAAGTAAACCATAAAAATAGATCATCAACAATCTTGTTCATTTTGTTAGGTGTTGTTAATATTAATCAATTGACTGAAAAAGATTGCTCATGATTTGATTTGTTATACTCATGTAACTTAATAATATTTCAAGTAAATAAAACAAGGTTAGGAGTTGATATAAAATGAGAACTGGGAATTTAATGTTAACAATTGTCAACAATTGACTAGCAATCAGTAACTTGATTACATTATTGTGTACAAAAGAGAGGCAAAGAGTCCAAAAAAAGGATGAATTATGTTGTGTTAATATAATCTATTAAAGTCTAATAGTCTTGGTTATCCTCTTTTGTTCATATTCAATGAGGAACCAAATATGATGATAATAACGATGATGAAAATATCAAACATCAATACCATCAACAACATCATCATCATCATCAACTCAATTGATTTTACCTATTTCATAATTGATCATAAAACTGTGTTGTCAATATTAATATCATTTTGATTTGAGCAACTCTTATAGTAAATCCTTCGGAAATGTTTGACACATTTTGACATCAACCACAATTAAAGTGTTGATTGTTGTTTAAATAACACAAATTACTCTCATTCATTCAATAGGAATACATTGAAACTCAACAAATTTTGTTAATATCAACTAAATTGCTCGACAAGTTGAAAATGTAAAGGTTAACCTCACATAAAGAGGTGTACAGGATAATCAAGTTTGATGATTCAGCTTATCTAATTACTAGCGTCTTGAGTCTTGTTAATTTTAACATTTAATTTAGACAGATTAACTGTTGAAATTTGCTGATTCTAATTAAACATTGTAAACAGTAGCTAAGCTAATCCATTAATTCCCTTATTAAGCTTCAATAAGCTAATACCAATGTAAAGTTAACATTAGAAGCAAAAATTTGCTGGTTAATTTTGCTTGTTAGTTTATTTTCATTATAACAGGCAACCTTTTTTCATAGTTTAACATTGATAATTAATAGTGAACGATGATCAAGATGAAATAAGGATCAACGGCTTTAGGCAATGAAATATTGAATAACATTAGGTAATTGGCAAGATAAATTATCAAAGTTATCCAGTTAAATAATGTTAATCTTGACCCAAAAAGAGCTGCCAAATAGATTTGTAATCCGCGCCTTTTCGATTTCCATTGAAAGCTTATTCCTTCCCAGCTGATTATCAATTGTTATTTGATATCTTCAAGTCCCTCTCTTGACATTTTATACTCATAATTGTTTCTAATTTTCAACATTTGTACTCGACTGACGCCTTCATTATTGTTGAGCATTACGCTTCAGCTTCATTTTTGGTTTGCTTCTTTACCATTGTTATGAGCCAACGTTGACCTAACCATTGCTTTATAAAGCGACTAACTGTAAAGATCTCTAATCTGTTTAATGGTTTATTGATATTTTTGTATTATTGATGATGATTATGATGGCGATCATGAGGATTCCAGGGAAAGATGATATTATACACGTGACCAATGGATTGTTATCATCATAAATGATGGAGTAACTGTTCAATTAATGATGCTAATATACCTACAATATATATGTTTGTACATATAAATATTTCTATCCTTTTGCCTTGCAGCTAAATGTTTTGACAATAGTTAAGGGGGTAACAGAAAAATGTTAACAGAGTTACAAGTAATAATGTAATAATGTTGTAACAACCATTGTCAGTTAAGTGCTCTTTAATTTAATGAACCATTTCTACTAATGAGTCCTTCAAAAGACTGAAGTTTCCATTGTTGCTGTTATTAGTAATTTTATTGTTGTCTCAATGAGACCCTCGAATTTAACTGCATAATACAAAAGTCTTATGTTATTCCAGGTAAGTAAATTGTTTTAGAGATAGAAAGGAATAAAGAAAATATAGTTGAGTCTCTGAAATCGTCGCTACCTAAACTTTAAACTGTGCACACAAGCTATTTCCGGCAATAAGGGATGTACGATTTATCGTAATTTCAATGTTATATAAAAATATGCCATTCAAAGTATGCAATTTTTGCAACATGGTTGACGGAGTCAAAGGAAAATGCAAACAATGTGATGTTACTGTGAAATATTGGTAATACTGTCAATCTCTCCTCGCACAGCAAAACCAAGCATCCAAACCTCGCTATTCAATTAGCTGATGAAGCAACCGGAAAACAAACAACCAAGAATATATGATCTGGTTGCTGAATTGAGTTCAATAAAAGGTAACAACTTTCAATGTGAAATAAGATGAAATTTTTATTTTTTTTTCTTCTTTCAAGGTGGTGTTGCTGCTAATGTTATTATAATATAAGAGAAGCTATTGTTTCGTTTATCTTTGGAAATGTTTAGCTATTTTCTATGGAGATAAATGAACCATTTTCAAGTATTTTAAAATGGAAGACTCGACTTCCATCGAAAAGCTTAAACTTTTTTCCTGACCCAGTGTCATCAGCAGTTCTTAAGTCTTTAGCTCCAGCTCCAGTTCCTTGGCCATAACCATAACCAACTCCAGCTCCAGTTCCTTGGCTATACCCAGCTCCACCTTCGGCTTTTAGCTTATCCTCAGTATCAGATGGACCTCCAACAGCATGCTCACATAGATTGTAAATAACAACAATAGTGAGGAAAAAGATAACTGGTATATCACTGAAAATCCGCATTTTTCTTTATCAATAAGATGTAATTTCGTCTACAAATGGTTAACTGAAATTTGTCAATATACTGTAACTGATACTAATGAGATGAAATCTTTTTATACTGATTCTCATGAGTAGTTCGTTTGATCAGCTCATTTCGCAATTCCACGTATTCCAAGTGGTGTGTACTAAATATTAAACAAACGCGAGCAAACAGGCAAATTTTATTGTTTGATCATTTTTATTGCTTTCTACCTCATGATAAGCATAATTTAACTAATTTCTGGTTGTTTATTTTAGTTTGATCATTGATCGAATAGCGCACTACCTGTAATAGAAATAAGAATTTACGAAAATAAAAAGCAGGAAAAAAGCTGAACAAAGTGAGTAATAAAAATCGAATTTTCTCGAAGATAAATATTTGAAATGACGTGTTAGAAATTCATTTTATGCAAATTTCTGCAAGTTTGAAACGAGATATGAGACACATGATGGAGAAAAGACTAAATTGTCAAAAATTACATTCTTAAAGACAAGTCATATCATTTTTATCTTGAAACACATGATTTTAACCTGTCTGGATTAATTATGAGATTTCTAACAATACAACTATTACCACAAAAATTCACATAATTTATCCACACAGGTTATTGGAGGCTAACAATTTACGTTCATATTAAACAAACTGATTGCATAAATACTGAATAATTTAGATCCTCACTATTAACTTTTCATTGCGTTGATTTTCGATGTTTATTTTATTCAACAATTCTAATTTTGTCCTTTTCTAAATCGTTTAGACTAGTTCTTGATAGTGAAATTGGGTGCGAATCCTTCACGATGAGTTATCGATTCGCTTTAAGCATGAACCTCAGCTGCATAAAACTTAATTCAATCCGCAATTTAATTCTATCAAGTGACTGAGCCAAATCATATCCATTACATCGAAATAACAATGATGCGAAAAGATATAAGTTCAGAACAAATTCAAAGCTATTCATCTTCAGGCTTTGATTCAGACTGCTTGTGGTGTTTCTTCCATTGAGCTAATGAGATGGAAAGTGGAAGTAAGAAAATTTGGTTTGACCTTGATAATTAAAAGGTCTTTTACTCCGATTTTCACTATAACAAAACGTTGTCCATAATTATTAATACATTGGGCTTTTCTAGTGCTTGGAAGTAGAAAATGCTTGCTTAATTTAAGGAAATGATGATATTTCTATTTTGAGCTAGATCTTTTATCTTGAAATTAAACAAACGGTGTAATTGGGTAATTAACTGATTGCTTACGAAATTACTTCCGGGAATTCTTGTGCGAAACACGAACGAAGAATCTAAATAAACGCAGTTTTGCCATATGTTTTTAATGACATCACGAACGTATTTACGGTTACCACAGGTAAATTTTCGAAATTGGATCTTTTAGTTCATTTCAAGGCCTTTTATCCTATTGACATTTATCTCCAAAGAAAACACTTTACAGATAATTCTCTATTATTTTGACCGAAAAATCATAACCTTCTTTTGTATCAGGGCTATAGCCGTATTGTGAATACAGCTCGATGTCACTCAGTCCCTATCTCTTTTGCTACTTCAGAACGTGTAAAATTATGCATAACACTAATGATTGATAATCAAAATTAAAAATTTGGTATTAGAACTTGTTTTATTTGATTGTCTAAGAGTATTCCGAGTATACATAAATATTGATTCTCTAAAAAAGCATGTAATAGGAAAAAAACTAAAGCAAAGCTTTTGGTTACATCTTTACATTTAAATGCAATTGCACAATTAGTAGTATTTATCGTCCTGTGATTAGTCGATAATAAAGACATGATTTTAGTTAAGAATAAATTTAAATAATTAATAAAGATAATGAAATTGCATTTTGGTTCATCACAGAAGATGATGATCAGTCAGAAGGAAAGAGGCAAATAAGATGAAAATGATAAAGAAAAAAACTATCATGAAAAATAGGCAAAAAAAGGTGATTAGAAGACAATTTTGATGATGGACGGAAATAGGAATTTGATGATGGAAGGATGAAGAAGATAATCTCTCAAATAGATCCGTTGATGGTTAAAGCAGCAAATTGTCTTGATAATTGTCATGTAATATGATGGATTAAATGATGATTATAGTGGTAAGCACTAAGGTGGGTTTGAGAAGGCAATTAAATGCAATTATTTCCATTTATGTTGATTAATCCAGATGGACGGCTCATTTGATTAACCACAGTCAATTTAGGTAATTTACTATCAGTTAAGAGCCTGATAATGCCAATGATAATTCGTCCATTGTGGTTTAGTTGATTGGCCTTGACTCCAATGTGAATTGCAATATTGTTATATGATAATAGTTACATAGGTCATGATTTGATGAATATATATATATTAGTTTATATACATATAAGTCGTTGAGCGCCAGACGAATTGTCCGTTTACTTTTAATCATCTCTATATTAAATATCACTCTCAGTGAACATTATGTCTTTTTATCTCGATTTGCGAGTTTGCTCTTTGTATTGGTTTTCATTTCTCTGAATTACTTCTTTATCTTCTAGTTCTAAGATTCATTCTCATCTTCCAATGAGTAATTTTCTTCTGATTCATCATAATATTCCTCTTCAATTTCAATGTAATCATCTTCCGCTGTTGCTTCTTGGTATTGCTGATATTCAGCAATGAGATCTAATACATTTGACTCAGCCTCTGTAAACTCCATTTCATCCATTCCTTCTTCAAGGAACCAATGGAGAAAAGCTTTACGACGAAACATTGCTGTAAATTGTTCACAGATTCTTTTGAATATAACTTGAATTGCTGTTGTATTGCCGATAAATGTTCCGGACATTTTGAGACCTAACAAGAGGATAAAAAGAAAATTAAAAATTAATTCCATGCAATTAACTTAGGTACTTTTTAATTACTCACCTCTAGGAGGAATATCACAAACTGCGACTTTAACATTATTGGGTATCCACTCAACAAAATTGGATGAATTTTTATTCTGTGTTAAAATCATTTGCTCATCGACCTCCTTCATTGACATTTGGCCTCTAATAGAAAAGCAAGAAATAATATAATATTTAAAAATGATAGATAAGTTAATATAATGATCAGAAAAATCGTTTTTGTTGTTGTACCTAAACATAGTAGCTACGGTGAGATATCTTCCGTTTCTTGGATCGGCAGCAACCATCATGTTTTTAGGATCAAACATTTGTTGAGTTAATTCGGATACAGTTATATTACGATATTGTTGTGATAACTTGGCAGTTAATGGTGCAAATCCTGACATGAAGAAATGTAATCGAGGGAAAGGAACCATGTTAACGGCAAGCTTCCGAAGATCCGCATTCAATTGACCTGGAAATCGCAGACATGTTGTGACACCTAAACAAAGAAGATAGAAATGATTAAATTAAATTATACCGTCGCGCAGACAGAGAGTAAACAAGGTAAATATAATTATAATTTGAATCCAAGTAAAGCCAATACGTTATTACCAGTAGAAATTCAATTTATAATTGTCACACGCAATCTTCAAATAAAAGCTGCTCATTTGTTTCATTGTTTGAGAATACAAAATCAATTTACCGAAATCATCTAATTGTCTAGAGATGAAATTGGAATAAAGTATCTAAATCTATTTCAAACAATCAACAACTAACACTGAGTTGATAAATAAAAACCAGATAGTGAACCAGATAGTCTAGTTATACAAAATAATGCATGGAAAGTAACCTAACATCAACCTGGTTAAATGACTGGATGGTAAAAAAATAGCCTAAATGATTTTGCAGATCAACTTATTATCATAAATTATGGTAAACTAATTATGATGGATATTTTGCTGATTTATGAATATTTACCTGACATGGTTGCTGAAACCAGATGATTAAGCTCACCATAAGAAGGTGAAGGAAGCTTTAAAGTACGAAAACAAATATCATATAAGGCTTCATTATCAATGCAGAAGGTTTCATCGGTGTATTCAATTAGTTGATTAATGGATAAAGTTGCATTATAAGGTTCAACAACAGCATCAGATACTTTTGGTGAAGGAACAACAGAATACGTTGTTATTATACGATCAAGATATTCTTCACTTAATTTTGATATGAGTAAAGTTCCCATTCCAGATCCAGTGCCACCTCCTAGTGAATGAGTTAGTTGAAAACCTGTAAAGAAATGGGAATATAAAAAAAATTGGATCAATAAATTGTTGAGAAGGTTGCCAAATAAATAAATAAATAAAAGTCTTTTAAATGAAATGCAATCAAGATGATTCCAGCCAATAATCAAGCTTTGGTTTTCATCTATTGAGGCTCAACTGATTAAATAAAATTAAATCTTGAGTACCTTGAAGACAATCACAATGTTCGGCTTCTTTACGAACAACTTCCATGACTATATCAACCAATTCAGCGCCTTCGGTGTAATGTCCTTTAGCCCAGTTGTTACCTATTCAATTAGATTGAGAAAAAAAACAAGAATTATAAATTGAATTGATCGGTAAATGTAAAATTAAATCAATTGATCACATCATATTGAGATTAAAGTGCTTGTAAATCAAATACAACGAGAACGACCAATTTAAGGCAAATTAAATATATGGACCATTGATCTGTGAGTCAAGATAAAGAACCAATTAACTAATGAATACAGCATAATAATTGAATAAAACTATCACATAAATTACATTTCTGTTTACCAAGCTTTACTATTACTAATATCTAATTGTTTGTTGATTTTACAATAACTGTTATTTGATATTGACTCAAGTGATGGGAAAGTGCTGAGCTTACCTGCACCATTGCGACCAAAAACATAGTTATCAGGACGGAAAAGTTGGCCATAAGGGCCTGATCTGACAGAATCCATGGTTCCTGGTTCCAGATCAACCAGTACCGCTCTTGGAACATAAGTATTTGACTCTGAAAGAAATGATAATAGATTGGAATAATTAATTTGCATAATTGATAATAATGTTGACAGCAGGGTGTAATCTGGCTCATTAGAGGTTAGTATCATCATAATCATCCGAGTGGGAAGAGGTAAATGATTTGTTAACGGGCTTGTTTACCAACTTTAATGTTGTCAAATTTTACAAGCAATCACTTGAAACCAACTGGACTTGAGAGCCAAACTTTTCAAAATTAACAATTAAAATGCATTTTACATGCATTTTGATAGGTTGATCAATCAACATTTGAATCGTCATTTAAATAATCAAGTTTAAGGTTGAGATTAAAAATTTGGTTAACACAAAGAAAGGAACAAGTTATTTTTAACATAGAATTGAAGACATTAGGCAAAAGCTTGCATCAGGTTAATTCAGCAAGTATTGATTAAGAATCAACAGTATTTACTGGAAATGATTATTAAACAATAAAGCCAAGATTGGGTTGGGATTAGAGTTAACATACTAAGCTCAATAAAAATGGAACCATTAAAAAGGATTATGCATAAATAGGAAAATGCAAAAGAGATTAAAATATGGATGTACAGCTGAGTAAAGATATCGTCTGGTAAGTTTGGTTTGCAGTGAAGGCAAAGTGATGGTAACAATGATGAACGTGAGATAAAGAATTGAAATAAGCAGAAACGGAGATGAATTTGATTCAGCATTGGTATTGACCCAGACAGTTAGATGAGGGTTAGAGAGTTTAAAACAAATGAATTGTTCAACTTTTAGCCTCTTCTTTCATCTTTTACCTTTTCTTCGCCATTTCATCTTCATTCTTTTTCCTCCGTTCCTACATCTACACTTTTTCTTGATAATCATCACCATCATCTTTTTTTGCAGTTTTCTTGTTCACAATGCACAATAACATGTTAGGTTATCTACATTCAACAAGTTTTTTTCAAATAATAATTGAGAGAATGACGCATCCCTCCCCCTTTGCTTCTCCTCTTTCTATTTTACCTCTCTTTTTTGACTCAACCTTGAGGTCATTAACATTAAAAAATTTGGGAGTCGCACACATCCATAAATACATGTACATAAAAACATACATCTAACCGGCGAGAAGCTGAGGGTTGAGGTTGAATGATTTCAAGTCAATTGTCGTCCTTGTTTGGTGCAATATCATTTATGGTTAACTAATAATAAACATGAGGAGGTAAAAGTTGGGAGAGGGAGAGAGGAGAGATATAAAATATGAAATTGAAATGTGAAAGGAGATTGATTAGGATAGAGATGGAAATTTAGGGTGCAAAAGGAGATTGACGCGATTTTAGGTGAAAAAGATTCTAATTGTAAATATTTGGAGATTGTGTCACTCAAAATTTGATGAAAGGTAAGGCACAAGTGATGATAACAGCGACAAGCATAAAAAAGTATAAACGGTTGATATAAAAGGGCAAAGAATCACGCTAGACATTAATAGAAGAAAGAGAAAATAGAAAGAATAAGGGAAAGGTGAATTATTGCACTACATTGAACATGTTGATGATGGTGGTAATGTAGAGAAATAGATTAGGTTTAATAATCCAAGGCACCTTATCTTCAAGTGATAACACTAAGAGGAAATGCATGGATAAAAGGTGAACAAGGTGAAGAAAGTGAAGATGATTATGATTATGGTGATGATGTTGGTGAAATCCAGAGACACTTGATAATTTAGCATATTTCAATGAGAATCCAACCTGAGGCTTCATTGTAGTAAACATCGATACGTTCCAGTTGCAAGGGAGACTCCTCGTGGTAAGCACCTTGAGCATCTATACCATGTTCATTTGATATAACTTCCCAAAACTTTGTAATCCGGTGGTTATCGAGATTGACATCAGAACAGAATAGATGGACGACATAAGAGAAGAAAAAAAATAAAGTTAGTTACTGGTAAGAAATGAAAACATGAAAATTGTGTTGGTAAAGATGAAGTTGATCATGATGAAGAAAGCATATGATGAGGAATGGATCATGATAACCATGATGACTGTAAATACTCACTTTGGCACCGATTTGATTGCCACATTGACCAGCTTGGATGTGGATGATTTCTCTCATTTTTAGCCACTTTCTTGTTTGACAAACTCAGCGTATATCATGTTAGGCTTTTTTAACAATACAAAAAAATAGTAACAAACACATATAACAAACAACAATAACAGTCAATTGGAAAGGAGAAAAATACGACGATGATGATGGAAGGATGAGAAAAAGGGAGGAGAGAGAAGGTGAAATTGAGAAAAAAGAGGAAGAGAACGAATGATGATAATGATGATGAAGATAAAACTCACTATATTCTATCTTTCCTCTACTCATCTAATAACAATCCTTCAACACACACATACACATGTTACGTCACTTATCATGTGATTATCTTTTTCTCTTCTGTATGCTAAAAGGTAAAATAAAAAGGGAAAGAAACGCAGAAGATAAAAACATAAGATGAAAAAGAGTCAGTAGAGAGGGAGAAAGAGATGATGAAAAGCCGTCAAACCTGGTCCAAACGATGTGTAAGGCTACTTTTGGATAAAATTGACCAGCACTTTGTTGGTCTACCTCGTCCTTTGAAATTTAATATCTACTTTTGTGATCTCTTCTGAGCCAGCTTTTATTTCATCTCATCTTCAGTTAAAATCATTATCATCCATCTTCTTTCTTTTTTCTTATCCTCATCAGGTCAGTCACGATAGTAGCGTTCTTGTTTAGTCTATTATTTGCTGTTGATACCGTCTCAAGATCAAGGTCTTAAAGGTCATTGTTTAAACTTGAGTTTCCGTTCCGATTCAAGGTTAAACTTTGAATGAGTAATATCAATTTTCGGATTACATGAAAAAATCGACTAAATAGCCTCAAATGATTAAAGCTGTTTAAAGATTTAAATTTAATGACCAAGGTAAGTCAAGAAATGAAGAAACTGGAAGCTTTTTCTGGTTGAGATTTTTTTAATTTAAACCCATTCAAACTTTACAGTTATTGTAACATAAGATACTGATTGAATTCATCTTTTGCTTGAAGAAAAATATTTTTCAAGGAAAGGATTAAGATCCAGAAAAAAAGAGAACTTGAAATTAATATTAACGCCTTACTGTCAGCTGCTGTCATGTTTGATATAAATAACGCTTTCACTAGCTAGAGTTAAACTGATATTTAGATGAAGCTTAATCTATTTATGTTGACAGCATCAGTTTAAATTGAAGATAGCTTATGAGTTAAGACTTGTTATTGATTAAGTCAACATCAATCAACTCAATATTATTCAAGATTGAAAAAGTATTTCAAAGATTATCTCAAAAGTAAATTGGCTGTAGAGAAATTCAGCAACTTCTTCTGTATCTGGTGAAAAATTTACTTTCGTTTAGCTTAGTTAAACTTAATTTGCACAAATAATATCATTGAAAGTAAGGTTGCACGAAGTGTTTTTTGCTTAAGAAAATCGATAAAAAACAATACAATCATAATTACTTATATCGATAACCATATTTCCGAAAATCTTTGAGGATCACGTCAAATTCAACTTCAATAAATCCTTTCGTGTTGACTTTTATGACTCCTCGGTCTTCTGATTGTCCAACGATTTTACTGTCAATAAATTCGGGCTGTTTACCCAGAAGCCACGAAGAAAATGATGCAAAAAGTGACGATGCTTGAGGTACAAAAGCTGCAATTCGCCGAGTGTGATGACCAGGTATTGGTGGAATATGAGTTGCACCATAGCCGAGAACGACGTCATTTCCAAATGAATCCAATCCATAAACAGAGAAAATGATTGATGGCCATTTAAATGGATTGCTGCTTCGAAAAGTAACATCAATTGATAGATTCCATATTGACATAGAACGTGAATCTCTGGTTGTGCTGGCAACTTGAGAGCAGCTTTCTTCTTGTCCGCTAACCACCATCCAATCTTCGCCAAAAAGAAAACAATATTTGCAATAAATATTGTCTTTACCAGGAAATAAACCACTGACAACTTGACCTTTCACAGAAATCAAGAAATTGGCTGAAGTTATTTGCATAGCTTCTCTAGCGATGTCTCTTTTGGTTTCTTTTTTCACTTCTTCTGCGGTTTCCTCCATCTTTTCTAATTCATTAGCTAACACAATTTTTAAAATTAGTCAACAATAAACTTTTAATCCAGATTGATGTAAAAATTATCCAAGCAAGATTGCTTCGTATTTGTTTTCTTTTCCAAAGTGGTTTCCAAGGAGAATTTCGATATGTAAAAAGTCAACATATTAGATGAAAACAAAATAGGTTTGTTTTAACACGGGCTGTTGAGAGCAAATGAAATTGCCATTTTTCCTATTCCTCGTGACCAATCAATCTTAATCTAACTAAATCAATAATATCCAAATAACAGAACTAACAGCTCAAACTTATATACAGAGGCTGGAACTCATTGTTTGTTTATAACCTTTTAATAGTGTTCACTCAGCGCATTTAGTTTGAGTCCAATTTGAATTGTGGGAAATTATTAATTGTGCCTCAGTAACCGTTCTGTTTCCATTTGATCAACGCTTAACAAAGTTCTTCTTATTAACATAAAGTACACCGCCTTTGAATTTACCAACTTGATAGTCAAATCCTTTGACAGCATTTGCATCTCGTTTTTCCTTCTTATTGTTTCTGCAAGAAAGAGTGAAAAATATTAATAGCAATCCAGAAAACAAAGAACAGTAAACATACTTAGATTTCACAGGTTTTTTTATGCCGGATTTCGCATTGCGCTGCTTTTCCTCGTCAGATAATTTCTTTTCTTGAATTCTTTGTTGTGTGAGTTCTCGATAGTTTATAGCTTTTGGTTTCTTTGGCTGGAAAAAGATAAATGAATGTTAAATCGTCAAATTTGTTGATCATTGTTGATATTGTAGAAATTTAAATCAACTAAATGAGAAAATGTAAAAATGTAAATTTTACCTTAGCTCCAAGTTTGACTAGAAGAGCTTCTTTGGCTTCAACTTTTTTGTCTCGATCTAGACCAGAAATGGCAAACTTGAAGACATCATGTCTGAATTTTTTCATTTGAACTTCTTGCTCTTTCACTTCTGACTCATAATCACGTTTTTTAGCTGCTTGATTCTTCTTCGCATCCTCTTTTGATATGGACTTTTTATGCCTGGAGAAACTGACAACTTCCACCGGCTTGCTAGGTTTTGCAGATTGAGTTTTCATCTTAAATTAATAACCAACAACGATAAAAATCAAATCACTCAGGCTTGGGTAATATCTATGAACACAGAAGAGAGTAAACTTATAAATAGGATCAGGTTGAATATCAAACATGGCAAATTTTACTTACTGGACGATAACACCTTAAAGTATCTTAATAACCAAGACCATGGAATTGTAAACAAGGCACAATTAAAAAAATAAATTAATAAAATAAATTATTTTGAGCTCAAAACATGTTCAAAAGTCAATGCGGCATTTTCAAAAGAGCTACTGCGCAGTGCGCATGGTGAACATATGTTTTGGTGAAATTTTTTGTTTTTAAAAATATCCAAAATTGTTTGCATTTTATTTATTTATTGTCATTTTGCTGTGATATTACTTTTTTAATTGAATATGTGCCAATACAATCTTTTATGAAGTATTATTATACTTCATAACGTTTATTTATCAACTTCTACAATCTGTCAATCTAACAATCTCAAATGGCCATTCAACTCACAAATACTATATTTGACGATAACAAAAATGAACGAGATTTTTCGAGTTCAAACTCATTGATTATTTCGGAACGCCATGCAGCTTCAATATTTGAAGTAGTTTGTATGTGATACTCTATTCGTTACATACTTTCTGGTCATTATGGATTTACAACTGTAATAAATCATTTTTAAAGTTACTTGTCTCGATACAAAAAATCATGTTTTATGTATCTTGGAAAAAGTTGACTTTTCTGTTCTTTCTTGCTAATTTGGTTCTGATTTTTCAGATGTACCTTTTCATTAGCAATGAATGTGAACCAGCATTTCCAATCCATATAACATCCGCCAATCGTAAAAGCTTAACGCCATCAACTCTTCACTATCATCTTACTATAGTCATTTTCGAGTTTGAAACATTTTCTCATGATCTCAATTCAACTTTAACAACCTTTTGCGCTCTTCATTCCATGATTAAAGTACTCATTATTAGCAATGAACTACCTTATCCTCCATTGCAACTTCCATCCATTTCAACTTGTAATATTCATCTAGTTGTAACTCGACCTGATGTAACTAAGAAATGGCAAGACACTGATCCATTGGCTCACATAAAAACCGACTATGTTCTAATAATTCCACAGTCTATCATTTTTCATAAAGAAACACCTCTTGATCATCTTAAATTCAACTCACTCAGTGATAAAAATTTCATAGTCATTCCTGTAATTGGAGAGGATTCTTATTATGCATACACTTGCCTTGGATTAGACGTTGATCTGAAAAGATGGAGCCTTGTTTACCGCCACCTCGACGAAAATACATTTAAATGTCATCTTTATCAAGGTGAATTTGCTTATTTCATGAAGCGTGATGTTTTAACTAGTCTCAATTTACCATTTGAAAAACCATTCCAGGAGTCTCTTTCAATACAAGCTAGAATTCGGGGTTTAAGGATAAAATTTGAAGATGATCTCAAATTATGGAAGAACAGTGGATGGCAACCGAGTGAAAGAGATGAAATGAAAATGGAATCACTTCGTAAATCTCGTTTAGCTTCTCTTTACTGGAAATTACAAATCAAAAAGGTTACAACCACCAACGATGAAGTTGAATGGTATGGATGTAAAAAAACGTCTTCTCGGTGCTTCCCGACAATTTTTAACAATACTCCAAGCTATTTATTTGAAAACAAATGGACACCCCCATGCTGCTTAGAAAATTTAAGAAAAACTGCTCGCCATGTCTTCTCTGTCTTGGAAAAATGTGGAACTCGATATTGGTTGGAAGGTGGATCGTTACTTGGTGCCGTCAGAAATTCTGATATCATTCCGTGGGACTTTGATGTAGATCTAGGAATCTATCAAGAAGATATAAACAAATGTCCGCTCCTGTCTTATGCTACTAAGCAAGCTGTAAAGGACGAAGAAGGATATGTCTGGGAAAAAGCAATCGAAGGAGAATTCTTGAGAGTCCAATACAGTGAAACTAATAGAGTTCATGTTGATTTGTTTCCATTTTATCCTAAAAATGGAATTATGACCAAACAAACATGGTTCCATGACCATCCTCAGGATAAAGAGTTCCCTGAAGCTTTTTTAAAACCATTGATTAAAATACCTTTTGTTGGATGGCAAGCCTATGCTCCAGCTAATATTACTCAATTTTTGGAATATAAATTTGGTAAAGGTGTAATCGATAATCCACAATACCCGAATCCAAATTTACTATCTTATCCAAGCTCCAAAGAATCTGAGTGAAATACAAATCTGCTCAAATTTGATTAATATCTTATATCAAATAATGAGATTTATCTTGTTCAACTTCCTTCTAATCCACCGAAAAATTAGTCAAATTTTCATAATCAATGTATCAAATTCACTTTTATACTTTTCTTCAACATATTCTTCGATCTAAAGCATACAAGGTGGATGTAAAATATTCATCCTATATAAAACTAGCATAGCATTAATTTAATCAAATAAAATTTGAATCATCAAAACTTTACTCAAATAATTTGCGAATAAATAACTTTAATTTATAAGTCACAGCGATTTTATGTCAACCAGACCAACTTGAATAATGTGAAAAATCGCATCAAGTTGATTTGATTAATAGTTGTTGATGGTCACTTTAATGACTATCATTGAACCAGTCAAGCAATGTTCGAATTTTAAATCTACTCGCTCGAATCATTTCGATCTAATGCTTTCAGAGTCGATGTAAAAATTTGCTGAAACATTTCAATCGCATGCAAATAAACTTAAACAATTTTAAAAAATATTAAGCCAATGGCGATTCTTTAAAGTAGCGCCAACAATCAAAAGATTAATTTATTCAGTTTACTAGTTTAATTGGACAATGAAAATAACAATAATTTTAGCATTTACAGTTGAATTTTTGAATTTAATTTCTGTTACATAATCTGAAAATAAATAATCCGGCATCGGTCTATTCTTCGAGAGATTGCTCACAGTTGAATTAGCTATTTATACTACTTTTATTCTAAATTTGGATTCCATCGCAATTAAGTGTTTCATCTGTTGAACTCTTCTTTCAATTGAAACATCAATTTTTCTTCAAATTCTTAGAATTTTATTCACCAAACCTTTTCTGATATTTATTTGATTGATACTAATGATTGAGATAAATGTGAAAACTCTGGACTCCAAGGATCACCATTTCTCTGTTGATGACAATGTAAGGCGTTTAACTGTATTACAGCATAACCTAATATTTACCTTCAACCTGATCTAAACTGTTATTTTTTAATGATTCTCTCCACTGTCTTTAAATAAAATGTGAACTATTATAGATAACTATTAAAGCATTCAAAGAGCTGATCGCTTCAGAAGTCGCTATTCCTGCCACAGAGCAGAGACTAATTTATTGTGGTCGGGTTCTTCAAGATGACAAGCCTTTATCCGAATATGGTAAGTTACTGGTTTTAATGTATATTGTCACCACTCTATTACCATAAATTCATCAGTTTTATTCAGCTTGTTTTAAAAATTTCTAGATGTTTCGAAATATTTTTCAGCGTTTTAACCAAACCTATATATCTCACCTTGTTTTACTCTTCATTATTTTCCTTTGGTCTATTCAGATGTAAATGGTAAATCAGTCCATTTGGTTCAAAAACCACCAAGTCTCTCTAATTCAGCTAGTTACTCAAACTCGGGATCAGATAACGCAACTGGTGATAGAAATATCAGCTCGTCAGGCGGAGTAGGAGGAAACAATCCACCAGAAACAAATCAGCAAACAGGAAATAGATCAGTAAATAACTTGCTTCTTGGTACTATCAATATACCTCAAGGGTTTTTAGACGTTAACCATTTGGTTCTCAGTGTATCAACTTTGGGTAATAATTCAGCCCGTGGTAATCAAACTGCTCGTAGTCCAGAGGAGCAACGACCATCAGTCAACGTTCAAATTGATCTAGGTCAAATTCAAAATATTCACCCCGCTTATTCACCTATTATTCAAGCATCAGCTCCTATCAGGGTCGGAGTTGCTACTCCTGGGGGACCAATAACGATAACTCGTAATTTTAATCCTCTCAACCGATCTAATATTGGGCCAAATCAGTCATCGACCATGCCATCTAGAGAAATGCGAGGTGATGAATGGCAAACACATGTACCTAATGATTGGATTCCAATAATCAAAGAAGATATTGATCGTCAAAAAGTACTCAGTCGCCAAAGGCCTTTTAGTGATGCTTATAATAATGGTAACCCAAAGAAAAAGAGGAAACAAAGTGATAACCCTAGAGACAGGCAATCAATTAAGCCCTTTTCCAATTGTCTTAAAGATGCCATCATTGCAACTAAAGGTTCTCTTCCTCCAGAGAAATGGGAAGAGATTGAAAATAAAGCATCAACATCTAACATGAACACACAATATGATAAAGAAGTTGATCGATTGGTTAATGAAAGACTTGCTTCTGACAGTGATTTCGACGCCGAAAAATTTTGCGTTTCCTACCAAGTTTACAAACCATTCTAATGAAATCCCACTAAACCCCAAGTATAGAGTTAATGTGATGATCTTCAAGTCTACATTGTGCTAACATGTCTAAATGACCTTATAAAATTGAAAAAAGGCCAGTGAAAGTGATGCCTGATGGTATTATTCCTTCTTCATGTAAGATGCCTTCTCGTATTCATTTCCTCTTCGCTGATCATTTCTACACCAATGAAGCAGTGTTCAAGGAGAAAGCAAATCTTCTCTGATAAACTACAAATTCATATTCAACAAGTCTGTGAAAATAGTTCTGTTACCGCTAACATTTTCTTCATATTTTTCCTCTATTCACTATCTTTATTATTCATCCTACCTTCCTCTTTTCACATCAAAATCTGACTCGATCTATTTTAATTAAAACAAGAAGCAACTTTAATTTGTTCAGCAACACAGTGAATTTCTCAATTCTTTTACAAAAATGGACGTTTTTTGCAAACAGATGGAGCGAAATTTCAATGAATAAAAAATAAAATTGTGTGGAAAGATTTCATCTTGAATACCCACAAGTTTAGATCTTCCATAATCCACGTTACGTTATCCTTCTACTAATATGGTTGGTTATTACTTCTGCATCATATTACTTTTGTGAAAATTAATCAACTTGATTACATGAATTCATTATTAATAAAGAGAAATACCATCACCAATGAAAAAACAGTCGATAAATCAGTTATCTGATATCTTTCTTTCATGGATAGAAATGCGAATTCACATTAAAGTTTCCGGAATTGTTGAAGACCAATAGATATGTATCCTACAAAAAATGCTGTAATATTAAGGCCAATTTCAATTTCTTTCACTATTTCGCTAAAACTGGTAATGATTCTGATGAAATCAAATCATACCTTTTCAGATTTAGTTCTAATTTAAAGTTAACTTCGCATATAAATGCATGTAGATATTCAATAAATATTTTATTGTTTACAACTGATATGCAAAAAAATAATAAAGTTTTGGCAAAATTTTTATTGATCAGATGAAAAATGAGCAATTTGATTACTCAAAGAAAAATCAACGTAAATCATGATAAATAAAAAACAATAAATTAGAGACTTTGTTGTTTCTTTTATGGCTGTATGAGAAAGTCATGGTGACCATAAGGATGAAAAGAAATATTGCATTGTTTTAGACTAAATTAATGAACAGAAATGAATGGATAAAAAGTACCGAGAAATTTGTGTTAATTACTCCAAAGTAAAGCATGAGTATGATAAAAGAAAAAGCTATCATTAGAGTCACTTGAAAATTTTGGAATGATGCTTGATAAGTATTTCCAATACTTGAATCTCTTGATCCCAAGAGTTCATTTGGAATGGTTTGAGTCCAATATTAGGCGTTCGCATTAAGGTGGGACACAAAACAGTCGATATATTGTGAGCTGACATTAAATTTTCAGAGGCATGCTGAGAAACCCTTTCGAGGTGAGCAATCAAGTATTGGAGCGATTGGTAGTGAGCAGGAGGTAGATAAGTAGAGATGACATCTTTTAGACCAGAGATTTTCTCATCCAGAGGATTTTTTTCTGCAATATAAATAGAAGCGAATTAAAAGAATTGAATTAAAAACACTTTTTTTGCATTACTTACTGAGAGCAGCTAAGAAATGAGGATAGGCATCAAATGTTATCAATGGAATGGGTAATGATCTTAGATACATCTTTAAAACTCCAGTGATTACATGGACATCATCACAAGTTTTGAAAACTTGCTCGGCTTTATCCCAGTCTCTTTCGAGAGCTACTTTAATAGCTTCGACATCATCTGATAGACCAGAAACACGGTAGAGTCCTTCAGTATTTAATCCACGATTTTCGATTTCTTTTACACATATGTCAATTATGAAAGGTCGAACTGTATTGCAAGCTTTAACCACGGCAGTAAGATCGATTCCGAAAATTCTGTGAATATGCTTTAAATCAGGACAACAATCATTTGGCACTTTCTCAGAGCATTTACGATGAGCATTGAAACCACAATCTATATGGAATAAAATATAAGCAGAATATTGAATTAAGAATCAAAATTAATTTTGGTAAAGGAAATGAACTGAAGACAAACCTTCACACTTAAGACCTTGAGCAAGTAATCCCCACATGAAATTACCACAATAGTCACAAAAAGGAAGTCCCATGTAATTATGTGATTTAAAGACATGTTTCTTCTCAAACATTTGAACATCTATTACATCGTCATAAACTTCGTCGTCGATATCATGAATATCGATTCTTTTAATACCATTCCTGAGATCGTCTATTTTAGTAAGCTCTCCTTGATCCTTGAAAAATTTCTTTTTTTGTAATTTATGTGATTTCTGCAGAGTATAGTGAGGTGTTTCTTCGTATGCAACTGTAAAGGAAAAGCAAAACGAAATGAATGAGGAAGCTTGCTTCAATAAAATGGTCAGTAATGTTGAACTTACCATTGCTCATAGAGGCAATATAGTCACGGGCATGAGTCTCTAAGTACATGATGATTAGACCATCGGCGACCAGATCATGGACCGTATCAAATCTTTTATCGCCCACAAAATGTTTGCCATCATAATAGAGGCGAAAGTGTTTCGTCTGTTTTTCAAATCTGTGAATAAACGAGAGAAAGATAAATTAAATTTGACGCCATAACAAGAAAAATGTGCGACTAGATTGTAAAATATTGGTTTCAGTTTGACGTTAAATTATTATCACATATCATTAGTAATTCTTTTGTTTCTCTCTCATTTGAATGGAAACAAACAGATAGAAGGCAAAGCCTCATTGTTGATATTTATCACAAAAACATTATCTCCTTTAAAGGGGTTTTCGTGGATCATTATAGATTGGGAATGAAGCAGACCAATATTTTTTAACGTGTGTTTCAAGGAATGAAATGTTGTACAAACCTTAAGGATAGTGTGTACTGATGCTGAGCTCGCACGGATTCTCTGACCAGATACCGTCCATCCTCACCACTGAGTAATTTGTTGGCTTCTTCTCGAGTGATTTTACCATGAAATTCTCTACCATAATGAGGTGGGCGATCAGGTATATAAGTTTGGCAAACAACACGTTTAGGCTTTGGGGCTTTTAATTGTAAAGTGTACAAATCATGTTTCCATAAAGTCTCCAATTTAGTTGCCTCAATATCAGCAAGATTTACATTTGATGACATGATTCCTAGGTATTTTTGGCACCACAATAACAAAATAAAACCGTCACAGTGAATAATCTTTACCACTTAGATATTTTTTATTCAATGGTGTTTGTTGAATACAATCGCTGGTATTGATAATAATATGGTGATGAAGATGATTGTTGCTGTTGATAGCAGCAGCAAAAGACAGCAGAGCTGGTTATGTTGATTTGAATTTAACGACTGGGAGTTGTATGGGGCACAAGTAGACTGTCCTTAAGTATGAAATAAGTTTTGATTTTGATGATGATGTTAATGTGATGATCAAAGGCATGTAACAGAAAACCTCAAAACAAACCAAAAAATGCAGAGAAGCAGAGAATAACATAAGTAAACATTCAATCTATGGGTTTACGCGAATCCAATATATGATTTAAATAACTGGGTTGGGCACTGATTATCATAAAGCAGGATGAAACAGATTATAAATTGAATACAGTAGAGTCCAGTGGTTAGGTTAATAGTAACCAGTAATAATAGTAATGATAATAATAACGAGAATAACCTTTACACTAAAAAAGTAAACAAATGAGAGACTTTAACTAAAAAACAAAAAATGTATGCAACACTTTTCTGATTGAAATGTAGATTAGAGCAAATAGTGAGTGGAAAGATCAACGAGGTAGCAAAATAATTGCTATTATTATAATCCATACTGAAACGTTTGCTCAATTAAAATAAATTGAAAAAGATGAGGCTGAATTGTGAGAAGCAAAAACGAGAATGGAGTCTGGTCCATGGCTTGGGAAGAAGACATTTGTTGAGAGAAAACAAAAACCTCTATTTACATTTGGAGTCTTGAAGACGTTCAAGGTTTGCTTATGGTGTAATTAAATGAGGTTCAAATATTTCCAATCGATCATAATATTTGATATGTTGATTATTAAAGGTAATATTTTAAAGCTGTTAGACGATTATCTGTCTGAAGAATACAAATAAGCAAAAACAAACTCATCAACTTGTAAATGCTTTTTTATTTCAGTATTTCAACTAGTTGAAGAATAGTTTTCAACCTTTTTATATTGATCTGGACTCTGGATCACAAAATTTTAAAAATCAACACACATTTAGATTATTAGTGTCTCGGCACATTTTAAATATTATTCACTCACCACTAGATGAATATTCAACCATTACTGTAAAAGAAAGTAACATTCACTGTAATCGATACAATAATGCAAACAGGTTTACCTTACAATCTCGTAATAATTAATATGATCACTTCATTTGAATGTCAATACGGTAACTTTATTCATGATTTCAAACTGCGTTGGAAATCATCAAATCTCCAGGCTTTACTTTGTAGTTCAAGTAATTTACATTTACATTTAAAGTTGAAATCACCAAAAATTTCACCTTTCAGTTTACTTTGTAATGCTATTGAAACAGACTGGAAATGGTAAAATACAGCTAATTTTGTTTCAAGAGTGAAAGCGAAAGCAAAAGTGCGGCTCTAAAATAACAATGACTTGAACCATTTCTCTGATTTCTATTCAAGTAGTCGTGAAACTTCACAGGGCTAGCAAAACATGAATCAGGTATGGAGAAGAGTTAAAAAGCAAATTGTCCTTTTTGGTTCTACTTTTCACAAAAAGCTACTTGATGACAAAAATTCTATCTGAGATTTTTCATGATCGACTATCGTTTCCAAACTAATAAAATATGCAGACATTTGATCAAGCAATTAACGGTATAAAAAATTTTACGAAAATTTGTTTCTTTTTTAACTTTAAATGCTCGATTAATAGCCAATCAAGCGGGTACAAGAAGCTAGAGATGTGATGGTTACTGGTTAGTTCGGTTAACATCAGTAACCGCAGTTAAATCCCCCTAGTTACAAGTAAGCGGTTGTTTTGTGGCTACAAATTTGAAATGCCAGAACTTAAATTTGAATTTTCAACTTATTACATAGCTTTATGGTTTAAGGCGACTGCTGGTCGATACAATACTTTCCTTGTACTGATTGAATCGACAAATCTCACAAGAGTGTAACATGCGGTAGAGCGCAACAGTTTTTATCTGTAAATGAAAAGAATTGTTGATACATTGTTGTTTAATTTAATTATTGGTCATGAATCAAACATATTTAATAAAAGAATAAATGCATTGTTTGATTTGATTAAACAGTGCATTTTGCTATACATTTGCAGAGTGTGAGTTGAAAACGAATATAGAAAGAAATGATTCTTTCCACAATAAATTATCATCTTTCTAACCATGGAAGAAAATTAACAGCGAGAATCGATAAATTTCTGAGAGGGTTAATTTTGCAGCAAACATTAACAGAAAAGTGCTTTGAAAAACAGTGTGAGAATGAGTTTGATTATGATTGTGTTGAAATGGAATTATTGGCTTGATTGGAAAAATTGATTTAATGGCTAAATGTTTGAATCTGTAAAAGAAGAAAAAAATGTTAGTTACTCGAGTAAACTTTAAAATTACAATTTTTATTACTTTTTCGAATTATCTTCTTTCAATTCCAAGGAAATATTCAGCAACTCCAAGAAGATAAACTGTTTGGGCAATTCCGAATAATGGAGCAATCACAATCATTCGACAACCAGCACCTTTGAAAAATGCCAAGAAGCCTTCATTATGATAAATTTTTGTAAAAGCATCTATCACTCCAGAGTATGTACTTTCTCCGTAAGCTCGTTTTAAAACTTGTAGACGAGTCTTGACAACTGTAAAATAAACGAAAATAATAAATTTAAATTAATAAATTGAGATCCGTAAGCATGCAGTTTGTTAAATGTGAATTTAAACTGTAAATAGATTAAGAATCGTCATCAGTCGAGTGATAAATTGGAGGGATAGAATGAAGTAAGAACAAAAGGATAAGAATATTGAACTTCAAGCATAAGACTTAAGAGTAACCTTCACATATTACAATGAGCATTGAAAAAGAAACAACTAGAAGTTTTGGATCAGAATCAAAGAGCATTGTTAAGCTTGTAAAGACAATGACTGACGCATACCATCAAACGGATTAACGATGAATGCTGCAGATGAGCCAGCACCACATCCTGCCAGAAAAGAGGTCCAAAAGACTGATGATCCGTCTGGTCTTTTAGGGCCAAGAGCATTCAAGTGGGCAAATAACGGGAAATAGACTAATGAAAAATTGACATCGCGTAACATAGTTGCAGTGGCACCTCGATATAGACCTAAAATTCCTCTCTTCTTCACTAGTTCCTTAGCAATTTTAGTAGCTGAGATTGGTACATTTCCATCAACTCCTTTAGCAGCTAAACAAAGGAATAAGAAAATAAAAAGTTAAAGGAATGATAAATCACAATTCAATATCAATCTAGCACTGTAGCTATAAAGATTAGATTCTTGTGCATTTTAACACTTACAAACTCTTCCAGCATCTTGTAGTTGAATTTTTAAAAGCTCCATTGGTGTTGTGACGATAATTTGGCACAAACCAGCTCCCCCGCCAGATATGAGTTCAGCGCCTAAAGATAATTTACCAGCAGAATTGCATAATCGATATCTAAAGAAATCATTAGCTGCTAATTTGATAGCCTTTTCAGGCGTTACCAATAAAATATTGACTGCTGATCCACGGTACATCCCGGTGAAACCTTCACGATGATATGTTTGACGAAAACAGTCCATTAGTCCTCTGTACATTTTGGTTCCATTAGGTCCAACTTCTTGATTTTGGAGACGAGTTTTAACCAGATCAATGGGAAACACACATGTAACCCCAATAATACCGGCAATGCCTCCATTGATTACTTTTGGCACTAGCCTGTTATAAGAAATGATATTTTTGCTTGTTTACATGAATTGTAAATAAAGTAGATAAGTGATTGATTGACTTCCTTCATGACAAGATGAATCAATCATTTAGATAATAACTTACGGGAATTGTTCCTTCATTTAAATAGAGTTTATTGTTGCAGAATAAAGGTAAGATCTCAAAAAGTGAATCATCAACGGCAAGGAGCAACAAAATAATAGCTTGTGGGTAATTGAATTATTAAAAATACTTATGTATTGTTGTATCAATAAAATAGCCATTGTAGATAGCCATAAATAGGGAAAAAGAGGAAAACAAAAAAAATGACAATTTATTAAAGCCAAATAAGTGATTGCAATGTTACTATAAGACAGTAAAAATATTCAAATAAAAATCTATTTACCTTTTAAATTGATCCCCTCGGTTTCAGCATACTAATCAATCTTCTCCATGTGTTTGAAGAAACATTGATTCAACAAGCCCACCAGTTGACACAAGTGAGCTTGAATGATAATTAAATTGTTAGAAATTAATATTTACAAAAAAACAAAAGATGTAAGAAAAGCAAACCCAAAAATACAATGTGGAAGGGTTCCTTGACTGGCTTGTGAGAGAATGTGAGAAACTGGTAAGAGAAAGAGAAATGGAAAGTGAGTGAAGAGATGAAGGAGAAGAAAAATATTGAACAACTTGAGCAACTAACGACGTTAGCTGAAGACGACAATGAAATTAATGAAGTTGGCTGAAGGAATGATTGGAAACGATTGAGGTTTTACTTTCCATCCATTTATTAATCAGCTTAGATATCAGATGGCATTTCAGGATTGGTTTGAATAATGATAAAAATTGTTTCATTTTTATTAATAAACACAATTACACAATATGTAATGATCGTAACATCAAGATTTGCTCTTAATTGCAATTATGTTATCAAGATAGTCTACGATTATAATTAATATCAGATATAAGATATTCTCATGATATTAATCAATCAACTAGTTGATAATGTTCAGTACTCTGACCTGCAAATAAATCAGATAAAAACGATGAGAATAAGAAGCTAATAGCACTCTACTATTTCATTCCAATTCTAAATTTAGATTATGACATGTTTAAATGCCTACTAATTTCATGTTGATTCTTTTCAATATCAAAAATTGCATTGAAGACAAATAATACTCTGGTTTCAATTGATACCGAAAATTGAAATTTGCATTTAATTTCAACATTAAAGTTGACCTGTTGCCAACTAAAATCAAATTGTCACTGTTGTATCAAGAAAATTTATTAATTTATTTAGATTATTTAGGTTAGCGTTGACATTGATCTTCGGAAACTCCAACCTGCAAGCAGATTGTGAGCCATTGAAATGATTTTTGTACAATGCTTTGAGACAAGCAAGTTAATAAAAGTTATATTGAGAATATTCACTTTCAGTTAGAGCATTTTGATTTGAGTTATAAAATCTGATTAAGAAATTTCTTTTATGATTATCATAAAATTGAGTAATTTTTCATAACATTTTTATCCAGTTTTCTTTGTCACATCTTCGTTTTTCATGGCTGGCAAAGCAATTGGCTCGGTTCTTTGAATAATTTCATTATGTGGGCAGTGTCTGATATGGTTGAGAACATCATGTTTTTCATCAAAATACCAATTTTTGATTTCAGTGAAATTAGTGCTGAAAGCCCATTTCTGTGGAAAGAAAGAAAATTATTAGCATAAAATACTGTCAGATAAGGTTTAAGATTACAGTGATCAACTGAAATTGGAAATTAATTTGATACCTTTGATCCAACTACCCAATGAAGAGTTGAATCTTTCGAAACTCGTCTTTCCCATTGCAATATAACAACGCCACGTTTCTCCAAAAGACTTGAACAAATTTCCCGCATACGACTACAGGTCATTGAAAGATTGTTGAGACTAAATCCATCCAATAAGGAGCAAATTTGACGTAGAATCTAAAACAAAAGAATAACTCTATTAGTTTATCACATTGAATATCAAGATATCAATCAATATATCATTGAACTTTGCACTCAATAAATGCAAATATTGTAGATTAATAAGATTGATATACTTTAATTAACTTACTTCATATGGAAGACTAAGAAGAGATACATCACTTGGTTTATTATTATCACAATCAGGATTCATGATATGACCAAAACTTTCGACTACTGGACTGAAAGTTATTCTTGTGCCTACAGGGTAAGGATGAATCCTTCGTTGAACAAAATTACACCCATATTGCCATAGTGGACATCGGTGTTCCATCCAGCCATTGATAGAGCCTAGAATATCATCGTGGAAATTTTGATTATGAGATCCATACTCATCACGGCGAAACTCTTGTGCACATCGGAACGTGTACATTAACTTGGGTTTTGCTTGAAAGGGTGCAATCGAATTCAAATTAAGGTCTAAACTAAGAGATGTATTGTTTGGTAAAATGGGTGGTTTGGGTATAGTTCCAAATGGTTGAGATTCATCTCCAAAATTTGAAAATTGACGTACTTTTTTATCACAGTCAAGTTCCTCAGCAGAAATAGAGGCAAGTCTATCTGAAAGAGAGTCTAACGGTGAGTTATCTCGATAAGATCGTTGGTTTGGATGATGGTTGTTAACATGATTGTCATGATTAAAATGGTTGTTCTGATGATTATATTTGCAATTTTTAAGGTGTGATAATGATCGACCATTCAAACGAGCACAAACACTACTTTGTAGACCAGGTGGAGATTTAGTCATTTGCCAAGGTGATGAATCACTATCATCATCAGAAACAGTTTGAGGTGTGATAAGGGACGAAGTAGATGAAGAACCTGTAGGAGCTCCATTTTCTTTAGGTTCGTGAATATGAGCACCACAGTAAGGCTGCGAAAAGAGAAATAAAAAAAGGTTATTTTAATGAATCAAGAACTAGAAATTGCTTAAACTGAGTAATCAAACTGCAGAAGTGATGATGATGGTGAGATTGCTTCTATAAGAAGTAAAGGGTGAAATTGAATTTTTACATCATTTTTGATCTGTCAAAGTACTTTTGAATCACACCTAACAGCAATTATTTGAGAAATTGCTTATTAGTCATGGAATTTTTGAAATTGAAATGAATTTGTTGGTTATTCTGGGGGATAAATATTGGAGGGGTCATGATCGAAAAGTAAATAAAATAATCCAAAATTAAACATAACCTTGTTAATGAGTATGAACAGAGATTCAAATAACACATGCATTAGTGACAATGTTTTATCAACTCATAGAAATGATATTTCTAAGCATGATATCAAAGTAAGCCAATCAACCTTCGATAGGTACTAACAACTAATGATATTCAAATCAATAAATAGAGATATTCTAAAAAAAGCAATTCTCTGTATGAATTAGCTATAAAAGGATTTGATTTCAAAGGTTTGTACTTCAAGTTGTTCTGGTGATGAAAAGTGACTCATAAATGCTTCAGTACAACCAGAAAAAAAGCTTTAACAAGGTTCGTTAATAAGTTTGTTTTTAAATCTTGTACAGCTCAAATAATGGGTTTACGGAAAGTTGATTGAGAGGTTTTAGATAGGATGATAAATTGAACGTGTTCATTGCAATACTTTCGTGCGTGTAAACTAAGGGTTAACCAACTGTAGAGAACTAAACCAGTACTGAAAATGATCAATTGAGGAAAGATTTTACACCATTCTCTCTACCCACCAATATCACACCATCATCTCTTCTCTTAACTCCCGTGGTAAAGGGAAACAATCATCCATCCGAGAGATCAACAGGGCATACCTTCAAAGGAACAGCTGGATATTTGCGAGTCAAACTATTTCTTAAAGTACACCTTGTTTTACGAGTTACCGTCCACAGTTCTTCAAGCATTCGTTGATCTCTAAGAGTAAGGGCTACATCTAATTGTTGAGTATCCAGAGAGTAGGTAACGGGTTGAGTTAATTTACGATCTCGAGTATAAATCGGCCATCGATTCCATTCAATATAACAATGTATTACACTAGCGGGGCAGCGAGATATATGCTTGGACAAATCTTTACGTGGTAAAAAAGCGGGACAGCCAAAGTTGTGATTAATACAAAGAATCTAAATTGAATGAGAAAATAATGAATGAATAAATAGATGATATAAAGATGTAAACAATGTTTACCAACAAAAGGTTAATGAGTTTATTTATCTCATGAAAACGCTCAACCATTAAATTGGAAATTTTATTAAAACAAAAAGCTTTCTCTCGTATATTGAAAGGTTGAAGATTTGTAGCTTTCTTTCTGTTAGATTTCGTAGCAATGAAGTAATTTAGACAGCTTTGAGGCGATGTGGTAATCAAGGGAGTATAAAAAATGCTGCAGGCAAAACTAAAGTCATCCTTTGTTCATTAGACTTAAAAAAATTAAACAGTCAAATCGAAAAAAGCATCCTCAACTCTTTGCTGATTTGCCTTGACCTAAAAAACTGTGAACCACAAAAATTATTTTGCAATTCTTTTCAATTTTAAGCACTTAAATTGATATTTCCTCTGACTCTGCAGGTATCTCGTTCCCGATTTAAGATGGTTATGCTGAACAGAATCGAAAATCTCGTTGAAAAAAGTCAAAGTTCCCACTTATTGAATATACATTGTATTACCAGTTTTTCAATTACCTTTTCATTTGCACAGAGAAGCTGATGTTCATCAGATTTACATCGATGAAATCTAAAGCCACAGCCTTCTTTACAAGATATGATAGGACAGGCAGCATCTCGAGCGTTTTTGTAACGACATTTAGTAATTTTTATGCAATTATCACAATGAGAATGGTCCTCTGGTTCGTGTTTCATCGATATGTCTGATTGAAGGTCACTTTTGATGGGTTCATTGATGGTTCCCGATATCATATAGGAGGTCTGCTCCATTCAATACCAAAGACAAAGGAAGAATGAAATCGATGAAGATTGATATGATGACCCTCTGTGATATTTGAATTGAAAACCAGCTTGGCTTACATCAAACCATGAGCTATTTTGTAGTGTTTAATCTTAATTAGTCAAGTCGGTAAGAGTTTGAGTACGAGCACCATCTAAATCAGTAGAACTAGTAGTTGAATTATTGCATAAAATATAATATAAATAATATCAGAACGGCAAGATAATACTCTATATCATCTGTGTGAGACACAATGAACAGGGAAAAACATTATTTTGTTGGTAGACAGTAGCATGAGTCAAACAGACTATGTTTAGGAAAGATTACAGTGGAATTCAACAGGAAACACGTTGAAAGTACACTTTGATTGCCATACTTAATCGGTGGAAAGGCAAGAATTTAAGGTAAATTATCACTTTGTTTACGTTTCCATCGAATGAAGTGGCGTAGGAAATAGACAAAATAGCAATAGCAAGAGCACAGAGCAAAATCAGAAAGACTGTTAAAAAAATAAGACTATTTTGACATTTGAGCAAGCCCAAACAAATAAAGAGAATGATTGAAACATGAAAATAAAAATCGAGGAAGATATTTCAATAATTGAATCATCTGTAATGATAAAGCTGTTATCACAAAATAAAAAACTACTCAAAAGAAGGATAGCCAAGAATCAAATGTTAAAAAAGTCAAGTCGTTTAAATCAGATGTTGAACAAGAAAAACAAGTAAACATTAGTAATGTTACATTACTGCCTTCTGTTGCCAGGTAGAAGAAGAACACGATCCAATTTCACTTTTTCATTAAATTGTGAATTATTAACTTCATAGGTCAAATTAAAATTACAAATTAGAATCAATATTGTAAGCAAGACTGTAAATCTCCAGCAGACTTGAATAATTGGTACTTCGAAAGTTATTCTTTGACTAACCTTTAAAATACAATTTATTATACTTTTATTTCAAAGCTATTCCCTTTGATAGCAAATGTTGACCAAATATCGCCGAGAAATATTGGTTAATTATAAAAATGTATGATGTTTAGAAAAATTTTTGATTAGTCAATTTCTTAATGAGTAGTTTATTTTTATTTGCAAAATTGACATGCACTTATTCATTAATAAGGATGATACAAAAAAACGCAAACTTGGTTTACGAACTTGATTTGCCAAACTGAAATATTTAACAGTAACTATAGATAATAAGTTAGAAGTCGTTGAAATTGTCCTTCTTATCAAAATTTTTACCTTGCATGATTGATTGTTGATGAATTGATTCAGCAACCTTTTTATTTTACATCCAAATAGGATATTAGTGTTTTAATAAAGAAATCTCGGATAACACTCAATGGCCATAACCAGAAAAGCTCAACAGTTCTTAAAGTTTTAGCTATTTATGTGAAAAGCGCAATCACTACCTGAAAGAAGATAATAAAAAGGCTATTAGAGGTGTATGTTTAACCTTTAAAAAATATCACAAACTAACCTGTAAATCCAGGCGGACAGATACATCGAGAAGTGCCATTTTCTTGAAGACATGAGCCACCATTATGACATGGGGATTGTAATGAATGAGAATAATTTGATTCACAGTCTTTAACTTGTGATGCTTGAATTGTTTCATTAACCATATCAATTGGTTCTCCGTTAACAGATAACTGCAAAATATTAGAAGATTATAAGATTTAGACAAGTTAACATTGAAATCGATGTCTACTAACCTCAGAAATACACCCGTGAAAACCTTGGTACCTTTCCATAACTTGTTTTGAATATTTAACTTTTTTCAAATCAATTCCTCCAATATATAATGGAAGACGAGTATTTATACCTTTAGTTTGCCCAGGAGATCGTCCTTTAATAGGTTTTGAATCACCAACAATTAAAGTTCCCTCATTATGTTCTCGTTCAGCTTGAATACTTATCCAAACACCATTTAAAACAAGATTAGATGATCTAATATATGCTGGGCCTGAACCAGTGTCAAAGATAAACTCGATTGCTTGTTTCCTTAAAATTAGAGCAATAAAATCTTCTGATCCGACAGCATTTTGTCCCGTATAAACGATGACCGAGTCTTCCAAGCTGATAGCTTTAATTTTAAGGCTAATTTTAAACTTTTCAACTGACCCATTAGGTACAGAATAAGCAGCATACGATAAACCGGTAAACAATGGTTGGTTTATTTTGATGGACTTTTCACAGTGGTCTCCATCATAACCCATTGGACAGTGACACGAAACACCTGCATTGTAATGGTCTACACACACACCAGGTCCACAAATTCCTGTATAACAAGATTTTCCAATCCAAGAACAGCGATCACCTTTAAATCCTGGTGAACAAATGCAACGGTATCCACGAAGTTCATGAGATTCAAAACAATGGCCACCATTATGACAATTAGATGGAGAACAAGTTTCACAGGATTTAACTCCTTTCAAAAAATTACTTGGACGAGTCATTAAGCTTTGTTCAATATTACGAATTTTAAAGGAAGAAATGCAGCCCACGAAACCTTTTTTGTGATCAACTGTTGCTGGTATAGACGTGAAATTAGGTACTCCTCCAATGTACAAAGCCTCTCTTAAGTCAAGTCCAATGAAACGACCTTTTGAATGGCCTTTGACTTGAATAGTTGAATTGATTGTTAAAGTTGCATCTCGACGAGACCTAAAAATGTGAATTACATGCCAAACTCCTGTAAGAAGAGGACCAGGAGATCTCATTGTTACCACTCCAGAGCCAAGTTCAAATTTAAAAACTAAACGTGAGTCTTTGAACCCAAGTGAAATGAAATCACCTTTATCAGGAAACTGTCCACTAAATAAAATTAGACCATCTTCAGTTGAATCAGGGCGAAGAATAAGTTCAAGTTCAAATTCAGAGTATGCCTCTGGAATTGAAGGTAATGTAATGTAGCCCGTTCCACCTTCTGTAAAACCGGCAATCAATCCGGTAACGTGGAGAGCAATTTGGCACTCACTTGTTGTTAATTCATTAACAACTTTACATATGTACAATCCTGAATCTGTTGCTTGAGCATTTTTTATTTTCAATGTTGAACCCTCAATGATGCTTGAGTTGGAAAGAACTGAACTTTGTTTGATCCAGGTAGTTGAAGTTATCGAGTTGGCATTTTTAGACTTTTTTGGGCACTTAAGAACAATACTTGAACCAGCAACAACTCGTCGTTTAAAAGCTAAAAGGATAAGAAAACACTCATTAAGATGATATACATTGCAAGTTTCTAAATTGATAAATTTAAATACTTACCATGTATAGTGAGCATGTAATCTCCATTAATTATACCATCTAATGTGTGAGCTTGACAACGGTAAGCTCCTCCGTCATTTCTTCCAACGTCTTCAATCGTCAATTGGCCTCCGATTACTTCAATATTAGAAGGGAGCGATGGATAACCCAAACGATACCAGGTAACTAAAGGTTCTTTAACTCCCGACAGCTGACAGTCAAGTCTTAATGTATCACCAATATCAATATTTTTTTGGTTTGAACTGATTTTCAAGGAAATTGTTGGCGAGTCTGTGAAGAATTGAAAATATAAATCAATATTTGCACTAATGAATGAAAAATGTTGTACCTTTAACATTGAGAGTTAAAAAATTACTATCCATGTTACCAAAATGAGAATAACCTTTGCAAACGTATCGACCAGAGTGATTGACTTGAATATCTCGAATCCTAGTAAATGAAATAAGTCAAAAATTAAAAGTAAAATGAAATCTAAATGCTTACCTGAGTTGATTGTCAACGAAATCTACTCCGATAGGAAATCGTGCTTCTTTCCCATCCATTTCATAAGACCAAGTTACATTATAATGGTTTTCTAGTCCTGGACAATTGATATCAATATTAGAATGAATCAAAATATTGATTTCGTTGAGAGTATCATTGATATTCATAAAATCGTCTTCTTCAATGTCCTCAATAGAACCATCAATCATAGTAGGCTTGTGCTTATTCCGCGAGTTCGGTGTTACAGAAACTGTGGAAAGTGAAAACAAAAGAAATGAGTATGTTAATGAATATATCCATGAAAAATTTTGAGTTGAGATAATTACTTACCACAATAATTTTCATCTGAATTGTCCAGACAATCAGGAACACCATCACAGCGTAAAGTGTCATTTATGCATTTTCCATTGGTACATGGAAAGAAGCCAACACCACAACCTAATAAATTTGGACTTTGTTATAATGAAAGACATTATTTAATTTTGATTGATCTAACTAACCTAAAGGTTTACACGATCCACCTAGACTATTAGGATCTCCAATGTACCCAGGGGCACATTTTTCACATCGTCTACCTTCAAATCCGAGAGGACACGAACTACATGTTACATCATTATCAGAATCTAAATAGCAGGTTGGAGAGAACCTAGAAGAACAAGAAATTTGCAGATTAGACAGAAGACTGAATTGTTGATAAAAAGTAATTTACCATTGTGGAGGAAAACCTGCTGTCCAAAGGCTAGCCAATTGAAAGGATGGATTAATATAAGGACAAGGGCAAGGCTGACAATCATTGACATGACCTAAAGTTGAGTTTCCATAATAACCTCGAGCACAGCGTTCACAGTTGAAACCTTCAGTGTTATGTTCACAGTCAATACAGCGACCAGAAAGCTCATCACATTTAGAAGTATGTCCATGGCATGAGCACGCTAGGCTTAATCGGACACATTTACCAAGCCATAAATCATCATTATGTCTTATAAATCCAGGAGCACAAGTCTGATAACAAGAATACAGAAAAAAATTATTGCTTTTTAAATTTCCTTTTGTAACAAACAAGATAATTCATTTGCAGGTTTAGACAGAAGTTTACCTCACAAGAATTTCCCTCGTAACCTTCTGGACATGAACATTTTTCAATATAAACACCAGTCTCTAAATCAGATGAGTTTCTATAAGAACCGGTATCCATTCTCAAATTGAGAATACTTGATTCGAGAAAAACTTCATCATAACTGGCTCGAACATAAAAATAGTCAATATTTGCCAAAACTTGCATTATATCAGCCCTATTAGCTAAATGTCGTTTAGACCATTTTTTTCTTAGGTTGACTTCACCTTTAGTCCAAAGATTTTCCCAAAAACGTAGTTCAACTTTATTGTCTTCGATAGAGCTGTGTCCATCTATCACATCGTAATATAAGGTTATTCCATTTCCCGAAATAATGATATCCCATAGATCAGGATCGTGTGGGGCAAACGGAGTGCGATATCGAAACATGTACCGGAGATAACCACCATAAGAATTAAGCTGCGTTTGAACAATTGAAAAGTAAATCGCAAAGAAAAGTTAAATACAATCATATTACAATTTGGAATGCAGATTTGGACAGATGATTTGAATTTACTAACCTGGTTACCGAGAAACATTTTTGGCAAACTCCAGTAAAGAAAGGCATCATCAGGTGTATCAGCATCAATTGCTTCATTGGTGAATTTGAATTCTCTAATCGATGGACTGTAAGTTATTGCTCTTTGGTTGGGAGGATGAGTGTAACCAATATTTACGTAAGATTCATTGTTAATTTGTCTTAAAACTGCTATTGTTACATCACTTGTTAATGGTATCTAATGGAATTTCAAGAGAAAGGTTAGACAATTATCAAAAATCATTTTCAATTTTGATAAACAATAACTTACTTGAGTTATTTTCAGTGAGCTACTGTAACACGTATCTGTGATACCAAAACAATGACACCTTAAGCAATCAAATTGACTCTGAGCTTGATCATTGAAATATGGAGGATAACATGAACCAGAACGATCTGAAATTAGGAGGAAAATGTTTATTTCATTGATTTTTTTGTTGTGATTAACAATAACAGCAAGATTTTTTCATTAATATCAAATAAAACTTACTCTTAATGGTTAGTCGACAATCGTTGTGACCTTTAATCGAACCTTTGCTGTTGCTGGCAACACAAGTCCAGTTACCTTGGTCATCAAGTACCACTGATCTAATGATGAGTAAACCAAAGCCATCATGGTTGGTCCAACTGATTCTTGGAGTTATTTCAATAACTTTGTCATTGAAAAGCCATGTTATTACAGGCAAAGGCTTACCAAATGCTCGACAAGTTAAAGTAACATTGGAACCTTCGACAGCGATAGCAGTTTCAGGAGGATTTTTCAAGATTGTTGGAGCAGCTTGAAAAAGGATAACAAAATAATAATCTCTTAAAATATTACATTGGACTAGAATGTAAAATTATCTATACTTACAGCATCCAATTTCATCTGAAAAATCTCTACAGTCAGGCAAAGAATCGCATTGAAATTCAATAGGAATACATTGACTATTGTCTGTACAAGAGTATTCATCGTATCGACATATCGAATCAACTGATCGTTGATCTGAAGATCCAAGCAATTACAAAAAAGGAAGAAATCGTTTTAAAGGTTTTTATAAATCACAGAGTGTAAAGTATAGAAGTGAAAACAAAACAATCACAACTGAAAAAATATGAACTTGAAACCTAACTTGTCACAATTATTTTCACATACCACAATCAAGATCACCAGGACCTCGAGGACAACCTAAATAATCACCTTTAGGTTGACTGGAAGTTGAGGGCGGAAAGAAAATAATAACGGCAATTAATAAGTCAATCCATGGCATAATCAGGTGGAACATTAACCATAGATCAAAATTTAAATATTAACAAAACGGTTGATGATCCAATGAATCCAATCAAAAGTTGACTCACTGAAATTAGATCACTTTTTTGAAATTTTCATCGATGCTGAATTTTGCCAGACACAGGCTTCAAAATCAACAAGTCAAACTGTTGAGTAATAAAAACATTCAGAATTGATAGAGATAAACATAAACAAATAAAGCGTTGCTTTGTAATTCACTCATTAAAACACTAACAGCTTTATATTAAAATTTGTTTTAAAATTATGTTGTACAATTGTGGTGATTAAGATTAAGGGGAAAAGATGTAAACAACGATGAGTTTGGCGATGAAAATGAAACGTTACTTGTTTATCTTTATTGTGATATCTTTCAGCTGGAAATGGACAAATAGGCGATTGGTATGAGATAATTGTATCGATATTGTTTTTTCTGGTATCCAATATACTTGATTGATTCACCAATTCAAAAGTTGCAATAAAAAAGTTGAACTAACCCAGAAAATTATTGCATTTGTATTGCTTTTACTGTATTATTTTATTTTAGGTTCGTGGTAAGTGTTGATTAAATATCAATATATCTAATGTTTACTGGTTCCAGGTTGGGTGTAATCAAAGAGCAAACTCAGCATGAACATAACTTTGAAGAGAATTGACTATCTCAGAGCTTCGAGAATATCGAATCTGATTCTTCCATCTTCATGAGTCTCTGTTATTATTCCCATGTTCTGTTCAATACAGTCTCATTCCGTATTGATACAAACTGGTATTTTACTGAGGATTGAATGAAGATGAATACGAAATAACCGAAAAAGAAGTGATAATTGCTAACTAATATTGAAATACAACGAAAATAATTTAGCTAATAATTAGGTTAATTTTGAATTATTGTAAAATCATTTCTCAAAAATATGGACGAATGAAATAGAGATTCAATTTTATCATAAAATCCCAATTTATTTAAATAGAGTTTGTTATTTATTTAAATTACTTAAAATAATTGAAAAGTCTTTACCTTTGAATTTGATACAAATTTGAATCATCCCATTTCAATAATAATGAAATACATTGACAAGTAGTAGTTTATAATTTAAAAAAATAAATCAGATTTCTAATATTTTGACTTTGATTAATCCAATCATAATTTAAATCCATATTTTTTAAACAGTTATTGAATATTTATAAATTAATTCAAATTTTAAGCTTGAGAACCTAATAAAGGACTAATGAATAACGTTTAATGAGCTTAGTGGCTTATAGACAGTCGATAACCAATATACAATCAATTTGGTAATCAATCAAATAGAACAGTAATAAACTTGTTTTATAAAAACTGTTATATTTGATTCAGTAACTACCTTAAGCTGATTAACTGCTATTTTTATCCGAGACAAAATTGCCAATATCAATAATTTAAATATAAAGCACTTAAATATCAATCTTCGTCATCGTAATCGACTGCACTTTGACTATCTTTTCTTTTAAATAATTGATTAAGATATGCTTTTCCTTTATCAACCAAACTATCTTGCTTATGAGCTGGTTTGATGTCCGCAACTTGATTGGAATTGGCTCTGTGACCACCATATTCACCTAGATCTTCATTATATCTACGAGAGTTGCCAAATAATCGAGGCCTGAATCGTCCAAATCTATTTGCAAATCTATCTCGCAAAGTTAAAGGTCTTTGATTTTCCGAATCTTCTTCGTCTTCATTAGATTCACGAGATGGTTGGAAACGATTTCTATTAAATGGAAGATTGCCTCTGAATCCAAGAGGAGCTCGATCAGAAACATCACTTCCTCTATTGATTTTAGGTCGCTCATATTCATAGTCTTGAATTCCTGTGCCAAAGTCTCCTCGATTGTCTGATCCATATCTATTGTTATTAACTAATCCACCGCGGTTAGCAAAAGGAGCATTGGGCAACTCATAAGGCTGAATTAATCCAGGATTTCTAGATCGACCAGTTAGACCTCTGTTAATTCCTAATAAATTTGGTTGATGGTTAACCCTTCCACCATATCCAGGAGCTAATTGGTTGTTGATTGGAGGCGATTCTACAGGTTTCTCTGCTTCCTCTTCGTCATTTGTTTCTTCATTTTCAGCATTTTCTTCAGCTCCTTCATTTCCATCACCATTTTCAGACTGAGCTGCAGCTTCTTCTTCAGCTCTTTGTTTCTCTGCTTCATTCTTTTGTTGCTCCTCAATGGACTTTTGGATATCCTGAAGATCCCCTTGACTTAAAATACCTGGAGGAAACAAATCACCGGGAAAGTTACCACCTTGGAAGTTTTGGAATTGAGCTAAATCAGGATCATTAGATGGATCCTGTTCTCCTTCTTGTTCAGTTGACTCATCAGCGGCAGCAACTGTATCAGCATTTGTCTCATCATTATTATTGGTCGATGCGTTTTTATCTTCATCGTATTCAGGTTGTTCTCCATCTTCATCAACTCTTTCATCAGCTTCACCACCTTCCTCGTTATTATCTTCATTGACTTCTTCATCATTATTATTACCTTCGATAGGTTCTTCCTCGTTTGGCTGAATTTCTTCATTGGATCCTTCATCATTTACCGGTTCTTCAGCACCATGACCACCATGATCACCTTGTTCGCCTAAATTTGACTGAGGCAAATCCGTTTCACCTGATTGATCATTGTTTTCATTGGAGGCTTGGTCACCTAATCCGAATCCTTGATTAGGTATATTGACATTATTTCCATTTCCATGATTTAAGTTAAGGTTAGGATAATTATTAGGATAATTCGGGACAGGTTGTTGCAATTGTTGTGGCGTTCTTGTGTTAAACCCTGAAATTATGAATAAAAATAATTTGATTAACGTAATTGCACAGTAAGTAAATTAACAATCCAAGATAAGCATAAGTTTAACAGAAGATTAGACTATTTAGTCAACTTCCGTTTCAATGAAAAACACCAAAATTAACTTTTAACCTTAAACTAGTTTTGTATTTGCTTTTCAAGGAGCTTTTGTTGACTTAAACAACTTTTGTTGAATTTTTGATATCCTTATTGAAAGATAACTAGCAATCAAATTTTAACGATCTAATTAAATGAAATAGCTCAATTAACGGTTAAATTTTGAGAAGAGCTTTTACAATAGTTAATTGATCAAATTTGATGCGACAGCTTTTGTTATTTGTAATACAAATAAGACAAGGTCTGATGGAGTATATGTTAATTGTATAATATCAACCATGAACTAATTGAAATTATATCAGACCAAATAGATCACAAGATCTAATACATAATAAGTTGTTATCTAATTGTTTATCTAATTAGTTGTCTAAATTTTTCTTAAAATAACTTAAATCAACTAAAACACAATACAACAATGGATATAAAATAATTTGGGTAAAATTACGACAAAGCAATGAAATTACCTCTTTGCGGAGAATCTGGCATAACTCCTGATAAAATATCCGATAATTGTCCGAATCCACGATTATTATGATTATTATTATTATTGTAATTGTTATTATTCTGGAACTGATTACCATAAGCAGGATTTCTAGGCCTTGAAAAACTCTGAGGATTGTAAGCTCCGAGTGGAGCACCAAAATTGTTAGTTGGACCATTGTTGCCAGTATATCGGTTGGGTTGGCCTGATAATAGATAATTAATCAAACTTGATAATTAGTAATAGTTGAGATGATAAAAATAAGCTTATGAATTTTATCATGCAAGTGAGTTTGTAATCGAAGGTTATTCAAAGTGTCTTTGGAAATGTTAAGATAAAATTTAACACTTTTTTCCCGAGTCAAAACAGAATTCGGGGAAAATTTTTCAACTATTCACAAAATTGAATCAACATTCTCATCTATCAGTGATAAGTTCAAGAATACATCAAGTCAGGATTGTCCTGAATTTTGAATTTACATTTGTTTTCGAGATCGTTCGAGTTCGTACAATTTGGTTTAGCGAATAGTAAATCAATCTTTACTCACCTCTAGCTTGAATATATGGATTCTGAGCCTGCTCTTGTCCTTTCAAGATTTCCATAACACCATCTTTAGTTTTATTAACTCCGTTGGGTTCAGAATTAGACTCGGCTGATTCAGCTGAAGATGTTAACATTTCATACAAAACTGAACTGAAATCAGTTAATGATCTAGCCTTTGGAATCCCGACTGTTGAAGGTGTTGAAGTCACATTGTTGAGATTTTCACTTAAAGATGAGAAAAAATTTAAAGTTAAGATTAACACAAATAATATCAACTGCATCTTTGCATTAACCAGGTAAATATCCTGGTGTTAGAATCGATGGAAATGTGAAACTTTGATTCGTAAAACTTGAAACTGATCACTTGAAAATTTCAATAGATTGTAAGTTATTTTTAACAATAGTTCAAGAGTTAAAAAGTCGAATTTGAATCACAAAAGAATAAGATATTTATTTTAAATGAAAGTAAGAAAAAGATTGTTTAACAATTTGGAAATTTTCTCACTCGATTTTCTCTCTCGAACATTGATTATGGAAATTTTAGGCAAAAATATGTTGACAATAACCAGTGAAATCAGTGAGTTAATCAGTAAATTTTGCGATAAATGGTTGAGTAGAAGCCATTACATTGGGAAATGGAAAGATTGGAACAGCAAAACTAAAGCAAGTGAAGGTTAACTCGGGTAAATTATATTGTTAAGGTTGATGAATGAATTACTCAAGCAAACAGCTGTAACATGGAATTGAGAGTGATGAAGAAAGGAAGGATAATTGTCAGAAATTGAGAAAATAACAATAAGAAAAAAGGGTAAGAATAAAAAAAAGTAGGAAGAGCCTAGGGAAGTTTATTCAATTCAATTTGCACAATGTTATCGATCATCCTGATTAAAATAGGAATCAATGAGAAAAAAAGAAATCGGATCTGAGCCTAAATAATAGTGACCCTCGAAATTGAAATGATTAAATACCATTAGAAAAATTTACACCAAGCATAAAGAATCCTGACCCAACAGGTAGCCAAGTTTTTATGTGAAAAATAATCCATTCTTGCAGAGCATTGCTCATTACATGTAACTAATGTTTTCCAAAGAAATCAAGAAAATCAGTAACCCAAGAAAGATGAATAATAAAAATGTAATGTTCGTTGGAAAACTCTTAAAGCCTAAGCGCTATTATTAAAAGATCTAATTTCAAGATTACGATAAACCAAAATTCATTCAGGCACAGCTTAGAAACAATGATAAATTCGAGGAGAGCTGGGATTCAGAAATTCCGATAAAATTTTACAACAGGCAATTTTTTGAGATTTTATTTTAAGATCTTACTGTTTATTCCGTACAAGGTTTTGGTCAGCTTAGCCATAGAGAGTCATGGACGATCCAGGAGTCAAGTTGATTTGTGAGCTGGTTCAAAGCCTTGATCCGAATAAATGAATTGATACCCGCCAGATTATATCTAGTTATCATTACCAGCAATTATTTTTGATACTAAAATCATGGTTGAATTGGTTTGTGTTCAATCACCACTGATCTTAGTCCTTTTCTTTGGTTTTGAAGTTAATTCAACCTTTGATCCGTCTTTTTTACTTGTCCTCATTGTTTTCCTCATCTTTTCATCGGTTATGCTAACATGGCCAGAGTTTTTGACATAAAATCTCCACAATTGATTTCTAGAAGTAGTGTCTGTATTGATGCCAATTCTTTTACTGATGGTGATTTCTTCATCCTTGTAATCTTCATGATCAACAAGCCAAATTAAATCACTAACCGATAGATCTTGTTTGTTTATGGATTCTTTATCAATATCTAAGGCGATACAAAGTTTACCTGGTCCATTTGAGATTTGTTTGTCATCCATAACAATTTTTTTAGACACTGTTGTTGATGACTTTTTAAAAGCTAATCGGTTGTCTGACTGTTCTTTCAAGCCGGATACAGGTTTAAGAGCTCGAATCAGAACAGCAGCTCCTTCACCATTTGAAGATATATTGAAACAATGGTACATACCATAAGTGAAATAAACATAAGCTGTACCTGGTTTCATGAACATGGCTTCATTTCTTGGTGTTTTTTTACCTTTGTAAGAATGAGAAGCTGGATCATCTTTACCAGGGTAACATTCAGTTTCAACGATTAAACCAGCTAAGACAGCACCAGTTGACTGACTTCGACGGCAAATTATCTTTCCTAACAGTCTTTTAGCCAATTCAAAACACGAATGAGAAGTAAAAAAGTGTTCCCCAAGTCTTTTGTCACTCTCACAAGTCTTGAAAAACCCAAACAAAAAACCCGGTAAAAAATCGACGAAAAAATGAGGAAAACTAAATTACTAGAGAATAAAGATAATTGAACTTACTAAAAATCGACCGTCAAGTGGATCATGAATGTTATCCATAATCTCCAAATATCACATCAAATCAATTAATTAAATCAATCGTAATAAAACAAGAAAAACAGAAACAATGATGAAACCTAAAGCAGCTTTGAACCAGTAAACCAGTGAGCAATCATTGAGGGTAAAATCAAAAATTTAAATTTGTAACATAGTAAACAAGTCAACAATTTATACCAACTGGACTACAACAATTAAGTAATGATTTCATTTGAAACAGGGAAAAAATTAAATATTTTGAAATAAAGACAGATTATTGAGATAATAAAAGAAACTGGACAAGACAATAAATTTCGTAAGATTATCTTTTTTTAATGTTAGCGAGGTTAAACTCGTGTTGACCAAATGATTTTAACTCAATAGCTTCTTTGAATATATCACTTTTCAGGATTATTTACCTGATCTATTAGATTATCTTACAATAAATTGTTAGACAAGCTGAATTAGAAGTGCTTGAAGGTTTGGACAAACAAATAAAACAAGAATTGTCCATCAGCTTAATTACTCGACATTTTTCCTTATGATCTATCATAAGTGGAACATAATATGTATATCAAAGATTATGAAATGAAGACAATAATCGGGAATCAGTTAAAACAGATTAAGATGTGATGAGAATCGAGGGGAGGGAAATAATTCAAAAATAAAAATCAAGTCAACATTTCCGGATAAAATAAACCAGAGTGAATAAGGTGAGAGACGAGTTTCAAATGAAATTAAGGTTTCACTTTCCCTAATATACACAAAATACAAACCTGTTCATCTTCTTTCACCTCAACCTTTCTCCTCCTTTCATCCCTTTCAATTTATCGTTAATGTTTCAATTGACATCATCAACATAATCATAATCATGATGATGGAAACACACACATACAAGCAATTCGAACCAATATGATTAACATTATAATAAGGAAAGAAAGTGATCCACGAATTGAGATGAAAACGCTTCAAGCATCATTGGGATGTGTCCAGTGTTATCAGAATGACAAATAGGAAGATCGAAGAATGGTAAAGAGCTTTCATGATGGTGGTAATAGTAATGATTAACATGGTTTGTGAGGAAATACAAGAGTTAAATACATGAATTGATTGGCGAAAATTGTTCAAGGTAGGTCAAAAGTATAACTTGATTACATATTAACCTTAACACATCTCTTCGCTTGAACCAGTCTTTGAATACGGTTGGTCCATTGTTTATAATTTGCTTTAGTGTGGATTGTGTCACTGTTGATTAAAATTACAATTAACTATGAAGTTAAATCCTTCAACCAAACTACTTATCTTGACCATTTTAAGTAACTGGATATGGTTTACATTGGCAGCCAACAATTCATCTAAAAGTCTAAAATCCAAAGATAATATCAATTATTTTGATGGAAGTTTACTGAAAGAAAATCAGTTCCATTTTGCTTCAGCTAAAGACGAGTTATGTGGATTAATTGTTCCCGGTTTACAAATGATGACTCGTGGTGTTGATATAACCAAACTTGATTTACTTCATGATTACACAGCTGACAATGACGATGGATTTGCCCGTTGTTCCTTCATAGAGTTGACTTGTAAAAAAGTAAGTCCAATTGTTCAATTGCTTTCATTATGGTCATTTGATTCCTTTGTTCACCAAATTTGACAAAATGCCAGGGTTTAATTAAATGGCGTCTACTAGACTAGATTTAATGATTAATCTAGCTTAAAGCCTTGATATTCAACCCTGGCTAACCATTTAACCATTAAGATTGTTATCTTTTTTCTGGTTTTAACGGTTAGCAAAAATATAAACAAAACACTATATTAGATGTGAATCAACTCTTATGCTTTGGTAAGACGTTAGTCAAAGTTCTTGATACAGAGACATTTAAATGTTATCATTTCAGTTATCGTCTGACTTGAGACTAATTTTTTTGTTCTTTTAATCATTACAGAAACGGAAATTTTTTCTAGCTGGAGCTGCTTATGATGTTCCTGATCAGGTTTTAAGCATAGATTTACTTCCTCGTGAAACAATTAAGACTCATTTTTCAATTATATCCAGCCTTGAGGAGATTAAAAGTGAATTTAAAATGACTTCTGGAATGGATGAACCCTTGAATCGTGGTGCTTTCTCCAAATCAGCATCTTACAAAACCTATCAATCCATTTTATTGAACAATACTAAAACTATTGCCAGTTTACAGCTGATTACACCGACGACAAGAATCAATTTGGCACCAAGAACTTCTCTTCGTAAATCTTTGTCCGAGTTTATGGAAGATTTCATGAGTGAAGAGTTACCAGGACGTTATGAGGAAGCACCGGAAAAATATCTTGAATTCATTGAAAATTATGGAACCCACTATTTTAAATCAGCTCTTTTCGGTGGCGTCTTTAAATATTTGACTCAAATAGACACATCAAAGGACAAGGAAGATTCGAAGCCCCTGACTGACGCTGATTTGACCAAATCAATCAATAATTATTTCATGTCTTTATTGAGTCGTAAAGGAGTTGTTAGCAAAGTATTTGAGAAAAAGGAGAACAAAGCTTTCAGGGAAAAATTAGCTACTAATCAATCTTATTATGGAGGCGATGCTTTCCTTCTTGAGGTTGACCGTTATGAAAATTGGTTACCGACTGTCCCACGAAACCCTTGGTTGGTTAATGGACAGTTTGGCTCAATTACTGAACTTATCCGAAATGAGACAATCCGTAATGAATTGAACAAAGCTATCGAAGTTCACATGGGACTAGCATATATTTCAGAATTGATAAGGTTGGCGACTAATCAAATGAATAAATTTCCGAACAAATTAGCAAAAACTGGACTTTTATTGGAAAAAATAGATAAAATGTTGAAATTCCAAATTCCATCTTTGGATCAAGTTAAAGTAATGATTAAAGAGTTGGAATCATTAAAATTCATTTCAAAACTAATTCAAATTTAAGGCAGGTCAAATTAATTGTAAAAAGAATGTAATTAAAATTAAAAATCGAACGCCAGTGGAGCTGTTTTCAAATAAAATGTATTAACTTATTTAAATGCAAATTTATTAACTCGGTATTTTAATTTTCAATACATTTTCGATTTTCGAAAAAGTGTTTTCCAAGTCTTTTGTCACTTTCAAAAGTCTTGAAAAACCCAAACGCAAAACCCGGTAAAAATTGACGAAAAAATGAGGAAAACTAAATTACTAGAGAATTAAGATAATTGAACTTACTAAAAATCGACCGTCAAGTGGATCATGAATGATATCCATAATCACTTATTATCAAAATCAACTTCAATTAAATGAATTAATTGTAATAAACATGAAAAACAAAAACAATGATGGCTGTTTGCAAATGTAATGTAATCAATTTATTCAAATACAAACTTATTAAACATCTCAATTCTTAACACATTTTCGGTATTTAAATTGACGATATCGATTTGAAGGCTTACAATTGGAAATAAAAGGTTTCTTTAAAAAAGGACAATAGCTTCGAGTGTGAGCCAAAGGACCAGTCGCGCCACATATCTCGCAGACGTGTTTAACTAAGATTGGGCAGGTAACTCGACCCTGAGGATCTCTAAGTGTGTGGGATTGGTAAAATTCCTCCGTTTCCCCATTCTTTTTACACAATACACAAAAATATCCGGGTCTCTCTGTGGTCCTCCTGTGTTTGAGCAGAGCAGCTAAATTAAATTCATTGATTTTTTTCAACATATCGATGAGTGACGAACGGGCATAAGGGTCAAGTCCATAATCAGACTGCAGGCTTGATGATGAAGAAGAATTAAAAGATTTAACTGAAATAGACATTGTAAATTCAAAAAAATGTAATAACAAAACACGAGCAGAAAAGTAAAAAGTATTGGTCAAGATGCAAAGTTGAAATAAATCAAGTTCCAAACTGAAGTGTTTATAAATACAAAAATGGCGCTACTGACAAAAGCAAACGATGTAAGTTTAGTGAGCATGTATTATAGAGTCACATGTTTAAAGCATAGAGAGACCAGCTTTACCCTTTGCATTGGTTTTACTGTTACCAAAAGTTGGTTGTTTGTCGGTAAATCAAACTAGTCTATGTGTCTAATTGTTTGCCTTTATCTTCGATCAATCTCTTTGTTGATTGCCGACATATCTGAGGTAAGTGAACAATTCTTATCAAACCAAACTTTTAAACAAACCGTCAAAAGGATAATGTAAAACAAAGTTGATGACTTACAAGATCATCTGGTTAACCAAATATGTTTTCAACTTTTAATCATCTTGCTTATTGCTTAAACTTATCATTGTTTTTTCTTCTGCAAAACCATTAATATTTATAATGGACAATATTTGAACCTTGTTTACCATTTGCGTTAATTTGTTTTCACTATCCGTTGACTGTTTTCAATTTCATACATTTTGATTTAACCCAAGTTTTCTTATTCCAGCTAACTGTACCATTCGATATGTATTAATGTCCTTTTCGCATTGGATATGATAAGAGCAACTGAACAGTTACTTACCAAGTTAATTAAACGATGGCCATTGTATGACAAGCTTGGCTTTTATTCATTAACTCCAATTTTTGTTACCTGTGGAGCTGTTTTTGAATATTTGTGCATTCATATGAGAATTAATGGAATAACATACTATTCAACTGAACGAGATAAAATTTTCAAGCGAGAATATTTTAAATATTTATTGTTAAATCATCCAGAAGCTGTAGAGAATGGTCAAATTAAGGGGAAAAATTGAAAAACCCAAATTAACTGATATTCTTGAGGAAGCTCCAACAAAGGCAAGAGTGTTGAGAGGACTTTTAATTCTTGGTACCGGTATTGCTACAATGCTTGCTTATAAAGCTATAGCAGAGAGCAAAATGGTGAGTAAACTGTTGCTGGTATCTAAAATTTACGAAACTAATTATCTTTTCTTTATTAGGTAGATGATACATATAATGCTGGTATGGAACGTTATTATGAGGGTATCAAAGCTCGAGACGAATACATAGCTTCGGTTATCCGAGAACACTCCGAACCTAAAGCTCAACTAGACGGCCAAAAAAGTGATCCTAAACGTTAACATATTTGTAGATTTATTCATGCTAAAAATGTAGATATAAATTTATTTGGTGGAAATATTTTGGCATCCATTAGAGTAAATAAATGTCATTTCAAAACGAATAACTGAATCAATACATCTACTCGCTCTTCATGTCTCAACAAAATGGACTCTAATTAAAAAGACAAACTTTGGCCCGAGAAAATACCAAATGTGATGAAAGAATAACATTTTGACACACAAAAGACCAACTCCTTTGATTGAACTTTATAATTAGGTCTTTTTACGGGATATGGTTTAGTAATGACTGCTGTCTTCTCCGTAGGTTTCCTATTTCAGGATAGTAGCTAGTTAGAGATTCTAAATCGTGCTTCAATTAAGCTGTCACGTAAGCAGAAGCCTGAATAAGCGTCATTTGCTCTAGATAAGTGGACAGTTGGATAGAAAATACTAGAAAAAACACCATCTATTGGATTTCTACTCTCAATTAAGTTAAATAAACAATTAGATATTTGAAGCGTCTCAATAAACGGTGTTGTTTACTTGAATCTATCATCTAATTGTGCGTTTATCTAGAGCCACTGAAGATCATTTAGCTCATCACAAGCCAGTGACACCCTTAACTGTCTAATGATTGTTTATAGAACTCTAAGCGTTGTTTTGAACCCATTTTGTTTATAAAAATCGGAATGTAAAACTCACCATCATTGGGCTTCTCTAGTCAATCATTAACCAACTACAATTATATTTGGTTAGCTAGTTGATGGGTTAAATTTTCGGACAAAGGATGCTATTAATCACCATTAGCTGGTTCAGGTCTTTCCGAGCTTATCTTATGATCTGTTTCAATATTTAAAATCATTATCCAATGTAGATTCCAGCATCAGTGTCTTTTTCACCATAAGTGCAGGTTCAATTTCAACAGCTAGTGTAGAATGTAAAAAATTAATTAATTAACTGTTTATGATAAATATAATGATACGATCTTACCTTTCGTCGGTAAAGCTAAATAAAAACATCCAAACTCCAGCTGATTTGTACTGTAAAATGTTAATGAAACGGTTTATATTTTTGTCATCAACTTTTAAAATTAAACTATCGTTAAATTTATTTGCTATAAGTTAGTCAAAATTATATAAACTTTTGATGATCGTCAACAATTAACTTTAATCATAATTTAATTAAACCTTTATCAAAAATTATGAACAACAGTTTATATAAAATAAGCACAAATACATTGTATCAAGTGTTTTCGAATTCGAATTTACTTGCATTTTCTCTTTAAACAGTCAATGTGTTTCTTTCAACAGCTAACATCTAACTATCGCTATGTTTTATTTACGCGTTCATAATTAAATCTATTTTCCGATGTTTCGATGATAAAATCATCTGTAAGTATTTAAATTTGTTATTAAAATTCATCAAGTCTTAACAATGATTTCAAGTGATTTAAATATTGACTAATGTAAGCTTTCTTCTGGATCATTTCAACTATTTTTTCCAATGGCATAAGCAATTGGCTATTATTTTCCTAGGTAATTATTTTTCTTTTAATCACCAAAATGGCTGATAATTTTGTTAAAAAGTTGAAAACTTGTACCTTCACCTGTCGTCCTCGAAGCCAGAAAACAACAACCTTATTCAACTGTCCGACTGAGGTAATTAACAAAGTGTTTGACTATCTTGATCTTCCTTCATTGAGTCGATTGGCTTTCACCTCCAAATCTCTGAGAGATTTAATCCATAACTATTACATCAAACCCCAAAATGGTTACAGACGATTATTATCAAATCATTTCAATTGTAAAGGTATGTACGTTTTAAATTATTTTAATCATAATTTGGTGAAGTAATTATACTAACTCTTACATGTAATTGCTCTAACAATTGTAAGTTTAGATAGCGTAAAGCTAGTAGATCTGAATGGAAGCTATCCTGAGTTAAAGTTAATTTTTACATTTCTCTTCACTGTATTTACAGATTTTTTAAATCCTGGTGACCAAGATGAACGGGCCAAATCGGATCACATTAGCTTTTTTGAAAATCTTGGTTTACTTTTCAAACGGTTAACTTGTTTGTATCCAACGGATGAAAGATTAGGCCTAATGGTTACCTTCATGCATAGAGTTACTCAAGGTTTACCTAACCATAAAACGACGAAACAAAAAAATTACAATGCAAGCTTTGTATTGAAGTGCTTTGGGACTTTTCTTCATACCATAATTATTGGCTGGGAAGAAAACGAATGTATTAAAGTGTTCCAATTTTTAGAAACCACTTTTGAATTGGAACAGGTCGTGTCCGATGTAATCGACTCCATGCCTGGTGAAAGCAACGGCTGTGAATATTTTGTTCGATGTTTTTACCGGTACATATGTTTGGATCGTCTTCGCAGACCCGAGGATAAACGCTTTTGGATATCAATGATTATATCTAAATATACTAACGACTGTAAATCAGGTTCCGATGCCTTTAGTATTATGGCCAGATTATTGATCATCTTTTTTGGTCCACTAGTTCTTGATGAGGAACTTGGAACACCTATGATTGCTTGGACCGAATTGACATTTAGATTTTTCACCAAAGAGCTTCATCTTCTAGGCCAATACATTCAATACTTTAACCAACTCTGGAGTGATGAGAAAATTTTCCACCTAATCTCCTTCATCACCAAATTTCCTGATCCATGGTCACCAGAAAATATTGGATCTCTTTTTTACCTTTGCGGGGAAAAGATAGTCAAAGCTAGATTGTGGCACCATTTTGTGAACGGGGAAATAATGCCAGCTGCTAATGTGATCATTTACCAAGCTCTTGTTTGCCAAAAAGTCAATGGAATGATTAATAATAATATTTTAGACATGATCGAGGAGTGTTTATCATCCAACGTATCTACTGAATTGAAGCAAGAATTCATAACAGCTCTTCCTCAGGCATTCACAGATGCTTACGCTGAAATGGATATTTTGGTTGATGATGAAGATGAACGCGACAGTAAAGATTTACTGGACATTGTCAGTTCCATGGGATCCTTTATTTTTTTATTAATCTACCGTCATTATAGTTCACTTATTTGTCCAACTGATTTAGTTATCCGACAATTAACTTACTAGCTAATATGCAACAATCAGAGGTTGAACTTAGAAACACTTTTCAAATATTTCTTCAAATTGTTGAACAACTAACAATCTTTTTCCAAATCAAATACTGTTAGTTCAAATCACTATGCAGATTGACCATTAACCAAATTGGTTACAAATTGAATTAAGCTCATACCCTTTTTTATCATTTATTTATTTTCTGTAATTTATTATGTACAACATATTTGCTTCAATAATAATCACAAATTTACTTCCTCATTTCAGTTTTGATTCATTCGGTGATGATCAGTTATGAACAATTACAGCAAAGTTTATTTTGTCAATAATAATAGTTATTATCAGTAACAACATTAGGAAGTCAAAAGCAAGGGAATTGAGTAAACAATTTATTTTTACGGACAGAAGCAAGCCTTTACAGTTAACGATTTCATTATTATATTCAATCACAATTAACAACTTAAAGCCATCGATAAGTTTAAAAAAATTCAAACAAAAATGTTTCAATATCACTAAAGAAATTGCATTTTAAAATCAATAATCAAGATATATTCAGAACTAATCTAAAACGAAACTAAATTCGTTTACTATTCTATTCGACAGTTTGACATTTATTGCATTGACTCTATGGAATCCTTTTTGCTTTCGGATTATTACTATATGTTAATGATGATTAGTGATGAGAATTAAAATTTAACATCCAAGCTACCAAAGCAAATCAACTGATTCAGCTTCAATGATGAAAAAACATCTATTTACCAAATCAATCGCAGTTTACAAACGCTCCTATTAATATATTCAATTATCATTATTAGCAGCATCATTTTGAGTAGTTTACATTACCAATTGTAATGATAATCAAAGTAAATTATGAATTAAGAAATCGTGTGAATATGATAGTGATAATAATCATAATGACTTCTAACGTCCGTAAAAGTAAACTGTTGCCAATAATTCCTTTGTCAATGTTATTTAAGACTTGTTTTTATCATCGATAATGATTGAGATTAAGCAGCCAGATCTCCGCTTGGAACTTCTTCAATTGCTGTGCGTTTAATCAAATAACTGGGATTGTTGGTCCCTCGATAATCAAACAAACTTCCTGGACTACGCTTTGCCGTTCCTTGAATTGAATCGACGTCCGGACTTGAATTGGATGCCTCCAAAAACTGAAAGAAAAAGGTAAAACAAAAGCGTTAGGGAATTTCAACTCAAGTTTATATAAAAGTTAAAAATAGTAAATTAAGTTTAAAATCGATGTTTTCGAGACAGATTACAATTCCAACAGAATACTGGTAAATTGTAGAAGATTTTTTTCGATTCAATATCTAAAGTTGTTCCATAGAGACTTAGATTTGAATTGTATTATACAATTCGCATCATTGTAGAGAGTTTTACTTTTTTTCATAATTGTTTTCCTTCCTATTCTTTCTCGCGGGTATTCAGCATCAATAAACTACTGTAACTATTTCTAATCCTATTTCCAATTCACTTAATCTTATTAATATTGTGTAGATATTGAAAATTGTTTAGACTCATTCTTCATTATATATTAAGAGCTTCAACGACCAACCATGTTAATTATTCAATAATTAGAACTAAATATTTGAATATTATATTGATGAACTTTGACAAATTAGACAGACATCAACCTGATGCTTATTTCCTCAATCATGACAATTATATGTAGGAGGGTAATGAAATTAAAACCATTGATATTGTATAATCAAATTTAATCACTCATGGACAAGCGGATAAAAGCATCTTTTAAACCTAATTCACAGTCTGATAAAATATGTTAGTAGACTAGCTTTAAAAAACCCGATAAGTTAGGACCCAAAATAAACTACAATTTGGAGAATCAAAGGAAAACTTACCATTCTGAGAAGCTCCTTAATCTGCTCTTTTCTGGTGTCATCATTCCTGGTTGGTAGATATCTCGCCGAAACAATGGTTGACACAATGACCACGACAACCATGGTTAATAAAATGTGATGGTATTGTTTAGATCCAAAGTTAAGCATGATTTTTATTTTGATGATAAAGATGAACGGAGGATGAGAACCTCGTATTTAGAAATGTTTTATTCAATTGAATTGGAACACTGTAAGAATAGAGAAAAGAAATAACATGAATAAAGAGAATCTTCATGACAAATGGACAAATGCAAAACACAATGGAATCAAAATTTATTTGATAAAAAGATAAAGTAGCTTTCATTCAACACTTGGAATCATCAAAATATCTCACTTAACCCATGAATCTTACAAATAACCATAACCTTTTCAACATTTTCCATTAATATTCAGATTCACATTCATTATTATAACACCCTAAAATACACTGAATTGAAACTTGAACAAGATTACTTTAACGTTGAGAAAGTTTTGAAAATGATTGAATTTCAACTATCACTAATTGCTCGACCAATAGGAGACAAGAAAAATGTAGGAGTTGTGTAAAGCGCGAAACTTGAGTCTTGCAAATTATCAAAATTTATTTTGACATTTTATAATCAAATTGTTACTCTTTTTTAACACTCGAATTGAATAACAGTCGCAAGAATTAATATCTGTTTGAATGGTTACTCTATTGATTCTGAGTTATTTTAAAATGTTTCCCTTTTTATCACCACAATTGTGTCCATTGTATACAAAAGTGTTACTTCTGTTTTTTTTCACAACTTATTCTATTTCAAGAGCAATTTTTAGTTTATTGAATGTAAAATGGAGGGATCTAATTTTTGTTTACCAAGTTAAATCACGTCACAAGTTGGAGACCAAATCAACATTTAAATGTTCATTTTAAATTAGATTAGTTTGGTAGACTTGCGTTTAAGCCACAGTCAACAAAAGCCAAAGCTTGATTTAAGGAAGGACTAACAGGACATTTACTGCTGCTCATCCAATGGTAAGTACATATAACGAAGATCATGAACCTTATCAAATTGTCTTAATTTTATTTTTTTCCTTCCTTTTTTTCTTAATGTAGACAGTTGCTATTGTCTTGATGGAAGCTCATGGGAGTGAAGGAGTATCACAAAACCAAGGTCATTATCGATCAGAACCATGGAATAAGAGAAAAGGGTTTACTAAAGATGATGGAGGTTAAGCCTCAAAACTCAAGTTCTTGAACATGATACATCACCATTTCTAACTTCTGATTGATGCTTGGAATCAGATAAGACGATCTTATTGTGAGCTATTTTCAGCCTGTCAATGTTTACCATCTATTTTGAATCTCATTGTTCAATATGTGTTACGTGGATTATCTGGTCGCCTGACAGTTGAAATTTTTCCTTCCTCTTCTCAACACCAGGTCATAAACATTTTTCCCTATTCAAATCTCTTTTTCTGTGCAATCTTCATTTATATTTCCATCTTACTCATGATATTATCCTTTTCTTCCTACTTTAGTGTCATAATGACAAATTATTCTAGGCTGATACACAATGAATCATCCTTTACCCATACCGAACCAGCTCTCAACCCATTCTGGTGAACAAGATACACTTCTCTTTTTTAGGCAAACAAAAAAAGTCAACCAGCTTTACTCGGGTAATTTTGAAACACTGGTTCTAAAGGATTAATCATGAGAGAACAATTAATAGAATTAACTAATTAGGAACTACATCTTCCTAACAGTTCAAGATACGTTGATTCCAGTTGCTTTACTAAACTCACACTCCTTGATGGAATTACTTGACAAAATCAACATTTTCTACATTTTGATTCAGCCCAAATTTGCCAACCTTTTTAGCCTATTAACTTAATGATTGATCTATTTTTACAGACAAATTATTTCATTCAAATGACAATCAATCCAAATTTAAATTATCTTTTACTTATCTTTTCTATTCTAGTTTACTTTTCACCTTACTGAATAAGGCTTACTCTGAATCATTACATAGAGTCATCATTACATGGAGTGAAACCTTTTATAGTTGATTGACTGCTGTAAAATTGTCATTCCCATCTTTGTTATTGAAATAAATTTGTTGATAAAACAATGAGACTGGTAAGTTTAACTCTATCTTTTTCATTTTCATTTAACTTTTGAATTAGATTCTAATGTTCTGATGTTGAACTCTTTCCAGATTTTACCATTTGGATGAACATCCTTATCCAATGAGTTGGGAAGCTTCTGTAGCTGGAAATTGACGGTCCATTCAAGTCTCGATTTATGTATTGGTCAATGAATATTAAAATTGGAGTGAAATACTTCCTACCAACAATAATCTGTCCAATCATAAATATTATCATCTATTTATTTTTATTCATGCTGGATCAACAATGTTACAGAACATTTAACAGCATCTTCTGTAACAACATAATCATTATCATGGCCATTATTGTTACAGCCATTGCTATTAATATTTGACCTTCCTTCGTTTAAATTATACCAACAATTTAATCAACTTAGGATGTTTCAACAGTTTTTATGGATTTTACCAGCTCTTCCGACATTGTCTATCTTGCTTTGTTTTGCCTGTTACTAAAAAAGCTATCACCATCAAAGACACAGTTTGCATCAACTTGGATTGAGATGGAACAAGGAAACAATATTATAATAATTTACGTCAACTATTAATAGAAATGTCAATGTAATTGATTTGAATCAATGTTTGTTCGTTGCAAATCATTCAATTTGACTCATGGATTTTCACCAAAAACAAGATCAAAATGAATTGCTAAAAGCTATGTTGATTGCAAGCATTGAAACTCCGGTTTTGGTCAACATCCAACTCTTTGAATTGAAGCAATCATCTAATCGTTGCTAACAGTTTGGATTTTGAATCAACAATTTAATACAATTTGCCTGCAGATGTACAATAATTAGTCTAAAAACTGAAGCTTCAGATTGTTTACGTTGTAAGATTGTCTCTTCAACTCATTCAAATTTCATCAATTCATCTAAATATATTATTATGTAAAGCTAAAGTTGCTGAAAATGTATTAAATTGCTGTCTAATATTTTATTAACTCGCGTGAATTTTAACCCTCAAGGGTGAACAATATAATTAATTTAAAGTAGATGATTAAAATGTTGTTTACTCTTATGTTCATCAGATAGTACATGTAAATAGTTACATGAGTTATAATGAAATTAAGATTTAGCTTAAATTGAATAAAGAGTTATTTACGTTTTGGTAAAGACTGAATAGTTAAACACGCATTAACCTGCTAATAATTATCAACTGTTGAGTTGTCATTGACGAAGAATCTTTTAATCACTGTTAAATCTGGTTCAATGAGATGATGGACAAAAGGATGAACTTTCGGAAATTAGATTCCCAGTTTGACTGACACTTATTCATATTAATAGGTTTTAACTCGTTGATTGACTGGACTTTTTGTTGTTTGACATAATACATTGAACTCCAATGGGACACAAAGATTCAACCAAAATGCATTCTCGTCAGAATAATGATCATCTTGAATGCAAATGAAAAGGTTAAGGTCTACCTGATGAAGATCTGTGTTAAATATCTGTGATTGATTAACTCAATGAAATCATCAACTCCAGTTAATCATTGATCAACCTTTGCCTTTCCCTTTGAGGTTATCTCTGGTCCTCTAGTATAACAAATTACAATTTAGTCTTATTTACAGCTGGATTGTTATAAAATTGTTTGAAATAGATTTAACAATTTCATATAAAAACAAAAACGTAAGATCAATGCAAGAATGATAAATTATCAGTTATTTTAAATACTAATCTAGTAAACCAGAATCTAATTGTTTCACGAGTATCTCATCCAACTTTGATTGTTGAAGTGAAATGTTTTCGTCTGAGGTTACAATAGTTGAACGCTAGTTTCTAGATTACGGTGTTGACTGACTAAATTGCTTGAACATTTGAAACAATTCTGAAGATGAAAGTAACTTTCTCTCTCAATTGATGATTCTTAGGTGATCAAATATATCTTGATTGATGAAATTAAGTCAATCAACTTGAAAAAAGTAACCTTGCTAAAAGCCTTTAAGCTTCTTTAAGCTGAGGAGAAATGGCTTTACTCAACTGTAAGCCGCAAATTTGATAGAAGTTACTGTTAATTTGATTTGGTGAAAATTATGGCGAGTAAAATTTTATTAAATCAATGAAAAGTCTTGAAACAATTAAAAATGAATAATTGTTGAAAGAATGGAGTGTCCATTATCCAAAATCCAATGTGGGATTAAAATTATCGATCTAACTATTAGATCCATCCAGTATCGGATTGTATCATTTATAACATCATATGTAACGTGAATATCTTGATTAATGGTTAACTCACGTTTTTCATTAATTTATTATCTTATAGTTTATTTTTAAAAATAACTGTCTTCTGAGTGTCAGTGAATGGATTTAACAATAACAAATCAACTTTATAATTTTTTGACTCCGAATGAAGTCAACAATAAGATGATGGTGATGAATGGTGCACCAGCTCTTGATGGTGGCTCTAATTGTTGATAATTATGGGCTATATGAGGTTGATATTTCCCATTCCTCTGTGGTTTATATTACATTAACAAGATACTTGGTCATTTTGTTAACTACAACTATGAATTGAATCGTAATTTTGATAAAGCTTTATAACCAAAGGAAATGTTGAGCCTACTTTTGAGGGTTACTCTTTGTTACATTTCAATCCTTTTCAATTTATTGTGTTTGCTGTTGAATACATTTGGATGGACTTTTCTGCTCTACATCTGATTAACTTTTCTCATGTAAGTTCTTACAAGTTCACAAAAAAAACCAAATTCTATCTTTCTTTTTTCAATGCTACACTCATCTTGTAATGTGGCTTGTATTTCTTTTACTTTCAACTTACCATCTTCTTGTATCATCTTTTATCCTAACCTTTTTAGACGCTCAGAATACAGTGAACATGAATGGACCATGATGAAATGAAAACATCAAGAGGAAAGGCCCAACATTTTTTTCACCCTAAATTGGAATTGAGTAGTGTACAAAACGAATAAAAGCCATTTTGGTTTCCCTACTGGACAACGAATGTTTCCTCTTCTTTTTTTGGACATTTTCCCTTCTCTTTTCGTGAGTCTATATTTTTGTTTTATTATTCACCAGGGAAAAAGCATCCCGATAATGTGGAATGTTTCATGGAAAGATGATGAGGAAAAAAAAGTAAAAGGAGGAGGGAAAAACAAGCAACATGATAAAAAGTAGATCAGCAAAGTGGATGAAAACCCTAATAAAGCCTCAAACAACTCAACTCAGCCATTATATTAGCTCACCCATCATCTGAATTTGTCGGTTAACAAATATCCTTTTTTTCATCCTGTTAGCACAAGTTAATCGTTTGATTGAATGATGTCAGAATCTTTTATGTTTGCCAGATAAAATGACGTTAATAATTTCCAATTCCTAACCACAACTCATGATGGTCAAATTTAAAATTGTTATATCTATACGAATACATATTTCAATTTCATCCAAACTGAATTTGAAAAAAGTATTGATTTATTTTCAAATTGTTGAGCACGAGAAGTTCACAAAACATTAAATTTGACTTTTAGGTTTTTCTCAATTTTCACTAAATTGATTTCTGCACTTTGAATAGACAATGAGTGGCAATAATCAGTAAATCTCACAAAATCCCTGTTAATTCCGCCACTTTTAAAATGGTTGATCCTTTTTGTCTTGATTTATAAGAGCCATGATTAACTCATTATTTTGTTTCCATTCCTCTAGTTGTTTCAACGATACTCATCATATCTCTCTTTTGATGGCAAAGTCATTACCATTGCTGCTTAGCAAAGTTACATTTTTGGGACTAAATGGATGAAACAAGATGAAAAAATGTTATTCTTCACTCCAAAGCAAACTGTTGGATTGTTTCTTGGTACAAAATTTCCGGTTCATGAAAGATAAAAAAATATTCTTCATCTCTACATTACGATAACAGCAAAGCTGACATACAAACAAACGAGTAAAAAAGAGGACCCAAAAAAAGCTCTTCTATTATATTCACATTCATGTTGATTTCGGTGCTGCCTTTTCAATAAATTACCAGATGAACAATTACACTTTGGGTATCAACATTTTCCATGGATTCATTAAAAATCATGAGCATGGTCTGGTTGGGTCTGGAAAGACTGGATAACATTTGACATTATCATCTTCATTCTCTGTCAATGGTTCAAATTAAATATTTTTTTACATGGAAAAATTGTTATACCGAAAAACAAAAGCAGAGAGAACAGAGAAAGCCTATGAAAGACTCATGAAAGATGAAATTCAGAATTAAGATCAAGATGTTGATAATGTTGGATGAAAAAAAAGCCTTTTGGACACATTGGACTCATCATCTTCCCCATGCTTATTATCTTCATTATCACATTATAGGATTCATCGTAAACTTGTTCATTGTCATCAATGTTCAACTCATGGGCAAGGTCAAAGAAACACTTTCGGATGGCAAACTTTTCTTTCGTCTTAATTGAACCTAAAATTGTTGAACTGTTTGACTGTTTTTATTTCCGTTTTACATTAACCATGAGTGAATCATGATTTAAAAGCATTATCGTCATCAAAATCAGCAAAGATCAACAATTAAAGGTTAAAGTTAACAGTGTTCAAGCTAGTGAGAAATAATTGACTCGAGATGGCTCAAGATTGATTACTTCAATTAGATTATCACAATTTACCTCTGATTTAATGAGTGCGTATTGGACAGGTTATCATCAGAATATTTTTCAATATCAGTCTTGAATGTCATTCAAACTGTTATGATATTAATATTATTGAAAATGCCATGAAAAAATTACAAAAATCTTTTCGCTAGTTATTTTTGCTTCATGCTTTCTGATTTAATGTTCAGTCAACTGTAATTTTTCATTGTAACACATTTACAAACAATCTTTTGTTGTATTTTAAATTTTCTTGCCTACAATTTAGTTAACTTAAGCACAGAGGTTTGCATAATCAAACAATAATAATTGCCTCAATGTTTAACAATTAATAATTATGATAATAATAGCTTGATGTAATGATATACAGAGAAAAGGTTAAACAATTTTTTTGATGCTAAAAAACTGATTGATGTTATTGTTTGCTCAGTAAAACATTGTCTTCCCTGATTGTTGATGAACGTTATTGTATCCTAATTACCCGAAACTTTCAGGTTAATCTATTTCTTATCTCATCATCTTCAAAAATTGTAATCAATGAATGTTTAATCGATAATCTGAAGCAAGGTAAACACACAGAGGAGTAAATAAATCACAGGTTAATAACAGTAAAGAATTGCAAGAATGGGATGAATTTTCAATGTTTACCTTAACAACAAATAATCTTAACAGACACGAAATAAAAATCTCAATCTTTACCATTCTCTATCATTTTCAATCAAAATAATAATCACCTTTGCTTTCATGATGCTAAGGTGTTCATTGATTACCTATAAGGAAACAATTTGAATCTCAATAAGTTCATTCAATTTGGGTTTACTTTAAATTCAACTCTAACCAATTGTCAATGTAAACAAAAAAGCCTTAAGCTTAAAAATTGAAGGGTAAAAATAAAAATAATGATGAAATAGCAATTCTAATTGATTCACTTCAGATCAAATTGACATTATGATTAAAGATTTAGATTCACTCAGATTATCATGGAAGGTGAAGACGGAAATTCAATTTTCAATATTGACAATTTAATGGTTTTCAACATTTTACCTTTCAATATTTTCTGCTTTCAACTTTGCCTTTCATGAATGACACATCTCAATGAAACAATCAATTTAAATTGTTTTTTAATAGTCAGATATATCCAGAAGCATGAAAGCCTTTTTTTGCTTCTTTTTTAGACCAGCTTTACATTTTTGACACTTTGCTTGATCATAGATTATTTTAAACTCACAGTTTCATTGAATCTTAGGAACCAATTCAAATTTAGGTCAGTAATGGACTGAACAAAAGTAATTAATCTTAATTAATTTAGATCTTAAACTTACACTTTAATAAATGTAAGTCTGGCAAGGATTTAAAGTTGACCAGATCTTGGTTGGACTCTACCCGGCATAATTAAAATGCGGTCCCTCAACTTGTTATGATATTATAAAAATGTGTTTATGTAAGAGTTATCAATCATAAATTAAGTTAATATCTTGTAGTGTCTCTTAAATTAGTTCAATGTATCTTCAACCTTTTAATTTTAGATATAAAGGAAATTAAATTTTATCAAGGAAACTTGACTCGACGATTCTTTGACTCCTTGATATCTTTCCAATCATGTGATTTAATACAAATCTACTTGACCTCTTCATCTTTCTGTCTTGAATATCCTATTTTTTGATTAACTCTTTACCCTAAGGTTGTATTCAACAACAAAAATGATCAACTCATAAATTGTTGGAATCTTTGTTTACCAATTACAATTTTGAACCAATCAAGGTGTGAGGTAAAATCTGAGGTAATGTATAATCATTAATATAAATTTATTTATTGTAAATGGATAGTCTACGTTATTGTTTATGTTACATTTAGACAGGCAAATTATATCTCAAGAGACTGTATGTTGAATCGTTTATCTCATCATATAGACATCACCATCATAATCATCACCATCACCAGCAACTTCATCAACACCATCACCAACTCCTTTACCTTTTGATCATCACCTTCATCATTATCCTCATCATTATTATTACCACCAATCCCATTAGTTTTCTTATGTGTTATTATAATTCAGATTTACAAGACTAGATTTCGTGTGCTTCCAATGCAAAACATTGATCAGAGAACGAGTTTTTCACCTGTTAATCATGTGTTAATCACAGGGAAAAAAGCAACCTGGAATCCAATCACTCATCAATAATGTTATTAATTAGTTCATCCCACAATATTTGCAAATATTTACATTTATTGTACGAGCTATTGATTGTTAACCAACGTATAATTGATTTTTTGTTCTTGTATTGTTTCCATTTCTGTCTCCAATAAGGTGAAATGTACACAATATTACATGAAATTGTCTGGTAGTTCATTGGCAAGACTCAACCTTTCGTGTTAATGTTGATGGTTACCAATACGAGATCGAGTTGACACTACAATTAAGATTGATTGTACAAAGTGTTCAACCAGAAAACACTTAAGTTAATCAAGCCTAACTATTGATCGCTCCTTTCTTATATCAGCTAAGAAACAATTAGATGATAAATTTCTAATCCATCTATTCTAAGGTAATCAATTAGATAACCTAATTGCAATAAGTTTAACAATCTCATAAGTTGTTTAAACTGATCATATTTTGCCATTAAATTCACAGACACTCATAAACCTAAATGAAAATTAACCCTGCACAAAGTGAAGCTAGTTCAATAGCAATCGATTGATTGTACTTGAATTAGATTAAGATGCATAAAAAACTGATTGATTACTCTTATAAACTGTTAAATTTAAATTTGTGCAACAATTTAAAATGCAATTTGTCTTGAGCAACTTCTAATTAGTCTAATCATATTGCTTTCCAACCCATGCAAGAAACAACCAACAACTTTGGAACAAAATTCAATTCTAAATCTAAATGCTAAATATAATTTTCTTTTGTTTATTTATCACTAATTAGGTGGGACAATTATTTATTCATACCATTAATCAATCGGATTCCAAATGAAGACAATTATTCATAAAGCCAATTCCTCATTCAAGTCATGATAAAGGCAACCAAGCAACATCAACAACTCATCAAGAGACGATTCATCCAATTGTTTCTACAATTGAATTTCTATTTTCCTCATTGCGGAATAACATTATTATTAAGATTAATTTAGTTTCACTGAATAACTAATTCTATTAATATCAATCCCAATCCCAAGATTCATTGAATAAACTGATGAAAAAAAGGACAAAATGTTGTCATTTTTTTGCTCATCATTTTATACAATGACAAATGATATTAAATAATTGAAAGCAACCTTTTTTGGGTTTCAATATTTTGAATTGAAAACCCAAATATAAGGCAATCAGTTAAATTTATCAAATAATCATAACTATAACCATCTAACAATATCATTTAATGGTAAATTACATTTGACTCGATTACTAGCAACTAATATTGTTGCTGTTATATTTACTTGAATACACTTTCTGGTTTTCAGTTAATATAAATTTTTATTATCTCAACTTAATGAGCATCAGAATCATCTTTCATCAACAATTGTAACCATCTGATCAATGATAAAGAGTTGACATGGATGGTAAATTTTCTGGTTCGCCATGTTGACTATTGTTCAACTGATAATGATGACCATGAGGATGATTATGATGTCCAAGATGATGATGATAATGGGTGAAACAATAATGAAAATTAAATGATGATCAACATTTTATTACAATCTAACCAATCCATCATTTTTCGTTTATTATCATCAGATTCAATATTTTGGATTTCAGACTCAATTTAATGATGGCAACAGTTTTTAATGGCATCAACAATTGAAATTGAATTATCAATCGCAGCCAACATGATCAAAGACAAAATGGATTAAAGTAAGGGTAAGTTTTAAGAAGATAAACAAAAAAATTAGAGTTGAAAACAATCACACAGATGATTTGAATGACTTACAATGATGATATGAAATGTTTAACCTAAATTTAGGTTGATACGATTATATGATGATTGGGTTAAATGACAATTTAATTTACTATTTATTATACAATTATAAGTGGAATCACTTGAAAATATAAAGTGTACAAATGCATTAATAGTGATTGTTTTCCTCATTCCTAACCTTTTCCTTCATGAAATCTCTGTTGCATAGATAATTGTTTTTCCCCTTTATTTTAGATCTAACCAGATGAGCAACCAACTGACCAAAACATTAACCGATACAATCATGACACAACATAGCCATAAATAATACCTAAACTAAAGGTTGGATATCAGATGAAGGGACCAACAATTGGACACATTTTCAAGTTGAAAGGATGAAAACTATTGAAGCTTTGTCAGATTCAAAATGGATTTGGATTTTTACAAACTAATCTCACAATTATCAACCCAAAATGGTAACTACAAGTGAACCTAATTGTTAAAACTGGTAAATATTTAACCTGGGCAACACCATTTATTTAGAGGATGAAATGAACGTTGAAAATGTTGATGTTCATAAAATTATCGCTTTTGAATGTTCATTTCTGGTTGAAAAAAGATGAATCTCTTTTGGGTTTTCACCAATCATTTCTTCTCACACAGATTCATCATCTAGAATTTTCATGTTCATCTTTGAACTTTTTTCCTCTTATTATTTTATTGTTTGATACAACTGTTTACCCAACAAAATCTGTTGTTGCCATGTTTAAGTCAATACATAGGAACAAAATGAAACCTAAAAGTAGTCGAGTTTACAGAGCAAAGTTTATTCAAAGATTGGTATTTTTTTTATTGATTTAATAAAATATCCATCTTGTTTACCCTTTAATATTATTGTCTACAGTCCTGTGAGCTTTTAATGTAATCAAAGTATAAATTCACGTATTCAATATCATACAAATACCTGAGACTTAACCTCTTTTTTTTCTCGGTAAAATATCAAAAATTTGCGTGTAAAAAACACTACAAAATGTTGTACATTTGTTTTCAATGGCATACATTTTAAGATAATTTTGTTTTCTTTGGCTACTTTTTTTTTATTTATCCAATGACCATTATTCAGACTAGAATCATGTTATCCATGAATCTCATTCTGAACTTTACCAGTTAATTCAATAAATCATTGGGAGTGATTCAATGACTATCAAATTACCAGCTATTTGCCAAGCCTAACCTTCACCTTTAACCGATTTCTGGGTTTTCAATTAACATTTTCATTTCACTTCGTGTTTTTTTTGCGAAATGTTATCACAATTTAAATTATTTACAATTATGTGATGCTTTATGTTTGATCACTAACCATGATTTTATTACATGATATCAAAAATGAAGACTCGTCAACATGACTCTAATCATTGAGTCTAAATGGGTAAACAGACAACAAATGGTCTTGTTGATTATGTATTTAAGGCATTAATTGTAGACATTGAAATGTTTTTAAAGCTTACATCAACTCATTGTAATTAGTTTTTAATACAATCAGTAGTTTGAAACCAGAATTGAGTCAATATTGAAGTCTCATTTAAAGTCAACTGATTTGGTTTAATCCAGGATTCACTATTCAGTGTGTTGAAGTTAAAAGATGTCAACTCAATACAGAAACATTGTCAAAATTAAGGCTAATTTCATTCTCAACCTAAAACCAAATTTAACCATTGAAATCAATTTAAGATGCGACATTTAATTGCACTTGACTTGTTTGTTTGAACTGGCTTTTAGTGAAAGTTAAGAGTGAACCAGGAAAACAGAAATTAATTTTTTAGCTTTCATTATTCATAAAAAAAGATGTGAACCCAATTTTGGGTTAAACAGACAAAATGATTTTGGCGATTTTTTTCAATGAATCTTACATCATTATTGTCTAATAATAAGGTTAATAGAAACAAATTGTAATGATTCTTAAACACTAAAGAAAAAGGTTGATTGAGAACACTTTAAAGTTTATTTGTTTTACCTGAAGCAGTTCAATGTGTTTGCCCCTTTTTCATTTGTAAACCTACTGTGATTGTTTTTGATGTTATTGTTTTTGATGTTATTGTTTTTATTTTTCAGTTGTTCGTCTTTCATCTCATTTTTTCGTGAATTCAGAGTCAATTGTTACTGTTTTCATGAGTAACTTGAGGCATATCGTGAAAGAATGGCCAGAATAACAAGAAGGAAGCAAAAGTGAAATCCTAAATGAAATATATTGAGCTGTTAAAGTGTAACAGTCAATCTCAAGATGATTCCTGTTGAGACTTCAGTATTTCAAGTTTATCGTTAAACTTGAAATTTAATAACATTTAAAAGGTAAACTTATATTGATTACAATTGTCAGTGAAAAAGTAGAATCAAAAATCAAATCAAATTCAGAAATATAAATCAAAATTTATGCTTGGATTCAATAGCAATTTTGGATTAAGTTATCAACATTCAATTGTAAAACAATGTAAATATTAATTAAAATCAAGTTAATCTCATAATCTAAACTAAATATTATTTTTGGACTGAGTTGGTGAAGATTGAATCCAAATATTTGGTCAAGATCATTGGTCAAACAATGTTTGATCAGATTGGTTTCAGACCAAAATTTCATTACAAATTGAAACATTGATTAAATTGAATCTTTCTTGATCAGTAAATTGCAGTTTTTTCCTCTTTTTAAATTAGTAAATTAATGAGCATTCAAATTTAAGGTTAGCTTAAGCTTTTCTCAATCAACCTTTCTTTACTCAACAAAATCCTTTGAGGTTTAACCAACTACATGAAGTAAATGAAGTAAAAAACTCAACGATGAAACTCAATTGATGGTTAAGAGTGAATATAATCAATCGATTGAAGCTTATGATTAATATTTATAACAATTACTGTTTAAATTGTTGCCATTAATTTATAATATACATCATGTTGTACAACTTAACCAGTAATGAATTGAAACCTTACCATAGTTGCTCATTTTTTTGCCAATCTTAAATACATACACTGTATAATAAGTACACAATTACTGTGAGCATAAGCTTATTTATTAATATGTTTCAAGTTAATCAAGCAGCTACTAATAACTGCATACTAAATTAATAAATAGTCAGGGTACAATTATAATGATAATGAAATGAATAAATGACTGGTTAATCAGGAATATACACGAAGCCTTTTTTACTCACAAATGTAAACTGAATCATTTGCCTATGGAAATGAAAATATTTGCAATTTTAAATTGCTTTATCAATGGATTGATAAATGTTAATTGTAAATCGATAAGTATCTGTATTATCCTTTGCGACTTAAATTGTGAAATTGTTTAGAAATGGGATGATTATTGAGTTATGGTTTTAATTGTTAGCATGTGATGAATGCCAATTTTGGTTGACAAAAGGTTAAGGTTAAAGTTTCATGAAGGTTACTTATGAAGTCAAGTGAGTTTACTCGGTGTAACTTGGTTAAAAAATGTATTAATTATTGATGTTAAACACAATTTGACAATTTAATAGACTAATTATTGTCAAGTGATTCAAATTTAGCTGTTAAATATGATTTCGCCAAGGATTTTGCAATGGATAGTGAATTTGAGCCGAGGCCTGAAGAACTGGTCATCATTTGTTATGAAAATATGAAAACAAATCTTATTCAGATGCTGTTCAATTGCTATTATCCTTCCATCTTAGCATCCCATCATCCTAATTAGCATTCATATCATCATATTGATTATCAAAGAGCTGATTAGTCTGCTATAGTAATCAAATTAGTAATGTTTACTAATTTTATACCTTTCTATTTTTTCATATTTGTTTTTACACCATCACCAGGAGTCTCACAGACGAATGGAACAAATGGAACAAATGTAACGACTGTAACAACTGTAGCAAGTGTAACAAATATAACAAATGTAACAAATACATTGAATCTAACCACCCCCACACCGCCAGTAAACCGTACTGGAAACGTTACATCCCGACCAGTATTGACGACATTATTACCAAAAATAAATGTAACCACACCAGCACCAAACGCTACCAATTTTACCGAGAAAGTACCGGTTTCAGAGGGAAAAGACAATTCAACCAAGTTTGCAGAAGCAATTATAGCAACATTTTCCGATCCGTATTATTATGCATCAGTCTTGGCCATTTTTTCAATCATCACAATAGCCGCTGTCAGTTGTAGCCGACGAAATGAACCAGGAGTTTACGTGAGTAAATCCTATGATTCAGGAATGTACACAGAGAGCAATGAAAATTACTACATTGGTAGGCCTGTTATGTCCCATCATTATCACCATCATTACGATTCTCAATTGTCTTCTTCAGAGAAGAAACCAAGGACCGTATCATCTTACCTTTCCTCTATCCTATCAAATAAAAGTGCACAAGAGGTTCAGAAGCCGTCAATTAAGCGCACCCAATCCAACGAATCCATTGTATCCATATCATCATCAGAAGGACTTGATTTGGGTAAAGTAAAGGATAGTAAAAAACCGAGCAAAGCAAAAGAAAAGAAAGCAAAACGTGATAAAAAGACTACACCGAAACAAAAGTCTCCTGACGGCACAATTAGCGGCAAAAAGTAAGTTTACTGGAGATGCCGAGTATCGATCTCGGTACCTCTCGCATGCTAAGCGAGCGCTCTACCATCTGAGCTACATCCCCGTTGATGGTAGGAAAGCGATAAAATGTGTTGCAAACAAAATAAAACACTCAACCTGTTCTTGGTTACGATCATATTGTGCGTCTCCCCTGGTAACGGTTTCCATAATCACCAGCGTGTAAATTGAAAGTTACATTTTCAATTGTAATCAAAGAGGAGCAAGAGATAGCACGACGAGGTAAAGGGTGTAAAATGAGATAAGGGCTAACGCAAACTCTCGCTGATAGAGGGCATTGAAGGAAGCTAAAAAAAGAAAGACAATTTTGAAAAAATTATAAAAAATTAATTTTGAATTAAAGAGATTAATTTGCTTTTTAATTTCTCTCTCTCTTTGCCTTTCTTTTTTATTGCCATCTATCAGCGAGAGGTTAAACTAGCCCTTATCTCATTTTGCACCCCTTACATCATCGTGCAGTCTCTTGTTACTCTTTGATTGTAATTCAATATTTGAATATTATTCAATTCTCGTTTTTTTATCTCAATTTGTGAACAGTGCAATTTCAATTGTTGTTTTTTATTGATTATAAAACAATGGGTCTATTCAAATGTGTATCTTAAATCTTGTAAATGAGAAGCTTTCCATTGTATATTTATTTTTATAAAAGGATATTTCACATTTTACTTCGTATTAACATTACATTACGGTTTCTTTTGCTTTTGTAATCATCTTTTTTTTGTTATGCTGTGGTTTATTTTAAGTGATTCACAAGTAAAGTTTAGAGTGTAAAGTTTTCTGGGCCCTTTGTGTTGACGGTTTATTTTTGATTCTCTCTGGTTCCTCTGACTCAATCTGGTAATTAACATTAAGATTCTTTCATTTGCTTGTTTTGCTTTTCTTAATTATCTGTCTTTTTTTCTTTTGTCTTTCAGATCTTTTCTGTTCCTTGTTGCTGAATGTCTAACCAGATAACATGAAAAAAATACAAACCCCTGGACTGTAGATTGATTCAGTCCAAGCTGAAAGGTCATCTTTATAACTTGCATTCATTATTATGTGATACAAGTCTTTATTAATTTAGCTATTGTACTGATTTACAATTGATCATCTTTGGCTACTGGTCATTGTATTTTGATTGACTTGCTTATAGATTCTGTTGGTGGCTATCAATTCTCATACTTCTAGGTAAGTCATTTACCTTGTTCTCATTTTTAATTCAGTATTCAAATGGTCATTGCAAAACGAAAGTGTATGATGACTGAATATTAATTTTGTCTAATTATTGTTAATTATCAACAGGTGAACGTGACATAACCCGATGCAATCGAAGACAATGATAATTACAAATCAAAGTGGAAGCGCTAAAACATTAGTTTTAATATTGATATACATGATTAATAATAATAGCTTAATTTATACACTGATTGGTATTGCTTTTAATTAACAATGAGCTTACTTTTTTAGTAAGTAAACTTTAATCAAGTCACATTTGATAGTTAATTGATTGCAATGGATTACATTAACTATTTAACACCTTGATAAGATTGTTGATTCCTTTCAATAATAGTATTGCATCAAAATTCCTAGTTTGTTTCCATGCTTCGTACCTGATAATGCCAATTAATTAGCTTTTTGGACACTTTTTAAGGTCAGAATAAGGTCTCTAAGGTCCTAACTCTACCTTTCATAAACCTAATTTTGTTTATTTCTTCTATCCAATTATACACAATTACAATAATATATAACACATTTTATCAATTGACCGCAATTTATATTCACATTAGGTCAACTTGGATAACTGGTCAATCAATATTCACAATTATTATAATCACAACATTCACTCGAAACAGAATTACTTTCATGATTGGAATATGGAATAAACTGATTTGATGAGATACCATGTCAATTGTAAGTTATACAAAAAGTAAATTTCAAATTTAATAGACATTTATTAAGAGTAAAAATGCCTTCTATCCATTACTATTCAGTCTTGCTGAATGAAACGGATAAGCATCTTAAAAAGTCATTTATGTCATACAATCATAATTGATTTGAAAAATTTTATCTTCTCTTTCTCAGATATTCTGAAATTGAATTGTTTGAACTGGAAAACCAAAACATTTCATGGACCAAAAACTAACCAGTCAGGAAAAAATAAAAGCAAAACTTATTCAAGGAACTGTAAAGCTCATCAACATCAATTCGCCATCTTCATAACTCATTTCAATTTTGAAAATGCGAACTCCCTGATTTTATTGGATGTTTCCCATGATTCCAAACGAATGATAGAAAAACTAAAACTGAAAAGTCCGATGATAAGCTTCATAGTAAAAGCTCCATATCAAGAAATGAGAGACACAATGAGAAAAGAATGGAAAATCAAGACTATTAAAAATGAAATTATTACGGGGCCTCAGTCATGTCGAAATGTGGATGTTGATAGTGCATCGAAGTTGCTCGACGGAAAGACAATCAAACTCACTCAAAGTTCCTTTGTATTTACCATGCCATTGGAATGGTTTAGATAAATAAGATTATGTATTTGTTTAGCTTGTTGATATTATTTGATACATATTATATCTTGTTAAATTATTCAATTCAGATAGTTTCATTCCATGACGATTCATCTTATGAGTTATCACGTAGAAAATTGCAATTCCCTCAAAAAGACCATAAATCATTGGTCGCTTCTTAATTTACAACCTCATCAATTTATAATTTGAATTATATAACGTTGAGGTGATGTCAAATGGTTTAAATCAAATTGCTTTCAGTATTCAAATATTAACCTTTATTGATGAATCGATGGATTTAATTTGTCAATCTGTGAATCTCAGAATCAAACAATCATTTGCTAATTTAAATGGATTCCTGAAATCAACAGTAGTTTTGCATGAATCGATATATTTATGGGTCGAGAGTGACTTAGCGAAATAACAATCCGTTCAATTAGTAAATTAATATATCATTTAGCTATCAAAAAATCAATCAAAAGGTAGGTCAACTCATATATCGACTTATTCGCTGAGAAAAAGTTGATTAGATTACAATTAATTTTTGACCAAACCTGAAGCAATAGACGAATTTTCATGACACTAACAATCTAATAATTTGATGATTCCATTGTAACTTTGTCGATGAAATTAAATTAAACAAGAAACTTACCCAAGTGTTTGAATGTTTTCCAATTTATGTTTGAAGTTGTTTAATCGCACGAAAGTGGATCAATTTGGACTCCTCTGGTTATTAAACAGACTCAATCAACTAAATGATTTACAGTAATTAATATTTATACAGTTGTTATTGTTAGAAAGCTGAAAACTTTGGTCAACAATCGTGTCAACTTGATATACGAATGATTCTGAATAGAGGAATGAAATTGCTTTTATACAAAATGAAAAGGGTGAAGATGAAGATGAGAATTGGCTCGACGCAAACGTAAGATGAACATTAATCGTAGGAAATGATGAAAAGTATTTCATTATAATTTTAAAGGCGCATGGTTTTTCAATGTTTAGTTGATTCTTTGATCAACCAATCAACAGTAGATATCATCATTTGTTTATTAATGAATACAGGTTAATTTAAAAGTGAACTGATACACATAAATTACAAAGGCATATTGTATTACAATGTTGAGATTTAAAAAAAATAAAGGGAAGGTTAAATTAGTTAATGTCAATCAGTTGACTGTCACAATTTGTGACGCGATTTAAGATGTCTTTCTAAATCACGTCTACGTACGAGTATTTTGGGACATTTTTTACATTTATAAGGCGATGAAACAGAACCTGAATGATGTTGAGAATGCAAACGAATGTGTTTATTTAGATTTGAGGGATCAGAAAATGGTCGACCGCAGAATCGACATGATAATGGTTTATGTCCAGTGTGAGTTCGTAAATGAATTTTGAGTCCATATTTTCGTGTATACAGCTTGCCACAAAAGACGCAAATATGACTCCTTGGTTCTTTGGTGCCAAATAGAGTTGAAGTTACTACAGTTGTAGGCTGAGGTGAGATGTTTGTTAAAGCCTCCGGTGTTTCTTTTGTATTGCTTTGACTACAGGTTTCACGAGAGCTTAAAGATGACAATGATGATGAAGAAGATGACGATGTTCCACTGATTTTGGCTGATAATGGCGAAGATGATTGAGAGGTCACTAAAGGTCTGTTTAATTGAGAAACAATTTGTCCAGTTGAATTGGAGATCGAGTTGTTGGAGAAAAATAAAGAAGCAAGTGATACATTTGATGGTGAACCAAAAGTTGCGTTTAATGATACATTTGGTGACTGATGAATTAAGCGATGATGATTGTAAAGATGACGATGATTAGATTGGTTAGTTAACTGAATTGGACAATCAAATGCTAAATGTATTTTCAATGGATTGGGTTGACTAAAAGTAGATTCACAATAATTACATTGATAATTGGAAATGTTTACAATATTTGATGGACTTAGAAAGGGAACGTTTAAAAAGTTCAATAAGTCAGAGGCAAACCAAGCCTTAAGTTCAACACCACTTTTAATTTGCTTGATTGTTGTTAACAGTAAAGACTTTTTCTCAGTATCCCAATGAATTAATACATTTTGTTCAAAACAATTGTCAGCTAACCTAATCAAATGAATCCAGTCAACCTTTTCCCGAGTTTCAACAACTCCAAGCTCAGATACATAAGCCTAACAAGACAATGAAAGGTATCAAATATGTTAATGGTTGCTTGATTATACAAATTGTTGATGGATAAGAAAGATGGAAAATCAAAATTTAATTCTTACCTTGATTAAATGTTTAGGCTGGCACGGTTTGAGTATCTTTTTAATAGGAATAGGCCTACAAGCTGGTAAAGATTGAAAGCCACTCGGAATATCTTGTTCAGCAATAACAATTGTATCCAAATTATCATGACTCGCTAATTGAGACCAAGAGTCAAGTTGAAATAAGTTGTTATAAGTCATATTTACAGGAATATTGTCATTAATCATTACAATATTGGTGCAGTTAAGATGATGGCTTTAATTAATGGCATGAAACAATTGAAAAGATGAAATAATTTAAAGATGAAAAAGCAAAGGTAAAATATCACGAGTAAATAAAGATATTGTCAAGTAAGGTGCCCTAATCGATTAGATTTACGAGTAGATTTAGTTGGTATCCAAACACACGCACAGACACACGCCACAATCAACAAGTATCACAATTAAATGACTAGAAATAGTTACAATCAGAGAGACTTTTAAAACCTGACTAGGCCTTTTGAATACTTGTAAGGTCAAATTGTATTCTAGTTTATTTTATACACAGTTTAATGGTAAAATTGATGTCAGCACGCGCGAAACGCACTCCCAATCACGTGCTTCCTCCTTCCTATCATCATCTTTTATCTTCCTCTTTCCTCCTCATCCCTCATCTCTTTCTTTCCTCCCTTTGTACAAGCTGTGGAACAAGTGTTTACAATAGCGACTGCCTTCTATTAATGTCCATAAGCCATTTAACTTTTGGTTAATCTTTTTTTTACTCTTTACAATTCCCTATTAAATTACATTGTTGAAGGTTTGTTTTATACCTTTGCTTGTTTACAATTCATTAAATTATGATTGTAGTCTTGTTTAATCATTACAGGTTTACTGTATTAACATGTTTTCAAGATGAAACACGAGTAATCCGACTTTGTCTCATGTCTTCCCTGGTTCATACGCATCCAGTTTGACCAATAATTACAATTTTACTTTCAGCTGGTTGGTTCACTGTTGTCTTCAAAATAATCATTTGTATTATTTTCCCCTTTGATAATGATTCTTTATGGGCTGATTGTAATTACATCATTGTTGGATGTTGATTATGACCAATTTTGATTCTTAATTGATGATGGTTGGAAATATAAATGGTATGATTGTGAGATGAAAATAAATTGCTTTAAGGTGCTGATGGCAAAGTGATGAGGATGAAAGATGAAGAGTGAAAATAGTTGAAATAATGTTGCTGATGGTGATTATGATTATGGCGATGTTATAACAGGAAGAGCACAGCTGATGCATTTCCCTGACCAATATTTGAATGAGCCACCGACTTTGTTGACTGGTTTTTTTATCACTGAATTAGTTATTCTAATTTCTTTGGCAACACCAATTGTTGCAGTTCCCAATCAATCAAGTATCACAATAAGAGATGGAAAGAGAGAAAAGAAGAGAAACAATATTAAAATGATGAGGAGAAACAAAGTGTCATCAAAAAAGGAATGTCATTAAATTGTCAACAAGATCAACAAATTATCAATTAAGATTGCTCTAATTTACATAATTAGCCATTGTTTTGCTATAAAAAAAGAGTTAATTTGATAAAATTGACTAATATTCAGCCCTTTCCTTCAGTCATTTTCAAGACAAAAAGTGATCCTCCAAAAATGATGCTAGCTGACAATTTAGAGACAATTTTCTTTGCTTTCAATCAAACATTTTGGTTCATTAATGATGTTGGTACGCTTCCTATTTTATATGCAATTAGAGATGCCTTTAGATACGCTTTTCACGACAACTCTACCATTATTATTGAAATAACAGGCCAAATAGGCTCTAGGCCTACGATGAACCATTTTGTCGCGACTCCTTTCATTGTCAATTGATATCTTTTCCTAGGTTTGATTGAAACCTTCCGTAACAAATCAACAGTTAGTAACCAACCTAAAGAAGAAGAAAAATAAGAGTGAAAAGATAAATTTATTAAAGAATCGAGATGGAAAAGAAGAGGAAAAATTTGAAATTCAATATTTAGAGTACAATTAATAGTTGATGCGAATCAAATCAGCGGTTAGAGATGATCATTGATCATTGGAGCAAATGTTAAAGCACTTGTTAATTGAATGAAAGCGTAAACCCAGCAACTCTTGATTAAGCTGAGCAGCATCATTTGCACTTGGCAATAGTTGCAAGCAAATGGTTAAAAATATGTTTGATCAAATTTAAACAATTTATCATTGATAAACCTGCTTCTAACAAATGCCTGATTTGATTCATTTAAATAATTCCAAAAATTTTACTGGTAATGTTGTAAAATCAGTCGACATTTAAAAATAGTTTCAATTGCTTTATCAGCCTAAAATTGAGACAATATTCGGTAAATGATTTTAACTTTGTATTATTAATGATAGCTTATGGAATTACTAGCAATAATCAAATTAGTTGATAATCAGTTCAATTATCAATCAATTTTGAGATTTTGTTGGTTTGTAAGTCAAGGCTATGAAATGGAAAGTTCAATGTTAATTAGACTCATAATCACGCTATTTGGCCATTATTTTGGCACATTATTGTGGTAGACTAATTTCAATAGCATTTCATTTTCAATTTACTCGACAAATATTATCTTTCCAATTGTTGACCGATTCTTTTTGTTATTTTAAAATTTCACTTTGATCGATGATTCTTGAATAATATTTCAATATTGTATAATGACCTAGTTGAATTATAATGGCAATATCAACTAGATATAAATCTAGATTGAAAGATACTAAATCTAAAAAAAGATCAAATGCTATTGAAGAAAAGCAAACATTACTTTTTTATGTACATAAAAATATATATGTTAATTAAATGGATTCCAGCAAAGTAAACATTTATAATTGACGTGTCCATTGTTGTCTCAATGAGTCCAGTATTGGTATATTATATATTGTATTACCTAGTATAGAAAAGAAAGGAAAAGAAGAGAAAAAAGACAAAAAATGAAATAAAATTATGAATGAATTAAAAAGGGGTGAAGTATATAAATGGTTGATTGGATAAATCAATCAGTGTAAGAGACAGAGATTGAGTGTAAAGAGGAGTGATTCACTGAAAATAAAATATGAACATGATGAGTAAATATTGTGTTAACTTTTAGCAAAAGCACCTATTGAAGGACCTTTTATTGTGCCCAGAAGCACAAAATAAAAGGAAATAGGAAGCAAAGTGAGGGACGAATAAAGAGGATGAAAATGATCCTTCTTGAGTCAACAAGCATCAAATTAAAATAACAAGACCAGAAGAGAGAAAACAGAAGCAAAAAGTACAATAAGCAGGGAGCGAGATCAAATGATGATGATGATGATGATGATGATGATGATGATGATGATGATGACGGTAATGAAAATCGAAAGTAGAGAGGAAAAGAAGAAGAGAGAGCGAAAAGAGAGTGAAGATATCTTTATATAGCGGTTGTTGGTTTGTGTCGAGGTGTTGAGACCATCATGCCAAGGTTAGATGCACAATCGAAGTCAAAGCCAAATAACATTAGGACAACACCTTGCATGTTTCACATGAAATTGATATTAATCACTTGATATAGAGATGAGCAATCAGTGGCCTGTTTCTGGGCTCAACAATTTTTTCCTTCAACAATTGAGAATTGCGATTAAAAATGGAAAACCAATCACCACCAATGACAAGTACCATTGCCAAGTCTTTCTCCTGCTTTCAATCTCTGCCTTTTTCGCTGATATCTTTTTTTTTATATGTGTCTACATTGATGCACATAAGATCATTTCAATATCTTGCCTCTCTTTTGTATATAATCACGAATCTCCTGTTGGATTTTTGTTCATCCTCTCTTTCAATAGTTGTAAGTGTATATCTCTCCTTGGAGTTTTCAATGACTTTTCACTGCCAAAGCCAACCTTCATTTGAAAGCGATTAAATCCTTTTGTTGCCTTTTAATTGGTTCAGAGGATTAACTGGCTTTGATCTTTTATGCTACTTCAAATTTTAGATATCATAATCATCGACACCAATATCACCATCATCATGTGTAAAAAAAGGGATTAACTTGGCCTTTTTGCCTCTCCATCTCCTCCTCCTTCTCCTCCTCATCTTGTTTCCTTGTTTTTTTGTCGCCATCCCAATAAAGCCATCATCGTGTTCGACATCTTTGCTATTAGCTATAATATAAGAAATAATAATAACTTTGGTCAATACAGTATTGTTGTAGCAAAAAATACTAAGCATTTTGTTGAGGTTTGTTAAAACTAATCACCATTTAAATCAACATGTTTTTTGGCTCACAACACACAATAGCGTGTATTTGATTAGATTTGACTTTATCATTTAGAAAGGCTGATTCAATTATGTTTCACTTTTTAAGTCCTGGATTAAGCTCGACTATTCAAGGTTTCAATGAAAAAGATGACAAATTTAGATCTAATTTGAGTTTAATTTTAACCATTAGATCCATTGTGTTGTTTCTAGACAAAAATGATTGATTTAAAAATTGCGATACAACGCTAATATGAATATTGTAAAACTCACCTGATTGCAATTTTGTCGAGATCTCGTTTGATACCATTTGTTTTAAAAATAGTGTAACGCTAATACGGTCTCCGATGAAAATAATGAATTAATCAGGCGCGTGTAAGTATCAGTAAATACCAAATGGAAGCAGTAGATCACTAAGTATGGCAGCAACTGTTGAAGGGTTGAAATGTTTCATAAAAATAAAGTCGTTAATGAATTTGAATTTATAGCGTAATTTACTTACCTGGCAATAAATTTTTGAAAAACAATCATTTGCGTTAATTTTAGTCAAACTGAATTTCAGCAATTTGCACGAAAAACTTGTCTCCAATCAATTAGATTATTGTCGGACCAAATACAGAAAAAATGCAATTTATTAATTAATGGCTAACACTGAAAAAATTAATGTTGAAACCAGCTTGAATTAAAATTGCTATAAAAACTGATTTTCAGGCTCAGGAAAATCAGTAGAGTTGTGATCAACTTAAGATACAACTTGATCAGGACAAGAAGAATTCAATTAACTTGCTTATAAGAAAAGAATCGTAATTCACAAATTTTTTACTTGATTTCTAATCAAATCAACACCAGTTTCATTTCTTCAATCGTTAATTCAACTTGAATAGTCTTTTGATCTGTGAGTTAACAACCAACCAACAAGTCAACATCAACACCAGTATGAAAGTAAGTCATCTTTTGCTTCTGTGTCTCCTGATCTCTGTTACCCTTTCAATGGTTGAATGTGGTGGGTGGAAAATGTATGAAAAAAAGATGAAAAAGTTCCATAAGAAAATGAAAAAGATCAAGAAGGAGAAGATGAAGGAAGAACCTGCTCATGAGATGGAACATGGCGGTGGTGGATGGGGTGGTTATTCCGGAATGAGCTTTGGCCGGCGTCGTCGATCCGTTGAGTATAAATACAATGTCTGGTGAGCTGATATCAAAAGACAATGAAACCCAAAAAGCTTGGAGATGAAAGTATCCATATTTCCAGGTTTAACTCTTTTAAGCCAAACATTTTTAACAGTATTTAACATCATGAATAGGGAAATTATTCACTAATATAGAAATTAAATGTTTTAATTAATTAGTTTTGAACACATCTAAAAGGATCCACCAAAAATTGAAAATGTAAAAACAAATAACTTGAAACATCTTTCTCATATCTATTCACTTTCTTTGTTTACAAATTTATCAAATATCATTAAAGGCGCGCTCCCTTTATTTTCAATTTTCAAAAATAACTCTCTTCACTTTTTTTATTGATGAATCTACAAATGTGCCTACCAATTAGATTTTTTATCGATTGCCGGTTTTTACCGTTCTATCATGGATTCAATTACTATATTCCTCCTTTTAATGATTTCAGAACGACAAATTAATAGGTAAACATGTTTATGTTGCTTCAGTTTTTTTTCACTCAACCATTTCATTTCAAAAAGTAACTTTGACTTCATTTGGTGCTTTTTCAGCCAGTGATTCTTTCAATTGTTTTTGAAAGTATTGATATTAGTTTGGATAACCTGAATGATTAACCATCACATCTACATTTACCGGGATTTAATACAATCGCAATTGGTATCTCAAACAATTTATGTTTCCCCGAAAGAAATGATGTCAACTCGTTGCTATGGAATAAAAGTTGAAAATTGCAATATTATGTAAGTAATGTGCCTTTCTTGATCCAGTTTTATTGTTAATTTTCAATTATCTGACGATGATCTTGCTCTATTTGCTTAGGTGGGACTTTTCAAGAGTATTCAGTTCTTATGTACCAGTGATGTCTTGAGAAAAAAGCTTGATTAGCTATCTAAATCATAGGTTTTATTACCCAAAGACAGATCAAGTATTACTTTTCAATTCATCTGTTACGCAAAAGACTCCATAGAGATGATAAACCTTTCAAGTCTCTGTCTTCATTGTCATTTGACTGACTGATTAAATCTTAACCAAGGATTAAGAATTTAAATCATCATGATTTTGTGATAAATCTTGTTGCTACAGATTTTCTCATCGACGGTTGCATGACTTTTTGGTGCCTTTTGCTCTTCTAAAAACAAGCTGTGGCCTGTTAAAGCAGTTAATTTACAATGTTAGTTATTGTTTCTGTTTTTGTTTCAACTCTTGCTACGATAAAATAGAAATATCTATTCTGTTACTTCCATGTTTTCAAATATTTGATTTGATAGAGTTAATGGATTGAAACAAAAAGCAAATTCGGTGATAGCTTGAAGCTCAAGATATTTATCATAACTTCATAGGGATCTGTATGGTTCTTTTTTCAATATATCTTTAAGATTTATTTGCAATCAGATTTAGATTTTCACCTGAGTTTCCAACGATAAATTTACATTTTAGTATAGAATGATTTCTTTGTGCTCTTTGAAATTCAACGTATTTACACTCATAATCTAGCTTTTAAAATATAAAATGTAATACATTGAAACCACAATTCAAGTTTAACATTAATATCTTTTATTGAATTTTGACATTGAAAACATTGTAACACTTAAAATTGAAATTTTTTATTTTATCATTTATTCTGGATATTTTAGACCACTGTCACACAGAATCGTTACTACCCAAGCGTCTTTTGGTAACTGTCCTGATTTCAAAAGTTTTATGGCTGCAGCGATATTACCACCTGTTGTAAAACCACAGAAAAGTCCCTCTTTTTGGCCTAAAAGCTTTCGATATTCAATTGCTTCTTCGTCACTTACAGAGATGGAATCATTGTAAACCTTTTTATCAAAAAGAGTAGGAACACATCCATATCCTGATCCTTGGAGCAAATGAAGAGGCTTGGTGATGGTGCATCCAGCAATGGGTTGGCAACCCTCTGGTTCAACCACAAAACACCGAACATTTGGATTCTTTTCTTTTAAAAATTTGGAAGTTCCAACAAAACAGCCTCCAGTTCCACATCCAACAAGGAAAGCATCAATTCGTCCATTTGTTTGTCTCCAAATTTCTGGTCCTGTTGTTTCATAATGAGCCAAACAATTTGTAGGATTGTTGAATTGATCAACATAGTAAGCATTGGTTTCTTCTCTAATTTTCATTGCGGTCTCCTCAGCGGCAGCAACATCATCAGCAGTCACATTACCAGGTTTGCCCGTTACTTGATCAACAAGGATCACATTGGCTCCCAAAGCATTCATCATTATTGCCCTTTGAGGACTGTTACCCTTTGACATGGTTACCGTGAATGGATGACCCATAACTGCAGTTACACAAGCTATTCCTCCTCCTTGATTACCAGAGGTTACCTCTATCACTGATTCACCATCCTTGAGTTGGCCTGATTCTTTGGCTTTGGCTATCATGTAATATGATGAACGATCTTTAAGACTAGCAGTAGGATTGAGGAACTCACATTTAGCCAAAAGTCGTCCTGGTCCAGGCCATAGTCGATCAAGAGCGATTAACGGAGTGTTACCAATGAGATCCAAAGCACTTGGAGTAATACCATTGATTCGGTCGACAGTTGACTCAGTCATTGTTGCAAAAAATAATATACAATGTAATCTGAAAGCTAAAAAGTTTTGAATCGAGGCTTGTAAACGAGTCTTAAATAATCAAATGAATTTAACTTGAGTTGTTTGGAAACCTTTACTTTTATACCAAAATAAGTCTCACTTGGATAAACTTGTTTGATAAAAAGAGAGGGAAGTGAAGATACTAGATGAAGATATTAACACAATGATAATGTAACTAAAAAGCTACATGGATAAAGACTCGATTTAGCTCTGTTTAGATTGAAATCACATTTATGAGAAAATTTAAGAGTCTCTAATCATTGATTAATGTTCATGGTTACACGATTACTGATTCTACAAATACAAATTCATATAGCATCCAAAATGAAATTGATTAATTGATTTTCTCCATCCATCCATCGATAATACATTTAAAATGCTCATACTTCTTACATTGGATTGTGTTGATTTAGTTTGTATCTTTCATAATCATTGAATAATTATCTTAAACATTTGGAACTGTTTACAGTTCAAGTTGTTTTTTAACGGTGTAACATTTATCAAGATATTTATCTAATCTCGTGGTTAATTATCTGACATTGTAGCTTGTTATTTATGTCTCTGTAGTAATAACTTATTAGCAATTAGACGTTTCAGGGATGACCTTCCTACTCAATCAATTATTCACAATTAACTTATTATTTAAAATTAAAGTCCTTGATTCACAATAGTCAAGGATACAAACTTTTAGTAATGACAGACACAGAATTGGTTAAATGAGCTAAAACGGCACAGATTTGCTTATAAATGCTATGAAGTTCAAATATTGTGCTTTTGACTTCACCCATTCCCTAATCATTTAGATAATTTTAGATCTCTGGTTATGATTAAATTCAAAAGAGCGCTAAATGTTAGCAACTTTAAATTATTGATTGATCCCTAAAACAATGGCTAGACATATCAGATATTGAACCCAAAATTGTTAAAAAAATTGAACACTTTTATACTTCGGACACAGATAGACAGATTTAATCAGTTAATTCATTGTTACTAGTAACTAAATAATCCCCTTCTTTTAAGAGAGGAGATGGATGATAACCAAGAGAGAAAAATGACAAGAAGGAGCAGAGAGGGAGAAGGTGTAGAGGAGACTTTGAAGGATAGATGTTTTCGTTTAAACGACCATTCAATTTAATTGTACCATTTAAATTGTATTTTTCAAGTTGCTCAATATCCGTTAATGTTAGAAGGATGAGTTCATTTTTACCCAGTGACTATAGTATTGATAGATACAACGGTGTGAATATTGACCTGGATAAAGTTTCTCAATCGATGCCCGATGCAACTCAGGACTCTGCAATTTTCCTCAAACTTCTCAATGGTAACACATTATTTTCTTTTGGTCAGCTGTTGAAATGCTTCTGCATTTCTTTTACTCTTTCTATTAAGATATGCTAATTACGATTATTTGGATTGATTACCATAAGATTCATTGAAAGAATGGCATGATAAAGGATACCGAGCAATTTGGTTTACTGTCAAGTTAGCTAATTCCAATTTAGTTCCTCTTCTCGTTAAGGTATGTTTTCCAGTAAATTTTAAATCCATTTTAGATTTTTCCATGTGCATATAATTTACTAATTTTCGCTTGTTTTTAATGACAGACTGGGTTTGATTATCACCATGCAAAATCAGGATATGTGACGTTGGTTAAATGGATTAGTAAAGATGAACCCAATAATATTCCAGCTTATCCCTACACTAACATTGGCGTTGGTAAGATCTAATTGGTTTGAAAATAATTTGTAGAGCTTGAATTGTGATCGTATTATCAAAAGTCTTTACATTTAAAGTAGCATTGCTTTCAACTGTTTAGATACAAATCTAATTTTTATTCATTTTTACAGGTGGACTTGTTATGAACAGTAAAGACGAAATATTGGTTGTCAAAGAAAGGTATCATCTTGGATATCCATTTTGGAAATATCCTGGAGGATATGCTAATCAAGGTGAAGATTTTGGTGAAACTGCGGAAAGAGAGGTTTGGGAAGAGACTGGAATAAAAACCTCATTCGAATCTGTCATTGCGTTCAGACATTCTCATAGGTTCCAATTTAAATGCAGTGATATTTATTTTGTTTGTAAGTTAAAGCCCGCTGATGAAACGAACATGACTCCTGTCAAAAATCTTCACGAAATTGCTGATGTTTGCTGGATGCATCACAGTGAACTCTTGCCTCACCTATCACCTTTCAATGCATTTATATTGAAACATTTTATGTCAATTAGAAAACAAAAATCTCAATTGGTTTGTCAAAAGATGGATTCTCTAATTGGTAATGTTGATGTTTATTTTGTTGAAAAGGATGGGTCAGAATCTTGACCACAAAAAATCATAATATGACTAGTTGAGACCATTGCTCTACAAACTTGGTTTGTTAATTTTGTTCAAAAATTTTATTTTTCATCATGAAGTAGTTTTAGACAATTTTTCAATTATTTCCATTAAAAATATACAGATTTACAAACTAAAGCCGAATGTTTTACGACTCTCGTTGGTTCTTATTGAAAGTTTTATCATCAAAACTAATTTACAAAATAATAGAAAGAGATTAATAAATAATCGAAACAGCATTAAACAAAGATGAAGAAAATTAACAAAATTGAAATGAAGGGGTAAATATCCAAAAGAACCATTGGAGAGAAAAAACGTGAATTATTGTATTTTTCAGGAATACAATTTCACTCCATTCGTAACAAATGCCATGTGAATAAGCTAATCTTAATTTGGAAAGGAGGTTTTTGTCTGTCGTAGATCCATTCTTATGATGACTTGAGATTTGAAAATGTATAAGCTAGTTAAAAGTATCAAATGTTATGGGTTTTATCTTGAAAATTTATCAAAATATTGATGCGATATGAAAACAAAACTATGGGTAATAAAGTTAGTGGGCAGAAACATAAGTTATAAGTCATAAGCAAAGAACCTGAATCGGCCATTTGTTAATTTTTTCATCAAGCGGAAATTTTCTTGTTCAAGAATTCAGGTTTTTTCTTGCTCTAAATCAGCAAGTAAAAACGGGAACAGGTTTTTTTATCGTAATTTCTCAATAGACTTCATACTGTTATCAATATTGTAAAGAAACTTCAATTCAATTGATTTATGAACATTGAAAACCTATTTGTTATCGATTGAGATAGAGATGACTTGAAAACATATAGTAACATAAATAACGGTTTGAAAAATACGAGTCAGAATGAAGGATGTACAAAAATTAATACAATGAAAAAATGAAAAGGTTGATGCGAAGAAAAGAATGATGAAAAGAAAGCAATATTGATCAGTCTGGTTCCTCAATGATTTCTGCTACTGGCTTGTTGAAACTAGATGCTTTAAGTGGTTCGTCATCGCTTCTTTGTTTGTTTTTGGCCATTTCCTAAAATCAAATAACAAAATATTAGGTTAAAATGGATGAAGCTGAATAAAGAAAGGTGTGATAACTGCAATCGCACTTACTCTTGCCCTAGCAACTTGTCTCTGTAGGTTATCCAGCTCTTTTTTATGCTTAAGCTCTGCTTCCAATTCCATCGGATTCAAAGGTCTTGTCTAAAAATTCAAGAACATGAAGGAGTATGCATTAGACATAATGTTATGATAACGGTCAGTAAGATATGGAACTTACCTTTCTAACTTCTTTCAATTTATTTAGACTTTGCAATACAACTGAAAGACCATTGGAAAGAATTCTGAATAGCTGCTGAAATTTGCCCGTGTCATCAACAGCAACACCATCAACATAGCTTAAACAATCTTCTACGGTCAACACGTCATATTGCGGAAGACCTTTAGCCTTAGCATCAGCTGTGGCATTAGGTTGTTGAGATTGAGGTCCTGTTTGCTGTTTTGGCGTTTGCTGACTAGCATTGGGCTGATTTCGTTGTTTCTGTTGCTGTTTGAAAAAAGATGAAAGCTATGATGAAGTCATCTAAAAAATTTTACTAGAAATAATTGTAATTACCTGTGCTCGTGCTTGAGCCTGAGCCTGGGCTTGGGCCTGAGCTCGAGCCTGAGCTTGGGCCTGGGCTTGAGCTTGGGCTTGAGCTTGGGCTTGGGCTCTTGCCGCTGCAGCCAAGTACGCAGCTGCTTGAGCCTGAGCTTGCTGGTGCGCTTGCTGGGCCTGTTGTTGCTGAGCTTGTTGTTGTTGAGCTTGTTGTTGAGCTTGAGCTTGGGCTTGAGCCTGCTTCAAATACACATAATAGGCATTCTGATTTCCAAAATTATAAGCGTTAAAAAATTCACTATTGGTGTTCGGCATTTGATTAGGTCCCTGGTTGGGGTCTTGTTGCTGGTTTTGCATGTTCTGTTGGAACTGACGGTAAGCTGCTTCTCTTTGTTTAGCAAGTTCCTCGGCAATTCTTTCTCTCTCAACTTGAGCTTCTTTTTCCTGAAAATGAAAAATAAATGATAATAGGATACACACAAAGCACG